TTATATTATTTATTTAAATAATTATATATTTCAATAAATTATATGATTTCACTAACGATATTGCTAAGCGGTGGTTATTTAATGTTATTATAGGATGCACCCGACTTTAGAATATGCTAAGAAAATAGAGTAAGGTAGGTACAATGATGTAATTGAGCATTGTAAAAATATTTATTTGTCAGTCATTTAGTGTAGTGGTTTCAAAACGGACTACTATGCCGAGAGGTCCCGGGTTCGATCCCCGGCCGGGCAGAAATTGAATTGATACATTTTAATTTCTGTGATGGGTCTAGGTGTTACTATGTATAATATGTACTTATGTATATAAAAACGGTATTTAAGTATGTTTATATCCGTTGTCTAGGACCCATAGCTTTGCTCAGTGTTTGGGACTAGGAGCGTAGTGTAAAATGTCGAAGGAAGGATATTTATTTATTATTTGCGGAGTGTATAGCGGAGTCTGGTACGTTTTGTTTGATCCACGACTGCCAAATACAAAACTTACTGCAAAGGAAAGGTAAGCTTAAATGGGCAATATGGTACTACTGATGTACCTGTTGCCCCAGCATTCTATTTTTTTTTTTTTTTTTATTATTATTATTATTTTTTTTTTTTATTTATTTATTTTTTAGTGAAAAAACGTATTAACGTCTAAAAAAAAAAGGGTCGCCATTCTAAGGCGAATTAATTGGAATTAATTCATGTTAATCGTGTAGAAATCTCTACGCCAGACGATAAAATATGAATTATGACTAAATATCAAACAAAGTTCAAGAAACAAAAAATAGGTTTATGTCATGTACAGAAACCAAAGCGTCTAACATTTTCTGAGACAATATTAAACCAAGTTCCTACTCCGTGTCTTTATTCAGACACCTTGATTCAGTCAGCTTCAGTATTATGACTGTGATGATTGAATTTTTATAATCATGCTAAGAAAAAATAACAAAATACTAATTCTCAATTTATACTTCATAGAAAGGGAAGAAAGACTCATTCATTATTATGAGTTTGTGGCAGCGTTATCAATTCGTAAAATAAAATCGCATTATTTTTTGGTATTATTAAAAAATGTCCTTAATCTAAACTAAAGGTTACAAGTAGTGGTAGTACTGGTAGGTACCTACATAATACATAGTTTATTTTATGTGGTTGATTCGTTCTTTGACTGACCAAAGTCCACTAGTCCGGTTGTTATTACAAGCGGCCCGATTTATTTTTTGATGCGTCAATAATTTTCTATTACATTGATTACAATGTAATTATTATTGTGTTATATTTATAAAGGCATAGTTATTATCGCTTTAACGCATAATAAGATACTTTGCTTGTCTAAAAGATTTAGCAAGATAAGAAATGATTCAATGTATTTCATGATGTCGCATCTCTTCTTATGAGAATTCTAACGTTATACATAAATAGTTTATACGAACCAATTGTAAAACAGTACATGGAGTTAAAACTGACCTTTTTTTTTTTTTTTTTTAAATAAATAATAATAATGATGATGAAGCCTTACTTTGTAAGACTATCAATAGTATTATTAGCATTAATCATACATTGATTAGTAGGTACAAACCTACATAATAATGTTTTTCCAATACAAGAAAAAAATGACGTCATCTTAAGTACCGATACCGATACAGTTTAAGGAAGCTCTTAGATTTTATCTATTATTTATAGATACAAGCTGGTGAGACGTCATGAATAAAAAAATAAACTTTGTAAAAATATCAGGGCTAAAGAAAGGCCGCAAAGAGACAAACAAAAATGTTGCCTGTTTGTTCAGATACAAAACAAGCATCCGTTAAAATAAGACCATAATTCTATTTGCTTTTCAGTGGCTATCGTGTTTATGTAATAAACATATTATATTAGTAATAAGTTTCTTTAAACCATAAATGAATCTTTTGTTAAAAGTTTAATTGCGGTTAAAATATCATCCCTTTTGAAGTGCTTAAACCACATAAACTTTGTTTAGCATCTTATATAAACGCTATCTAAGTCCACCATCTAGGAACATTTTTTTTTTTTTTTTAACAAGTGGGTAATCTCAGAATGTACTCGTGTTGACGGATGCGATTAAGAATATTCTTAATATCAACGTCTCTGCGCCGACGTGTATAATTATTTGTTTGTATAATTAATTATGTTTACTCGCATGGTTATGATGATTATGAAAAAAATCATCTGGGTTCGATTCGGGAATCGAATAGGTATCTCGGTACAATAAATTCTGTAACCGGATAATATGTACATTGCATTTAAAATAAAAATATTTTAAGCGGCCAGCACATACCTGTACATAGATGGCGCGTCGTCTAGGGACGCGGGTTACCTTGGTGTTCTGGTCGGTCTTTAATGGCGCTTCCCGCGTTGCGCTGGCAGCGCTGGGCATGCGGCGGCGGCGGCGCGGCGCTGCGGCGTAAATAAAGGCGCCTGCGCTTGTGGAAGGCGGCGTGGTTGCGCCGCGGGCGGGTGATAGGTCTTAGCCCATCATACCATACAGCAGGGCGTAGCTTGTCGGTACGGCCTCTGTATAAAGCCTCGATTCACACAGTTATGCGAACGGCTAAAGCTTAATTATATATTCAGTGCAGCAGCCTGGATTAGTTGTCATATCAAATAAATACCTCTTTTCCCGTTTTAGAGGATTATAATGAGTTATAGTTGTCGACCGTCGATGTAATTGGTCGACCGACCGGAAATGTAGAAAGATCTTTGTAAGTTTCCAACAAAAAAAATGTGAGACTGATAAGTACTCAAAATCACAATGTCAGTTAATATGAGTCGTTGCATAGAAAAAACGACATATTGTCATACTTCATATATAAAGTAGGCATTTATTTCCACTTCGACTCGGTTCGGTCAACAAACCGGCCTAAGGTTTATTTAGGATCTTTTATTCTGACCTTATAATAGCAAGTAATGAATCTACATAAATGCACTTTGAATTTTGATCTGATACTTATTTCTTTCTTACTAGCCTTTGTATTTAGACCAATATCGATTGGTGTAATGTATAAAAATACAAAACAACAAAATTATTCAGTTACCCTTTGTAGCATTGAACAATGTGTATGGCCACAGGGTCATCGGTCGTTATAAAAGCAGGCGGAGGCTCGACTGGGGCGAGTGCGTCCGCGGCGCCGGGTCATCAGGCTCCAAGACGGTTGATGGTTCATAAGGTGTAAGGCCAAGAAGGCAAGCTCTTAATGTGGGTAGTTTCGTACAAACGCAACATTTTTCTGTATGAGCTCATTATGTTCTGTTTTTACGGCTTTTTAAAATGGCCGAAAAGAAGATACTTAACTCGTAAAAGTGAATAATATTACAATACCTGGCTATCTCGGTAGTTAATATCTCGTTTTTACTCGCTAGAGCAAAAAACGGCTACTGGTTAAAAAATAACCGAACATAAAGTGGCTGCTGGTTAATATCTCGTATTAACGCTACTGGTTAAAAAATGACCCGCAAAAATGACCGAATATAAAGTGGTTGCTGGTTAATATCTCGTATTAACTCGCTAGAGCAGAAAATGGCTACTGGGTAACATCTCGCATTACCTCGGAGAAAAAAATGGCTACTGGGTAACATCTCGCATTACCTCGGAGCAAAAGAATGGCTACTGGGTAACATCTCGCATTACCTCGGAGCAAAAAAATGGCTACTGGTTAACATCGCGCGTTAACTTGGAGCTAAAAATGGGTCAAAGTTACGCGTCGTGTCACAACGCTTATAATAAAAATGTACGAGCACTTGCACAAAATAGTTGTTACAACCAACCTTTTGTTGGGTCTAATTCTCGTCACTACACTGCACAACTTAAAATAATTACGTTTTTTGTCGGTAAAAACGTCCTGGTGACGTCACTTAAGCATTTTTCTTATACTGCGTGCGGTCGTTGCGCGTGCGCACAAAGGAATGAGACCGCTCGGACACCGAGCCCACAGCGTGGTAGGGGTGGGGTTGCCCGCTCTTTTGTTTTTTAATACTACTACGCTGAATATTGTGTGCGGATTGGGTTGTCGTACAGGGGTACTACATGGTAAAATAAATCTCGGAGGCGAAAGCAGGATAATCATCATTATAACGAGTATATTATTATAATGAGTATTCGAGCTCATTTCAATTACGGTGACAGTACAATAATAATTTGATACACATAGTCGCTATAAGTATTTTGATTGCAATATAAAAACGCACCTTATATACCATTTGGTAGCACACGAAAAGCAGTGCGAACGCAAGTGTATAGTTAATATCTATTTACTATCATGCACTCGTGTGATTTTGATAATCGACCTATGTATTTACGACCGAATTTCCATACGCGCTAATATCGACATCTATGGGAAAATCGTGTTTTGACAGCTTCTAAAAAGTACAATTCAATAAGGTCTACCGCATAAACTTGCGCGACCTGCGAATATGGTCTTACCCTCTGGCGGCGCTAACTGGTATTTATTTATTGACATAATTTTTACGTGCTGGTATTGGTAATGGAGTTAACTGCTCTATTGCGTTTTGAAAACTCTTAGTGTCAATTGACTGATGGTGTCCTCGTACTATTTTCAGCCAATTTAGTTCCTACAGTCACGCACGCGAGAACTCTCGTTAATGAGTAGGTATAGGACCGGCGGCGGTTGCATGACGGGCGCGGCCGAGTCAAATGCCTCGAAAGATGCGCTCCGCCACGCTAAGAGCTTCCGTATTTGCACTCATCTGCTGGCAAGTAAGGTATTGTCACTCTCCAGAGGCACTAACTAGCGAGTGTAAATGCGGAGCCCTCGTTGACTGGTGATGTGAACAACTCTATTGCGTTCGGACAGCTCATAAAGTGTTAATTAAGGTGGTGTTCTCAACTGAAGTCCGGTCGCCGAGCAGATAGAATTTCATCCAATGACCCTAAACTACCCATCCTTATCGCTCGCGCGTAATTATATTGCTGTCGCGACTGCGACGGGCGTCCGCAGTGAATGTGCGAGCGCGACAGCAATATAATTACGCGTGAGCGGTAAGGATGTAGCTTGGGGTCATTAGACTTTATTAGTCTTAAATTTTGACAGCTCTTACGTGCCAATTGACTGGTGGCTGTGGTGGTGACCCCTACTATTTTGAGCCTGGTTAGTTCGGCCTACAGCCAGGCGGGCACCCTAGTGATCGAGTAGAGCGCCGGCGGCGGCTGTACCGCGGGCGCCGCATCGTCTGAATCAGATTCTTCGGAGGACACGCGTTCCGCAGCGCTGAGGGCCACCCGCGCGTATTCGTCTGTGTCGATGCTTTTGCAGAAGTGGATTGCGTATCTGTGAACGAATGTTAGACGTTATTTGCATGGTTTATAAAGACAAGTAAGAATAGCAGAACTCAAAAAGATTAGACACATTCAATCATTCATCTATTTGAACAACAGGTAACGAATACAGTAAACTACGCTCTTCAGAGGGCTTAGTGCGAGTTTACATCAAAGTCATCAAACGTCTTCACTAGTGACTGCGTATAAAATGACATTAAATGTATGACGGATTGTACAGCGCCCCTAACCAGGCCTGTTCATCTCCGCGAGTTTACATCGAAAACAAAACACGCACGATGGCCCACCTACAGGACACTATTCGACAAGGCCTCACATACGAGCGAACATTAACTCACGCACGCGTATTCTTGTGTATGATGGAAGAAAATAAAGAAAATGGTGTACTAAATACTGTGCAGTATTTAACTGCCTAAATAATAATAAAAACACAGAATGTACTTTTCTAAGTTGCCTCAAGACACTAAGAGGTAAATAAGTAGTTAATATTATTCATGCTAAATCATGTATTTCCTCCGCCATTTTCTGCAGTTTGGCACCTCACGTCACATCATTTTACCGAAGTACTTATTATTATTCTGTGGTAGTACTTATTATTATTCTGTGCCCTAACGGATACTTTGAAGAACTAAAATCTTCATAGATTTTTGTGACGCACTCGATGTCTAGGCCCCCAGATGTCAGCATTCACTTGTGAGGTCCTCTCATTTACTAGTGTCTAAGACAGTTCTACATAAGAATATAAACTCACAGTTTTAACTTATTTACCTGAGTTTTTCTCGTAGAACAGACTTGCATGAATATCTTGGCATCTTGAGAAGGAAGAAACAAGTGTAGCTCTCTGGTAAGAAGTGGTCTGGCGGTTGGTACTTGTCTAACACCTGCAGAAAAAAAAACAAGAGAACATGTAGCTTGGTAACAAAGGAATGATCTTCACAGTTAGATAAGGTCATTGACGACTAAAGCCCGGTCCGTGAGCACGTAGAATTTTGTCCAATGACCCCTAGCTACCCATCCTTATCACTCGCGCATATTGCTGTCGCGACTGTGCGACTGGCACCCGCAGTGAGTGTGCGAGCGCGACTGCAACATAATTACGCGCGAGCGATAAGGATGGGTAGCTTGGGGTCATTGGACAAAATTCTACGTGCTCACGGACTAGACTATACTGAACCATTGATATCGAGGAAAAGTTGAAAGAAACTGGCATAAGGTTCAAAATAAAAACTACCCGAAACAAATCTCGACCTTAACTCCATAGATATAACGACCATATTCTTTAAGTACCTGTAGCACAAAGTCCCTCTGCCGCGGGTCCTGCGGCGCGCGCGGCAGACGCGTGCGGCCCCACACGAAGCGAAGGAACAACGCGCGCTCGCCGCCCGATAGCTCCTCCATGACCTCCCAGAACCACTGCACTAGCGGCGCGTTTGGTTCTATGCCTGTGAACACAAAAACTTTTGAGTATTTTTTTACATATTCTATAAAGACCGGGTAGCTACTATAGGCTTTTCTACCATATAATTCAATCATTATTTCCTACTAATATAAATACCTACTGTAGCCAAGTCACTGAATTTAGTTTTATTGTTTTTAATAGTAATTGTTTTCTTAGGAAAATTTTTATTGAACTCATTTTTAATTAAATAAAACTTTCTTGACTCTCATCCAAACTGGAGTTGACAATATAAACCATAATTTATAGGCAAGGATCAACAGAAATATAATTCTCCCTGAAAACCACATTAGTTTTCACTTTTAGCGCTCACTAGTTGGAGCCATTGTAGATGATAATCATTTGCTATTGGCAAAAACAGTGGAGCCAACAACACAACAACGCTGCAACAGTAGGAGCACTATCTAGAGATGGGTTTCCACCCGGGTAAAAACCCACATGAGGGTAAAAACCCAATAAAAACCCGTTTCATTCCACCCGTGGGTGTTTACACCGGGTGAAAACAAATAATTTTATAATTATTTCAATTGGAGATACCAATTTCTTTATTTTTATTGAATTTTTCTCATTTAAGTTTATTGATTAATAAGTATTAAGTCAAAGGACATCATCCACGTTTCATATATTTTTTGTCCAAAATCAAAAGTGCCGGCCAACAAAAAAAGTGCTGTAGTCTGACAGAATACTACGACGCACAGTGGTGCTACAGCTTTGGTGTCATAGTAACAAATGCTAAGGCGGACGTATTCTGTCAGAATACAGCGCTTTTTTTTTATTGGCCGGCACTTTTGATTTTGGACCAAAATGGATGATGTCCTTTAACACTAATATGCATTTATATCGTGGCCAAATCATAAAATTGATCAAGTTATGATGATGTGACTAGAGATGGGTTTCCACCCGGGTAAAAACCCACATGAGGGTAAAAACCCAATAAAAACCCGTTTCATTCCACCCGTGGGTGTTTACACCGGGTGAAAACAAATAATTTTATTATCATTTTAATTGGTATCTTTTCTTTATTTTTATTGAATTTTTCTCATTTAAGTTTATTGATTAATAAGTAATAAGTCAAATTTAACACTAATATGCATTTATATCGTGGTCAAATCGTAAAATTGATCACGTTATGATGATGAGACCAATTATTTTATAAAATGATGTTATTTCAAGAATCGTTGAACCGATTTAGAGGAAATTTAGTAGGAACACAATAATTTGTGATCATGGCAAGGACATGGAGGGGGGGATGCCAAAGATGCCAAACTAAGAGAGACTCTTTGATGACATTACGGTATAAAGTTACAAATAACAACACCAACTACAAAGTAATTCTGCTTAAAAACTTGAAATCGAACCGCCCTTCCGCCACTGTAACGCATTGTAACGTTTTTCAAGACCTCCTCTCCCCCCAGATTGCTTTACGTAACACTAGAACGCCCCCTTAGCAACAAATACCACTTCTCACTTTAAAAAAACGCTATTTTTGTTTTCACCCACCAGAATGGGTGATAATGGGTAAAAACCGGGTTTTTACCCAAATCACCCAGTTTAAACCCAATCGGGTGAAATGGGTTTTTACCCACTACCCATCTCTAGCACTATCGCACTTGCACTCACCAAGATGGCGCCACTGAAGAGTACTGTCAATCACCAGTGGTGCCAACTATTAGGCACAAAATCGATAGCGGGCTCATTGAAATAAAAATGTGTCGATTAAAGTTCATAGCAGACTTATCAACTCGGAAAAGGATCAACACCGTATCGCCTTTCGCGTGCTGTCATCACCTTTCACGCGTCAAACGTCAAGCGAGGCGTTTACGTTACGGTGCGGAAAAGTGTGCGTTGCAGTATGGAGTTTCATACAAAGAATACTGACCTCGAGTTGATACGGTTACGATCCCTTTCCGGGTTGATAAATGTGCAATGTCCTTTACCCTCATTCTTTCATCACCTTTCACGCGTCAAACGTGAGGCGAGGCGTTACGTTACGGTGCGGATAAGTGTGCGTTGCAGTATGGTGTTTCATACAAAGAATACTGACCTCGAGTTGATACGGTTACAATTCTTTTCCAGTTTAATAAATGTGCGTTGACCTTTACCCTCATTCTTTATCTACGTACCTTTATAACTAGCGGAAGCCCTAAGCGCGTGTACAGGTATATCAGGCGAGCCGCACACTAGTGTTTCCAACTCCGCAGCCGTGAACAGAGCAATCAGTGGCGCGGGAACAACCCGGGACATACCGTCGCGCACCGCGCGCACTTGCTCGTCGAATTCGTGTAACCTAAGAGAAAAATGCACCTTAATAGATAGGCTATAATTGATTAAATTTGTTGCAGATTTAAATACAGGCAGCTATTCACCGTGACTACTTAATTTTCACTGCTTGGGTTTCATAGCTGTAGTAATGGCTATACTAGGGACAAGAAATGGGATTAGTCCGGCAGCTCAATTCTTCACTAGTGAAATAAATATTTACAGAACTATTCATAATGTAACAATCGTCTGTTTCCTCAAAAATATTTTATAATCGAAGAAACAAACTAAAGTCCGGTCGCCGAGCAGACTCACTGCGGTCGCCCGTCGCACAGTCGCGACAGCAATAAAGGATTGGTAGGTTGGGGTCATTGGACGAAATACTACGTGCTCGGCGATCGGACTTTAGATAGGACTGCAAAATTAGCTTGATATGCTTTTATGTTGATTTTTTAACACAATTTTACCTGTAATGCAACGCCAACTGCACATATTCATCCTTATTGTCTGGTGTCACTCGCTTATGTCGCGTAGAGAGAGGCACTTCGTGACCTGCTGCTGACGGTATCGAAAAAGGCAGTTCCAAGTTTTGAAGTTCCTACAAAACAGTATAACATTAAAAACATCTACAAATTAATGTAATATTTTTAGCTGTGACAACAGGTCTGTAAGCACTTACCTTGTTGTTTGGAGTCATATCCCTGATACACAACAAAGCTGGCAAGAAGTCTTTGTCAACTTCAGCCAAGTCTTGAGGCCGCAGCGGTTGGCCCGCTAGCTGTCTCCAAACACCCTCGGCGAGAGAAAGAGACAGCGGCGAGCCGGTTCTGATCGCGATGCCCATCAGCACACCTTTGAATTAAATTGAAGTTCAGTAAATGTTACACTATGTTACAAACTCAATTTTTAATTGCATAATAATAACAATGTAGACATTTTAAAAAAGTAAAAAAAAAACTAATGTAACTACATAATAATATGTGTACCTATGTAATCTTAGAACATCCATAATCGTGTGGAATAGCAATAAAGAATTGGAATTTGATGCCAAAATGTTCATCTTTATGTACTGTCACTATCACCCATATTCACAAACATTACTATGAGGTCTCACAGCGTGCGTGTACGCTAGGGTCACACACGAACCAATCACAGAGCTCTATTCTACGCTGTGCGTTCGATTTGCTGCTTCATTTAAGCAAGCATCGTTTGTGAATACGGGCGTAAGTGTCTAGTTTCGGATCAAAATAATAATGAATGAGGATAGGATCAAATCAGTCAAATAAAATCCTAATAAATAACTTACCTAGGAACCTGAAGCAGTTAAGATGCAAAGGCGTATTCGCCGTAGGGTTTAGCAAGAACGCGTCTCTCGACGCGCCGGCGTCCCCGCGCCCGTTAGGCGTGGCCATCAGAAGTGGGAGGGACCCGTTTTGTAGTTCCTCGCACATTTCCGCGATGCTCTCGCTGTAACCGCCTCCGCAGTCGTCCACGCTTTCACCTAGGAAATAAATGGAATGAAAGAACTAACACGACAAGGGAATAAATTGTTAATATGCAATATGCTTTTTATGATGTCATGGGGGGTTAATCTGGATCCAAGTCGCATTGGCGTGGAGCAATAATAGATATTTGCCTATTTCTTAAAAAAATATGAGACGTCCTCGTCACCACTGTTAAAATATGAGACGTGGGACGCGAGTGAAACAACTGCTTGCTACAGACACACTGGTTCATTTCTACAATATGGGTGGTGGTCACAAAATTTTGTTATGTGTAACTACCCACATACTTATGCAACAATAAATTACTCACTTGAGATAGAAGCCAAATTTTGCTAGTGTGTTTACGTGAATATAATATTATTTTACGAACCAAGCATTCTACAGTTATTGGAATTATTTTCAAAATACTCCCATCAAATGTTTGGTTCGAGAATTCCACTATGACACTTACCTACAAACTTGACCTTCCACACTCGATGCGGCAGTGCCAAGGCATCGTGCGTCAGGGCTGGCAACCGGGCCACCATTTGTCCGAATACAGAGCGCATTCCCGCCGCGCCTGCTAATCCGGAGCCCCCACGTCTGGCGCGGCGCGCGGCAACCCTGGATAACTCTACCACTGGCCCGTGCTGTCTCTCGCGGACCATTGTGGCCATAATTGCCTGCAGAATGGTATCAATTTAATGAGCTGTAACATGTTATTGATAATAATTTCCAGAAATTCTCATCGTCATTTAGTCTCGACTGCAGAAGAATGATCCTCTTTAATGTGGCAGAGGCAAATGGAGGTTTTGGCCTCCACTTTGCTCTGGTCCAACGGGTTGGCGAGGCCTGATATTAGTTACATTTCTGCTTTTGCGGCCTCTAACGACATCTTCAGGAGGAGTGGGTGTGGTCCTATTCTAATCTGCTGGAACTACACAGGAAATCTTTGTTATGAATTTTTAGGATTCTTACCTTTCTAAACGCCGCTTCTTTTACGCTGTAGAACAGTAATGTCCTCAATTGATCCAAGGGACCATCCAAAATCAGTAGTGGTAGATTCGGACAAACTAATTCAGAAAATTGATGAAGTAGCACCTAAAACAAGAAATTGTAAATCACATTTATTTATACACTATAAAGCACAGAATCAAAGTACAGTTGACACCACATCAAAATATACAGATTCGTTGTTAAGTACATAATGCCTAATTAACATTCTACTTCAACTGTAATCCTTAACACATCGAATAACAGCTATCTTTTCAAAAATACATCTTCAAATTAAACAAAAATCGAACTTACAGACATTCCCTTACACAAACCTTAATCAAATAAAAATACAGTTTAAAATCGGTATCCCTCTTACCAATCTATTGCAGATGAGGCTGGTAGCGAGGTCTCTGAGTAGATGGCACTCTAAAGGCGGCGGCGGCGGCGGTCGCGGCGCCCGCGCTGCTTCCACGCATAGCGCTACGGTGTGGGCGCTGCCGCAAGCCACGCGGGTCACCCGCTTGCCCTGATTGACAACATAAATAATTTTACATCAACAGGTAACTCACAAGAAATAAATACCTGAGTTGCTGTAGTGCGTGACAGACTAATATGAGATACATAAGTGTCAAAAACAGCATCAAAATAACTTCAGCGAAACAAAAGATAATCGTTGATAAACAAACACACATAAAAAATAAACTAGGTGAACTGAGAATCTGCTTATTAAATTTGGTTAAAAATATCAGAGAATATGTTAGTGACTATAGAGATAGCTCACAGCAAAGCGAACCCGTGAGGTCACTTCAGTATCAAGTTTTGCATTGTTCACATGTTACTTTATGAACATAGAAACCTGACAGTTATAGTAAAAAATGTAGTTAAACTTAAAATCCGCCGTATTGCAAAGATCATCACTCATCGTGATTCACAATGATGACCACGACCACTGAGAGCAAGAATGTACCGACTGGGAAGAAGAAAATTTAAAATCACAAAAATAATTGATACCGGAAAGTAAACATATCAGACATACCTGTAAAGCCATCAACAGCCGTGGTCTCTGAGCCGCGAGAGTGGTGCCGTCTCCCAGCTGACCCTCGTCGTTATCGCCCCACGTATACACTTCGCCCGTGTCCGTACACGCAACGCAGTGCAAGCTTCCTGTTAACGGAATAAAATATCGTAGGTAAAGTTTCAATTGTGGAAATCCAGGGCAAGCCTTTGTCCAGCAGTGGACGTCATTTGGCTGAAACGAGAAAGGTTCAATACTTCGAAAGCCTTGCAATCACCTGGATAAGTGAATAGACTCAATAGTTCTACAAACTCAACTAAAAATTCACAACATTTTTACGTAAATCATTCGGATATTTTGATTAACGTGTCTGTTGTTCTATGACTGCTTGCAAGTTAAGTGGCTTAAACTTGCTTATTGCTTATTTTATGGCATGTATTTAAATGATCTTTTTAAATTAGCAAAAACGGCAAATAAAAAAATCTATTTGGTCGTCTATTTTAATGGTTGATCCTCTTTCTTTGAGACATAAAATAAATAAAATCGATCGATATTTTAACCTCTTTTGAACTACGCAAAAAAAATTTGAGATGTAAAAATTATATCTGATCGTTACTTGTTGGTCCTCAAAAATAAAAGAAATGAGCACCAAATATTCAATATTGTGATACTTTTTTAAATAATTCGATTTGTATAAATTATTTTTTGTCTATATCAAATAATCTTCAAAATAATTATGTTATGGTACTTATTTTTATTAAGTTGTAGTCAAAGGATGGAAACTATTTAAAGGCACTTGATGTTCAAAGATTTTTTTTTATTAAAAAAGCATACTTAACACGTTCACACTGCGTTATCGGGTCGAATTGACCTTAGGTGCTGGATGCGTTGGTGCGGGATGGATATATTCGGTCTTTTCAGTAGTACGAAAGATAAATATTGTTTTGCAATTGTTTCGTCAAACACAGTAAATATTTGGAAAAAAAAAATTATCAGGTCCTTACGACCCGATGTCGCACTAAAAGTAAACAAATATCGTTTAGTGCTTTTATCGTGTCTAATCGACCCGTTGACAGATGACTTTATGGTCACTGATCACGGTCGAGATCGGTATACTAAGAGAAAATCAACCTTGCGATTTGAAAAAAATAAAGAGGTAAAAATTATGATGTCGGGTTCAGGGATGTCAGAAGTAAGAAATTATTTTACATAGCGCCTCTAGTCCCAAACTAAGCAAAGCTTGTAATTTAAACAAACAGGGCAATGTACTATTCTGCTTGCTTATTGGCCGCTAAGCCCTTGGCCAACTCAGTAACCAATGACGGACGATTGTTACTCAACCACAAAGTACCGCGTAAATTAAAAGATATTTTTTAATTAAAAATATTAACCAATAATATTTTTTGTTAGATCAAATATATTTTAAAGTTAAGTTATACATAGATCGAAATGTATTTATTAGGTGATCAATAATAAAAGGCAAACTTGATATAAAAATCATCAAATTAACAAAATTAAAGATCAATAACTAAAAAAGAGGATCAAATATTATTTTTGTTTACCAAATATTAAAAGAGTATACTAAACATAAATATTATGTTACCTTTAATGAAGATCATTCATAATTTATCCGTAGATCAACTAATATAGACCCAATAATTAATATAAAGATAAAATATAATAAAAAACATCATTTATTTTTAAAAGTGCACATACAAAAAAGATCAATTAGTTTTTAGAGGATCAAATAATATTGTCCCTTATTTTATTGGGTAACGTAACACTTACCAGTGGCAATAGAGACGATCATTTTCCCTTGCATGCCCGTGACACGCATCGGACGTCTCACGTGCTCGTAGCTGCCATGGCCTAATCTGTGGTAGTCGCCTTTACCCCTGTAAATAATCAGAATTATTAAAAACAAAACAAATACAAAAAACGTTAAATAAGACGATAGATAATCAAAATAAGGTACCAAGTGTAAACGCTTCCACATTGACACAAAGCAACAGAGAACTGAGATCCGCATTCGACTTTTATAACGCGTAATCCTTTTAGGCAATCAATCCTCATCGGTACTTTGCAACCTTCAGATCCTCCGCGGCCTGTAAATAAGACACAAAAGAGGATACATTTTTAGGCTCTCCACAAACTAATTGCAAATTATTCAGCCTTGATCGTAACAAGCGCAGTCACGTCACCACGTTCATGTCAAACTTCAGCACAATAGTTTTATCCGACTTTCTCATTGACTATGAATATGATAAGAGTGTAAAAGAACACAGAGGGAATACTTTTCAATAAATTTTGTAAATAATTCTTCTTACCCAGTTTCCCATAGTCACCATCGCCCCAAGACCAGACGTTGTCGTCATCCGTAATGCAAAGAGTTTGCGCGTCGCCAGAACCGCAAGCGACATCAATCACGCGGTACGTCGAGAGGGCTTCCACCTAAAAATTACAATTAATATATTCCTATTAAGACCCAATAATATTTCGCAACGAAAAGAGGAAATCAAATTAATGTGCCTGGACGCATCCAGGATTAGGTGCATTATAAAACGACGCAAAATAAAATTCAAATCTAGCCTGTAGTCAGTAGGACTTAAATAATAATCAAACATGCCTAAGCTTGATTTAAGTTTTGAGAGTCGTAAAAGTCGCAAAGTGGCACTGCGCATGCGCTGCTACGGTCAATGTAGCACTGCTAAACGAAACACTCCACTACAAATGACTAAAAAAGACGCTTAATAGCGCGACGTACAGTGCCTCGCCGCGCTATTCAAATATGATCCCTTACTTATAGAAAAACATACCATCTTAGGCACGAGCTGGTCTTCCGAGTCCCCATGTCCAAGTCGCCCGTATCGGCCTTTACCCCATGTGTAGATACGGCCTCGAGCGGTGAGGCACGCAGAGTGCGCGCCGCCGCAAGCTATCGCTACCACCTCCAAGCCGGCCAGCGCTGTTATGAGCTTGGGACGATCGTAGCTCCTGTGAAAGCGATGTACAGTTGACAGATATCACTTAAAGAAGAAATTTTGGACCCTGCATTATTTTAGATTTAAAATTAGGTGCGTTATAGATAGACAAAACCCTGTGCTGATATCGTTTCTAGTGGATAATGTCTCGTTCTCAACTGTACAGCATATTTCGTAACTTATTTGATATTTGTTACTCAATGAATTTGTTTTCATGTTCACTAGGTATTTATTTTTAAGGCGATTAGAGTCCTCAATCCGCGCCAAATGGGCATTTTGTAAAGCCTACTCCTCTTTTACTGCTGGATAGAAATAGTTGAAAAAAATATATGTTATACAACAGTTCAAGGACTACATTTGTGACGTTTGAATTTTCGCTACGTTTCTTTGTTTTGGATTAAAAAAATAAATACGGGACATCGATTTTTTACTTAAATTCCCTACTCCTCCAAAACGGCTATGTTAATTTAAAAGATTTTTGCACGAATAGATTAGGAATTCTTTAATCTTTAAATGACACGTTGCGATTTTCAATCGAACATTACTTTCATTCATAAATTTAACTTTTGATAAATTCCGAACGTTTTGCTGTGGAGGGGGCCTTCGCGGGGTGCGGGCGGCAGTCGGCCGCTGGCCTTCAGACGGGGAGGTTGTGTCACTCGCTGCAAACTGACATTAGCGATCAAAATGATTTTTTTCTTTGGCTGAGTTGCACCACCTGACGTGACCTAACTTTGACCGTAGCTTTGGCAAACTGACATTAGCGATCAAAATGAATTTTTTCTTTGGCTAAGTTGCACCACCTGACGTGACCTAACTTTGACCGTAGCTTTGGCGATAACCGGTGTTTTTTGTATGGAGTTAGACAGATTTTTGACGCTTGTCAAAGTTGAAGTAAGATGGTGCAACCCAGCTTTTGTTCGACAATAGATTTTATGTCAGAATTGTTCATAGAGTACGTGCAGTCAGATGATACAATTGAATTATGACGCGCTCAGACGCTATTTTCTACCTGAATAGAATCTATTAGTGTAAAAAAACTATAATTGACTCCGAAACAACTGCACTAGATAAATACAAGTAGAAAAATTATTAAGTTATTTATTTACTAGGCCTTTGCAATCAGTATCCAAATTAGGAGCTAGTCAGAATCTGTAACTTAATCGGGTATGCGGGTGTCTATGGGCGACGGTAATCATTTACCAACAGGTGATTCGTTTGCTCGTTTGCCTCCTGTCACATTAAAAAAATTAAGATAAAGTGATATTGAATTGTTCTATAGAGCTTATTAAAAAATTTGGATACTGATTACAAAATTAGCCATTTTCCGAGTCGGTGGCAGCCTACCTTTTGGTGAGTCGTTTTGGAGTTGGTTTTAATTTTTAGTGAAATTAATCTATTTCAATTTGAAATCCTCTTATAAGGTGATGAATTTTAGGAGCATGTCATGAAACCAACATTATTAGCATACAAGAGCTTGTTTTTAAAAAAATCTTTTTATTTATGATGGGGAATTTACTGCGGCGTAGTAGCAGAGATTTTCCGTTTGTAGATCGTAATAATTTCGAAGAATAGGGATGTTTCGTGGATAAAGCAAGAAAGTAGCAAGAGTTTGAACTTACCAAAAACAAACTCTAAATGTATTTTTCACATTTTTAAACATGAAAATTTAAAGAGATGAAGCGCACCAAAGTTCAGAAGATGAGGCACATGACGTCAAGGCATGCTTAAAAATGTGGCGATTTGTGTCGTCACGCGGAATTTCATCGCATCATATTATTATCTTCGTAATTACTTGTTTAATTGACAAATAAAAATATCCTGTGTCCAATATTTTTTGATAATGTAAAATTGACGGACCAAAAGTATTTTTTTAAGAAACTAGCCTATTCTTATGGCCACATTCCAGCTCCATCATCAGACCCTGCAATTTTTAGAAAATTGTAATGAAATTATTTAGGTATAATATTTTTTTTTTATGCAATGCAAGGCAGGTATTTGACCACAATCGCACCTGATGTTAAGTGGGATGCAGTCTAGGATGGTACATATCTGCCCTGTAAGTGCTTATTCACTCTCGCCTTGAAGAGGCCCGGATTAATTTTTTTTATAGTTTGGATTATAATAAATAAATACAAATCAAACGAGCCTAAACTCGATGGAATCGTTTAATCCCGGAGTTGCTATGGGGCCACTGGCATTCCAGCTCTACCATCAGATCAGCTCCATGTCATCACAATATTCCATTGTCACCCGAATTACATGTATATCCGAAATTTTAACTCAATCAATTGATGAAGGATTTCTAATAAAAAGACAAATACATTTTCAGTTTATTTTTCATAAGTGACACAGAGAGAATGACAATAGACAAAAGCAGAAACATTTGCTTTTTTAGGCCATAGACAATACTAGGTACTAATGCGTTCCAATACTTCCAATAGGGATGATGACTGGGTAATGAAATCGAAATTCTAATTAGTCCGTCAGACAGATAATTAGAAAATATTAGACCCATATTTTTTAATTTTTTCCATAATCGAATAATTACAGTATTATTTGAGTTGAAATCTCGCGTGACGTCACATTTGAGTAAAACTTCTACTCAAGCGTGGCGTATCGCGCCATTTCAACTCGATGTAGCACTGTTATTATTTAATTATGAAAGAAAATATGGATTTTGTTATTTTTATTAAATACCTTTACGCCTGAGTTAAATGACACCGACATCAAGGTTCATCAATTTAAGTTTAAAATAATAGGCAGTAATGTATGAAGAAAGAGCTTCTATTCTGTATCTACCTATGCCCGTGTATTTTTGATCGGTGTCAAATCGGAGTTTTTGGTGCGGGGTACGCGGGTGTTGCTCGCGGCGTGAAGGTCAAACGCCCAAGGTCATTGAGGACTCTAATCGCCTTAAGTAGCCAGTCACACAATAAGTGGAAAAACTTACACTCGATTACCATGTCCCAGTTTCCCGTCTTCTCCCTCGCCCCAACTGTACACGTCGCCATCCGACGAAAGTGCTAAACAGTGTTTTCCTCCAGAATTGCAGGCAACCTTGTATAAACACAAAAAAAAAACAATTTAGCTTGTTAAGATTATAGCTTAATGCAAATAACACAGAAAATATGCAACGTGTAGATAGTATTCCTGCTATAATAATGTTATTTAATTAAAACAGTTACATACCTTTGTGATAAAAACATGTTGTATCGAGGCCAAAAGAGTCGGTTGCGAAACAGAGTCGATGCCACCGATGCCCAAACGTCCACCGGCTCCGTAACCTAGAAAGGATATTCAATAAGTCAACATTGTAAAATGTATTGTTTATATCCTTAGCTAGAAATTACACCCAGAAACTCAATCTCCATTTCGAATACTGATAACATCAGAATGACGTTGTTAACCCAAATACACATGGATGGAGATGACCTAGCCGCCCTTGGAACTTAGTCTATAACACGTACCAGTAGCATACACTTTTCCATCAGGCGTCACAGCGAAGAGCGTTTGTTCTCCACCAACTAACTGCACCGGGTTGAGTGCGGCTAGTGCATGGCAAGGTGTAGGCGTGCGCACTATAGCGCCCTATACGCCACCAGGCCTGGCTCACTCCGCGCGGTACATCCGATAATTACCTACAGCGAAGCGCCCCGCCGGCGGGTATTATATCAGTCGAGTGTCACGCGCGCTCGTCAGGACGCTGACGTGCGTTGTAGTACCTAATTCTATGATCGAAGTATTATTTAAAAATGGACATAAAGAGAAAGAAATATTATTGTGCGGCGTTCGGGTGTTTAAATTCGAAAAGAAATATACCGGATTTATCTTTTTTTTCGCTTCCCAAAGATGCTGAAAGGTATGTTGGCCATGCAGGTAATCAATAATTCTTAGCTTAGGATAGTATAGGAACCTAACCTACCATGACTACTGCTCAGAATGCGTTCGTTCGTTTCAGCCAAAAATGACGTCCACTGCTGGACAAAGGCCTCTCCCAAGGTTTTCCATAATGAATGCGTACTTACCTACATACGTACCTCATTACAAATAAGTAGATTAATTATTTTTTTACTAGACACTACTAGACAGCAACCCTAACAGCGTAAGAAGAGTTGAGAGGCACGCGATAGAAAGAGACAAAACTTGTAGGTGAATAAAATTGTAGGTACGTAGTGCTGTGCGAGCTGAATTCCACTGTATCGCGTCGTAGCAAGACTCGCATTTATTTAAATCGTCTTGCGGAGTAATCCTTCTGTACCTGTACTATTACTTATTCTGTGACGCCACCTAGCAGCCCACGTGACAGTTACCTTAGCTGTTCTTGGAACTTAGTCTATGACACGTACCAGTAGCATACACTTTTCCGTCAGGCGTCACAGCGAACAGCGTTTGTTCTCCACCCACTAACTGCACCGGGTTGAGTGCGGCTAGTGCATGGCAAGGCGTGGGCGTTCGCACTTTAGCGCCCTCTACACCACCCAGCTGTGATGGTTGATGCCCTATCTGTCCTCGGAACTAGTCTATAAGACGTACCAGTAGCATAAACTTTGCCGTCAGGCGTGACAGCGAAGAGCGTTTGTTCTCCACCCACTAACTGCACCGGGTTGAGTGCGGCTAGTGCATGGCAAGGCGTGGGCGTGCGAACTTTAGCTCCTTCCACGCCGCCTAGTTGCCCACGTGGTTGTAACCCCAGTTGTGTTTGAAACTAGTCTATAATACGTACCAGTAGCGTACACCTTGCCATCAGGCGTCTCAGCAAAGAGCGTTTGTTCTCCACCCACTAATTGCACCGGATTGAGCGCGGCGAGAGCGTGGCAAGGCGTGGGCGTGCGCACTTTAGCTCCTTCCACGCCGCCTAGCAGCCCACGTGATAGCTGCCCTAGTAGTCCTTATAATACGTACCAGTAGCATATACCTTGCCATCAGGCGTCACAGCGAACAGCGTTTGCTCCCAGCCCACCAGTTGCACCGGGTTGAGTGCGGCTAGTGCATGGCAAGGCGTGGGCGTCCGCACTTTAACGTCCTCTACTCCACCCAGCTGTGATGGTTGATGCCCTATCTGTCCTTGGAACTAGTCTATAAGACGTACCAGTAGCATACACTTTTCCATCAGGCGTCACAGCAAAGAGCGTTTGTTCTCCACCCACTAACTGCACCGGGTTTAGTGAGGCGAGAGCGTGGCAAGGCGTGGGCGTGCGCACTTTAGCGCTCTCTATACCACCCAGCTGCCCATATGATAGCTACCCTAGCTGTGTTTGAAACTAGTCTATAACATGTACCAGTAGCATACACTTTTCCATAAGGCGTGACAGCGAAGAGCGTTTGTTCCCCGCCCACCAGTTGCACCGGGTTGAGTGCGGCAAGGGCATGGCATGGCGTGGGCGTGCGCACTTTAGCGCCCTCTACATCACCAAGCTGTTATGGTTGATGCCCTATCTGTCCTTGGAACTTAGTCTATGACACGTACCAGTAGCATACACTTTTCCATCAGGCGTCACAGCGAAGAGCGTTTGTTCTCCACCCACTAGTTGGACCGGAGTAAGCGCGGCAAGGGCATGACTAGGCGTGGACGTGCGCACTTTAGCGCCCTCTACATCACCAAGCTGTTATGGTTGATACCCTATCTGTCCTTGGATCTATAAGAGTCTATAAGACGTCTATAAGAAGAGTATATAAGGGTCTATAAGACGTACCAGTAGCATACACCATTCCGTCAGGCGTGACAGCGAAGAGCGTTTGTTCTCCACCCACTAACTGCACCGGGTTGAGCGCGGCGAGATCGTGGCAAGGCGTGGGCGTGCGCACTTTAGCTCCTTCTACGCCACCAAGTTGCCCACGTGACAGTTACCTAAGCTGACCTTGGAACTTAGTCTATGACACGTACCAGTAGCATACACTTTTCCATCAGGCGTTACAGCGAAGAGAGTTTGTTCTCCACCCACTAACTGCACCGGGTTGAGTGTGGCTAGTGCATGGCAAGGCGTGGGCGTCCGCACTTTAGCTCCTTCCACGCCGCCTAGTTGCCCGCGGTGGTTGTGGCCCCAGCCGTATACGGCGCAGCCGAGCGAGCCGCCGCTCCACCAGCCTGTCCAGTCTTCGGGACGCCTAGAATTGAGTAGATACCATAAACCAATCATTTCTAGGGACAACTTTTCTAACAGATAACTAATTCTAGTCTAAAAGAACACAATAAAAGGTGAGGTATGTGAGCGGCACGGGAGGGGTGACATTGACATATTATGACGTGACAAGGCATACAAATTTGAAGTCTCGCTGATGCTACATTACAAAAAACCGTGCTAATCCCATACCTCAGGCACTGATTGAGACTGAGTTAAACGATAGACCTATATTAAAAAGAAGAATGTCAATGAGGGTTATTTTTAACATGACATTGACAGATATGTCAAATTCCATCATTCACGCAGCATTTGGACCTCGCGTCTACGTATTGCCATCTGGCGGATTTTTCAATCGCGAAAACCCTCATTGACTGGTGGTATCAACTGGCTATGGTTGAATGCGACAGTGACAAAAATGTATTTTTTCTATAACTAGCTGACCCGGCGAACTTTGTTCCGCCTCAATGGCAATAAATAAGCAGACTTTTTTTTAATTTCGAACGGGATAAAAAGTATCCTATGTCCTTCTCCTGGCTCTAAACTACCTCCCGGACAATTTTCAGCTAAATCGGTTCAGCCGTTCTTGGTGTTATAAGCGAAGTAACTAACACGACTTTCTTTTATATATATAGATAATCGAAACGTAATTAAAGGATCTTACTTGTTGACCCAATGCAGCAACTGTTCGTCGTGTTGACGCGTGAACTTCGTGTTATCTTCCCACGGATACTGTGCATCGGTACTCGTCTCGTCCGAGTTATAAACTCCTAGATCCGACAATCTCTTCCTAACATCAGCTAGGAAAGGCATCGGCATGGGAACGCGGCGTATGAGAGCGTCGGCCGCCCGAATGCAGAGGCAGTATCGCTTGAACCATCGAGCGGTGTCGGGACCAGTGCAGACACGAGTGTCCATGCGCAGACCACATGCTAGCCAGGCTAACTCCTGTAAAATTAATAGATGAATATAACTATTTGGCTTCCCCAGACCGACTAGTCAGCCTAGGGACTATAGCCAGACCTGTTCATCTCCGTGAGTTTACATCGAAAACAAAACACGCACGATACTATTCGACAAGGCCTCACATACGAGCGAACATTGACTCGCGCACGCGTATTCTTGTGTATGATGGAAGAAAATAAAGAAAATGGTGTACTTAATACTGTGCAGTATTTAACTGCCTAAATAATAAAAACACAGAATGTACTTTTTTAAGTTGCCTCAAGACACTGAGAGGTAAATAAGTAGTTAATATTATTCATGATAATTCATGCTAAATCATGTATTTCCTCCGCCATTTACCGCAGTTTGGCACCTCACCTCACATCATTTTACCGAAGTCAGCCTTATAGCTTCGGCGCAGTGCCGATCACTGACGTTTGTCAACAAAATGGTGCTTGACTCTTGAGACAGGCTAAATTACACCATATTGTTAATGACATTGAGCATACATTTTTTTAAATACCTTCGCGAAGTAAAACTTCTGTACGTAGTACTTATTATTATTCTGTGCTATAGCCCAAAAACTCTATTTGCCTTTCGTAAATGCAGAGGGACGTGTTCCTGAAGTTTCCCACTACATTACCTAATGATGATGGCTGAAGCTGTCACCTTGCCGCCTTAGAGATACTAACTAAATACCTACTGCCCTAAGTACACGTAAGACATTTTTTACTTTTTCTATATTATATAGCATCCATTCACTCAAAGATTTACCAAGTTAATACTTATTACATACCTATCTTGCTAATAGTTTCGAGGTTGTTAACTGTGACTGAAGTTTCTTCCACAACTTTTGAGGACCAGCCGATATTCTGTCCCGTAATGATGGTAGGAAGGACAATCTATGTTTGGGAGCCTAGTGCCCGTTTTCACCATCAATCACTAATTTTAAAGTGACCCCTATGGTAAAACATAACAGGAATTTTGTTTGCATAGGGGTCACTTAAAAATTTGGGATTGATGGTGAAAACGGGCGTAAGCCTACCTTGAGGTAGTGTGTATGAGTAAGGTGCGTGCCAGTTCTTAGCGCGGGCTCCTCGTGCTCATACTGCGCGTGCAATAGTTGCGGAAGGTGCGCCAGCGCGGGCGGCGGCGGGCCCGCCTCTCCGGGAGAAAACAAACTTTATTCTCTTACAAATAAGACGTTTTGTTGCCAACAGTAACTGATGACTTATGCCTGGCTATAAACGTCTTATTTGAAAGAGAGTAAATCCTATTTTCTTTTAGCATGCCACGTCTCATATATTCATCTAGCTACGTACCTTGATGTGTGTATGAGTAAAGTGGGTGCCACTTCTTAGCGCGGGCTCCTCGTACTCATACTGCGCGTGTAACAGCTGCGGCAAGTGCGCCAACGCAGGCGGCGGGCCCGCCTCGCCGGGAGAAAACCTACCTTATTCTCTTACGAATAAGACGCTTTTTTCCCAATAGTAACGGACGACTTATGTCTGGCTATAAACGTCTTATTTGAAAGAGAGTAAAGGCTATTTTCTTTTAGCATGCCACGGCTCCTATATTCATCTAGCTACGTACCTTGAGGTAGTGCGTATGAGTAAGGTGTGTTCCAGTTCGTAGTGCGGGCTCCTCGTGCTCATACTGCGTGTGCAACAGTTGCGGAAGGTGCGCCAGGGCTGGCGGCGGCGGCGGGCCCGCTTCCCCGTCCAATCCGCATACAACGCCGCGTAGGCGCCGCACGCACCATACGCGGCCGCGCCATGCTGGAAGATAATAAACCTTATTGATACATGCCGTATGTGGTACAAAGTCGAGTAAGGAATTTTAAGAAGGGAAGAAGGTGCGGTGGAGGGTTATCTGGTCAAGGCAGCCGCAGTTCCGCGCACATCTCCCCTGATTCGGCCAGGTTAGTAGGGCCATAGGAAGTGGAGGATAACCCACGTTTTTCGTAGCTTTTATTTTTGTATGATTCGCATAGCACCACTACCTATGCAGTGTAGTGGTGACTACGTAGAGTCGTAGACCGTTCCGCTGTCTCCTTTTCAAGCACATAGTCGATGTTCGTCACATGGTAATGTAAATATTTACTTAGAAGAGTACAATACAAAATTTCGATCTTCTGAATTCATATAAATAGCTGTCAACCAATCACTGATATTTTTTATATTAAAGACTGTTTCTAGCAAAATAAAAACAAGCTATGGTAAGACAAAAGTACTTACACAACGAAGGCATTTGAGCGCAAATGGCAAGAGCCTGAGCCAATCGTGGAGCCAGCTGGTGGTCATTGGAAATGGTGGCCAGAAGCGGACCATCCAGTAGCCGCCAGGCCAGCTCTACCGATGGACTAGATAACACGTAACGATCGGACCCACTTTCCTGTAAGAAATAACACTCTCTGAACTCAGAATCACACAATACATATTTATTTTTTTACGGATTTCAAAGTCATTCATGTCAACATACGTAAGACATGTAAGATATCAACATTTACTTACCACAGTAGAGTGAGATGGAAGTATCGGATGAGCTGTGAACCTCCAGCCCCATCCATTGACTGAACCGTCGCTTGTGAATCTCCAACGCAATTCGTCACCTGGTCAACAATACAGGTAACACTAATTTATCATCTTTCACTGTGTTATAAGTATAAATACGACGCGTTCTTTGAATTACAACTTAAAATGTCTCAGAATAGAGCTTAAGATTGCAATAACAATTAACGTTACATACCAACAACAATGATTTCTTGCGACCAGTCGACGGGTTCGCGGCCAGACCTCGTGGCCAGTACGCGACCAGTCGAGTCCGATATCGTGAGGGGATCGTTGCGTCGCTCCGTGGAACAACCTTGCTCGAACACCACTCGTAAGGACGATGCACCCGGGATTTTTACCACGCCTACACGAAAGAAACTATTGTCAGTATGACGTGTACTATAGTGCAAGAAGTAACAGAGCGGTATTCGCATCGTCTCTAATTTTAAGCTTCGCCGGCTACGGCGAATGCATCGAATATGTATAACGAATATATGCATTAATGTCTAAGTTGACGACATTCCGCCTATATGGCGATTATCACACTGCGCCGCGCTCCGCCGCGTTCCGCGTGATATCATATAAAAAATCCCGCGCGCAGACGCGTTGTCATTGCCGCGCGTGTTTTCTATACAAAATGAGCATACAATTATTAAATCTGTCGTCCCGCGTACCGCGGCGGAGCGCGGCGCAGTGTGATAATCGCCTATGTCCTTATCTCTTTTCTAATTCAGGCACCTAGGGACTAAAACTAGCTGCCATGAGCAATATAATCTTAGCTTTTTTAAGACAAGAAGCACTCTATACTTTGCAAGAACGTTCAGCCTAGAAAATGTTTCAATGCTAGTTGAAAGTCGTAAACGTCATTGATAAGACCGACCAAAAAGAAACCACCCACCTGATATATCCGTATCATCAGCATAAGGATGTGGGCTGTCCACAGTGACTGGTTGCGGCGGGGCGCGGCCACCACCAGCGGCCGCTTCTTCTAACTCACACACGCACACTTCCACCACCATGTCGGCCACTGCTGGCTTACTGGCACATAATGCTAGAGGAAAAAAAAGAAAGATAGCAGTCATTTACAAATAATAAAATACAATGGTGACAAAGTTTGTTGCGGCGCTTCTTCTCAGCACTTGCCAAAGTTGGTCTCGAAGCGCTGTTAGGGTAAAGATTATGAGACATGTAGAGGCAATATGAACAAAATATTTGACGATTTGTAGGTACTATTTGAATAGTCTATTTTTTAACTGTGACTTTAACCCATTCAATTTCCAACAAATTATAACCAAGCAAGATTCCATAATTAAAAATGCCCAAATTAAAAAAAAAAACAAAAAAAAAAAACAATCAACTGTGACTTTGACTTACAATGTACCACAGATTGCATATTTAAAAAGATTTGTAGTGATACTACTAACCCATGAGAACATCTGTAATAATTTTGACAGCATTGTTGGCATCCGGTATCCGTCCTGCTGCGGCCAATTTTAATAAGTCTACGAGAGCTCTGGCATCTGATTCTCCCAGCTGCGATGTGAAATCGTCTAACACCATCTAAAATTAACACAAAGATATGTTATTTCAAATGAAATTTAAAAAATAACATATCTGTACCCAACAATAAACAACCTTTGGAGCTTCAGCTTGTTGAACGGTCATAGTTGCAGCGGCGACGGATACAGCACTTGATGACATCACAGCCGAATGTCTAGATGATATTGATCCACTCAGGGGACTGCTAGCACCACTCTGCAAACATATTTACTTGGTAAGACATTGGCCGGCCTAGGTTGCGCGCAACGATATAATTTTATTATGGATTTTAGACGACAAATGTATGAGTTCATGGTCAACTATAAAATATCCCATCAAAAACAATACTTGTCAAAAAAACCAAGTCTCGCAACTCAGTTGTTCTACGGTAAAAAGTTGTGAGATCCATGTAATACCAAGTCCAGGCCAGGAAATCTTTAACGTTTTACATAAATATATTGACTTGGCCATCGCACTAAATAATTTAATTTACACGTGTTTTCATGCGTAGAACAACTGAGTTGCGAGACTTGGTTTTTTTGACAAGTATTGTTTTTGATGGGATCTCATTTCTTTTTGTATTTTGTAGACAGCAGTTATGTATCTAGAAAACTGGACCGAAATTGAAAAATTTTACTCGACTTGGCGGTTGCACTACCGTGCCCCCAAATATTTTAGTTTTTCCTTGATTCATACACCAAACACTACTTATATTCCAAATTTGAAGCTTCTAGGTCTGCTAGAAGTGCCTTAGAGTTTTGATGATCGGTGAGTCAGTGAGTGAGTCAGTGAGTCAGTGAGTCAGTCAGTGAGTGACAAAATTAAGTAACTTTGACCCGTTATAATTCTTAAACTACTGGTTCAAATTGAATGAAATTTTAAATATACCGTGTCTTTACAATGCCTGCATAGCTAATGAAAATTCAGCCTTCTAGTTTTATCCACAACGAAGTTACAGGCGGTCGAAAATGGCCTGAATTGCTTCGAGAAAAGGATGGTACGGCCGTGCCGCTTTTTTGCTCGACTTGGTGGGGGCACTGCCGTGCCCCCAGATTATTTGCGTATACCGTATATCTGTGCTACTAAAGAATCTCCAAAAGGTAAAAAGGAGCAAAAGTGTTCTCGGACGAAGACGAAGATAAGCGTGTAGCGTAGGATCTACACATCTAACCAAATGGAATGACGATCACAAACTGATAGCTGACAGCGTCTGGATAAAAACAACCAGAGATAATACTTTGAGCCGCTCCTTGGGAGACCTACGTTCAACAGTGAAGTACTATAATCTGAAATGATAACGTATGTCAAATGTTTTTTTAAAGACACTCACCGGCAATGTAGCCCGATCCGCTGGGGCTTCCCCTCCACCAGTACGGGCGTCTGCCTCCACGTCTTCGTCTTCTGTGTCTATGACCACAGACACCGGCACTGCTGCCGAGCAAGCTTCGTGGGCGCGTAGGGCTTCGACTAGGAGACAGCGCGCCTACAATCGAAGATAAACAATTAACACTCAAATCTTAGCTACTGTTGTATGTTGACAACCTTTCCACTTCTATCTTCATGAATTTCCCAGCTTCTATCTAATTTATTAAGCAAAGTTATATTGGTCTAGCGCTTAACTGAGTCAGTGCCTGCTCAGGCACTGACTCAGTTAAGCGCTGGGACTGGCATGGGAAGGCGTTTTGTGACGTCAAACGTCAGCGAGACTTCAGATGAGCTTCAGACTTGTGTGTTTTGTCAGGCCTGTTCATCTCCGCGAGTTTACATCGAAAACAAAACACGCACGATGGCCCACCTACAGGATACTATTCGACAAGGCCTCACATACGAGCGAACATTGACTCACGCACGCGTATTCTTGTGTATGATGGAAGAAAATAAAGAAAATGGTGTACGAAATACTGTGCAGTATTTAACTAAGCCTAAATATTAATAAAAACACAGAATGTACTTTTTTAAGTTGCCTCAAGACACTGAGAGGTAAATAAGTAGTTAATATTATTCATGATAATTCATGCTAAATCATGTATTTCCTCCGCCATTTTCCGCACTTTGGCATCTCACGTCACATCATTTTACCGAAGTCAGCCCTATAGCTTCGGCGCAGTGCCGATCCCTGACGTTTGTCAACGAAATGGTGCTTGACTCTTGAGACAGGCTAAATTACACCATATTGTTAATGACATTGAGCATACATTTTTTTAAATACCTTCGCGAAGTAAAACTTCTGTACGTAGTACTTATTATTATTCTGTAGTTTTGTCACATCGTAATATGTCAATATCACCCGTCCCGTGCCGCTCCCATGCATCGCTCCTTCAGGCATTGACTCTGTTATGCGCTATACCTGTTAGTTCTTTTCTCTCACCTGCGTAATATGTAGAGCCAGCAATATGAGAGACAAGGCATGTTGTACTGCTACTGGCGGTTCCAAGCCGAGGGCAGCCGCCGCTAGAGAAGGCTTGGGCCCTTGGGGCTCTTCTACTACCGCTTCATCGGAATACAGACCTAGACGACAAATAACTTGTAATAAAACGGAGTCCATGTAGTGTTTATCTTTGGTGGCAAATACAATAAGCCTAAAAACATCGAGATATTAAAAAAGATCTATTTAATAATATTAAATTATATTATATTATAATAGCAAATATTTATAGTTTTCGCAGTAGTTTCTAATCAAGTTGTCAAATCAAGGAGGTTTTTCCCATGACAATATTGTAATGAATTTAACAGTTTAGTTATATCTCTGTGGTTGAGGATTTCGGGTGAAGCTCGTTCCTACCTCCGGCTTCATCATCACCTTCAATCAGGTGAGATGCAGACCAAGAGCTTTCTCGTTGTGAATAAAAAAAGCAATTCTACAGTAACAGGACATAGTTCTTAATCTCACTTACCAAGGCTCTGTGCTCCCAACGGGTCTTTCAACGTAGGGAACGGCAGTGGAGCTATGTGCGGAGTCTTCGTTTCATCTATCACAGCGTGTTGCGACGGTCTGACAGACCACGCGGCGGAGTGCGATGACCCCGCTGCCGCTCTTTGGACGCCTTCGACTCCCGCGACTAAAGCGGGACGCCTGTTCACACAGGTCGTACCGTTGCCTTGTTGACCGTGGTCGTTGTCACCCCACGCCCAAACCTAGGAGTAAATAGTCGATTTAAATAGTCTGCGTTTTTATTTCATTTTTTATTTTTATTTAATAAGTACACATACAGGTTACAGTCATTTACATATCAAAATACATAAACAAACTGAACAGTGTCTAGACTCCAAACTACAGGTAGCGTACATTTAAGTTACGATGGTTTAATGATTTTATTTACGTTGCACAATTAATAAACACATACAAAATGCTCAAAAGATGTTTTAAGGTGTTTTACCCACATATTTTTGAACATGAAAAATACCACTGTTTCGGGACAATATCTTACTTGTGGTCCAGAACTGAGAAGAAGTAGCACAATAAACTCAGTGACTATATTTGGCGGCGTATAAGTCACTACCTCACTTGAGGTTCTCAAGATAGAGTGAGGAAGAAAATTCAACATTATGATTTTATCTCATAGGTAATAAATTAAGAAATTAGCCACATTGCCACATATCCATAAAGAAGAATGGTTCCTACTTCCTGACCTGGTTATCGCTGGTTACAGCCAGACAGTGCAAAGCCCCGACTGCCACGTGCACGACGCGACGGCCTCGCAGCGCCTCCACTAAAGTAGGCCTACGCACGTGCGCGTCAAAACCGTGGCCAGGCCAAAGTAGTATCTTTGCCCCATATCTATAAAGAGCAATGTCCCCTGCAATTTGTTCGCTCACCTGATTATCACTAGTCACAGCCAGACAGTGTAAAGCCCCGACCGCCACGTGCACGACGCGTCGTCCCCGCAGCGCCTCCACTAAAGTAGGCCTACGCACGTGCGCGTCGCAGCCGTGGCCCAGTCTGAAGTAGTCGCCTTTGCCCCATGTCCACACCTAAAAATATGTATGTTGGTTAACTTTTATCAACAGCAGAAGTTCATGTCTGTCGGTAAATAGAAAATACTTGTAACAGATGTAGTCAGATAATACTAGGTGGAGAGCATAATTGTCACTAAGGGCAAGGATTACAAATAACACTGGGTAAATCGAAAATATAAAAAAAAACTTGCAGGTCATTCCCAATTGCAGCTTCTGTATAAAGATTTATCCACCTCAATCTCACTCAAAGGAAAGTGCTAACATAAGCGGAAACACAGATATAGATATACATAGATAACGCAAGTAACACGATCTGTATTAAAACCAAGCGTGCCGACTTTTTAATACCTACTGTGACGTCACAGCCAACATTTAGTGACGGGAAATCGTAATCGATTCAAAGATGCCGATACCGCCGTTGCCCCAACGCACCGCTACGATCACAGAAATGGCATCGATTATCTGACAGACGAATGAGATACACAGACGAATGAGATATACAGACGAATGATATTAAACGGAATGTTTAAATAAATAAATATTTTCATTGAATTTTAAATAAAAATGTATAATTCTAAAACAGATTGCTTATTATAATTACATCGTTGCTGCGCGGGCATTTTTCGAGCCGCCAGTGTTGTCACACATAATAAATTTTTTTGTATCATTAATTTCATCCTGTTTAAGTTTATTTTGAGACAAGTTCACATGTAGTTTTCTTTTAAAAAACACAATTAAATAACTACAAAAGGGTAATTTTAGACACGATCCGATAAACGATAGGGATGAATTTTGTATTATTATTCAATTTTCTTCCATAAACTTTGAATTTTTGACGAATTTCAATATGTAACTACTACATGTGATATATCATTAGAAAGAAGAGAAGCTAGAGATATTTTTAAGATTATTGGCAATCAATTATCACCTTCTTTTTTTTTTGATAAGAATCGATTATTGATTAAAGTAGTAGAACGAACAACACTAGTAGCAAAATTTGACAGACGAATGAGAAGTTGCGTGTACAACGAAGTCGAAGCGATGCGCGACAGTGGCGCTTGTCCGTTATACATCGCCTCTTAACACATAACGTCAGATCAAACGCTCAAAACAAACCCGGCAATGTATCGTAAAAAATTTTTTGAATGGTAAGTTATAGATTTTTAGGTACAGTCTTGAAACCACAGCTTGGAATACTTAAAAAAATGTTTTAAAATGAATTAACACTTAATATAATATTAAAATAACTTACCCGTGATAGGAAATATGTCCTTGCCTTTGGGAGCTCGAAATTTTTGGCTTATTGCAATTAATTATCACACATTGAGGCATTTTTCTACTTTTCGCGGCCGTCCGCATGCAACAACAGACGCGCGTGGACTGTAAGCAGCGGCAGCTCATTCCGATGATTTATCGGGATCGGGACACGCGAAGTAGGTGCATTCGCGTTATCTAGGTATATCTATATCTGTGAGCGGAAACAACATACACCCCGCAATATAGAACACGGTGTTAGGGAGTAACCCCGTTGATGAAAGTGATTGGAAAATTTTCATCATTTCTTAAAGTCTTTATAGTTGAATCAGTTAACTCACGTAATGAAATTATAACTTACCTCGCCATCCCTGGTCAACGCCAAGCTAAATTGTGCTCCACACTCTACTTGGACGACACCAAGCGTGTTTAGTCTTTCGATATTCATGGGTACTGCGCAGCCGTCGGATCCACCGCGTCCTAAATTCAAAGCTGTACATTTAGTAACGAGCACAGGACGGAATAAATGCAACTGTGGAAGCTGGCATAGTTATTTAAATGGAGGCACAATCAGCCAAATAGTTCGTGACACCCAAAGTTGCCAAAAAGTTCGCAACACGTCTTTAATACGCTAAGAATAAGGTTGTGATGTCAACTTTTTGGCCACATTGGGTGTCACGCACTATTTGATGCTGACTGTACTCGGGTTATGATCTAAAGATTTTTGAGATGTAAATGGCATTGCATTAAATTGAGCATAAGCGAGTCGGCACATAAAAGAATTGCGCAGCATGTAAAGAGGCCACATTATGCGTTTATATCTGTCACTTTTTATAATGTCATGAAATGAAAAATTTTTACTTGAAAAATCGAATATGTTCTGTATTTAAAGTTACCTGATAAGCTTCAAGTAGCTGCTTTCATAGTTTAAAACTTACCAAGTTTCCCGAAGTCGCCGTCGCCCCAGGAGAAGACCTTACCGCAAGCAGTCAGCGCTAAGGTTTGCGCGTCACGTGACCCGCACGCGACTTGAACTACCCTGAGGCCGGCTAAAGCTTCCACCTAAAAAACCATAAGTCATATTTTTGCGTTTGTTTTTTCGTACGGACGACTGCTCATCAAGCTAATTAGTGGTCTTATTTTGTAGTAAAACAGGGTATATTGCAACAAAAATATATGACTGTACATAAATCACGAAAAAATCTTTTAGAATAATTCCTTTAACACTACGATCCGATATTATAACTTCTACTAACCAAATAAGCACCAAACCCTTTTTTTAATCGAAGAACAGAACTTTTACAATATTGATCACCTTGATTTTGCATAAAATCTCATTTCAACTTACCATCTTAGGCGCCAGCTGAGTGACGTCATCGCCATGGCCCAGCCTGCCATACTCTCCCATTCCCCACGTGTAAAGATGGCCGCGCGCGGTCACGCACGCGCTGTGGGCCGAACCACAAGCGATGCCGACTACTCGCTCGCCAGAGAGAGATTCTATGAGCCGTGGCACTTCTAATGTGATGCGATTGCCGTGGCCCAATTTGCCGTCTTCACCTTCTCCCCATGAGTATACCTAAAATATTTAGTATAAATAAAACCTCATAAACATCTACAGGATCAAGAAGAAATTGAAGCAATCGGATCGTTTTGAAGATGCGGGATCTGTGATTGCGAATTTTTCCTCAATATTAACAAGTGTGCGAAATGAGTCTCTAAAGTATGTACTTCCAGTTCCAAGATTATACTCTAACCTGTATTGACAATTTCACAATTTGACATGTAATGAATATTATAAATTAAATTTCTTATTGTTATTCTTAACCTAAATTAATAAAGGATGGGTCAATTTTCTAGAGCGAACATGAATATAAAAATAATTTACACTAAAGCCTTTATCGGATTACTTTGGAAGACATTTTAAACGCAAACGAACCTTTCCATCGGCAGTCAACGCAAGCGCATGTTTCCCTCCAGAATGCACGGCTACTCGGCGCACGAGTGTGTGCGCTAGATGTGGGTTCGCTCGCGGAGTTGATACGTTGTTACTGTGGCCTAGGCCAAGCCGTCCGTTTGTGCCTTCGCCGCATGCATAAAGCTATAAACAAATAGATAATAAGTAGGTTATTTGTACTAACATGACTTATTATTTTATGCCATAGGAAGACTTACCTTTCCATCGTGAGATACAATGAAAAGAGTCTTGGAACCGCCAGCGATGTGGACTGGACGCAATGCGCTGAGGGTAGGTGAAAATACAGGCACTTTTACTTTGGAGCCTTTAACACCACCTAGCTGATCTTTATCGTTCAAACCCCAAACGTAAACCTGGAACATTAGTCATAATTATTTTTTGCTTGGATGAGTGAATGAATTAATACTTCAGAGCCAAGTTCATTTTTAGTTAGCATTACCTTAGGACAGTCGTTAGGCAAAGAAGGGGGATTGTTATCAGCTGATACGGCTCCTGTTGGGTTATCTCTCTCCATCCAATCTTCAGCGACGAAGTTCATAGTCTAAAATGTTGATATTATTAATAGAATATACATTTGATTTTGAAGGTATTATTCTATTTATTAAGAGAATCAATATTTATGTTTGACTTACCTGTAAAACATCGTTGTAAAGTGGATTCGGTCTAAAGCCAGTTATGTAAAGGCCATGGACACGGCAATCGGCATTCACGTTTCGGTTTTGCTTTATGCTGATTTCGATGCAAGGATAGTACTAAAATCAGAAAAAAATATGATTGCAATAAGACCATTTATTGTGTGTATATTCTAGTGATTTGAAATAAGTGCCATCTAGTCGCAAAGAACAATATCTTCTCTTCATTCATGTTATAGGGCATTGGTTCCCAAAGTGGGGGGCGCAAAGACCTTTTAAGGGGGGCGTGAGCCATCTGTAAGAAACCTGCGACCGCTGAGAGAATGAATTCTAGACTGCTCGATACGACCAATAAATAATCTTGATTGGTCGTTTGTATGGTCGAAAGGGGGCGCTTACGGGACTATTCCCACCTCTCGTTCCCACCACTGCAACTCCTGTGTAGCCAGGATCTACAGCTATAACAAGGGGGCGCATCTCAAATGAGTTTGGGAACCAATGTTATAGGGTCTTACCTGTTTACAGTCAGCCAGCAATTGTATCTGTGCTAGATGGTGCGGGGCCCGGTCCCTCGCGGCATGCGCCGGGACCGCCGGGGGCGCACAAGGGGCCGCCGCCAGAGGGGCCAGGGCCGCGTCTTCGAAGCTGGACCCCGCGCGAACGGTCAAAGCGGCGGGCCCGTGGGTCCCACCCGCGACGCCCAGCCCTAGTCGTCGGACGCGGACGCCGCAACGCATTTCAACCCGGATCCAATGCTGCGCATATACAAAGCTATTAGTGGGCGATTAGTGATTTATTTTAAGCCCTGTTACCTACAAAGATATTATTAAAATTACATTTTAATAATCATACTTATTTAGGGTGAAGAAAAAACAGTAGTAAAAGCCCACAAGTCACATTTTTTCCATTAAATAATACTCGCATTCAACGTAAATTTTTGCATTATTTAATAGTTATTATTGGACCACACATGCATATAAAAGTCTAGTTTGAAAATCAAGGGCCCTTTCTTGATTTTTTTTTATGCATGACAAGACAGTTATTTCACCACAATCGCACCTGATGTTAAGGCGATTAGTGTCCTCAATCCGCGTGAAATGGTCATTTTGTAAAGCCTACTCCTCTTTTACTGCTGGACAGAAATAGTTGAAAAAAATATATGTTATACAACAGTTCAAGNCACTAATTTGGAACGTGTCTTTTTCTATTATATACCTAGATTCTGTCCTTACGCAATTTATCTGACTAAAAGCTTGTTACGAGATTTAGGTAAGTTCTTGTAGATGTACCTATTATTTACCTATCCGTGTTTTTTTTAGATTTACTTTAAAATTAAGTTACGTTATGAATGTATTTTTGTTTACACAAGTAAATCTCGCGACGAGCTTTTAGTCATATAAATTGAGTAATGATAGAATCTTTATTTTTTATTCTATTCTTTTTAGAGCATACAAAACCTTGTTTTTTAAAGAATGTTTTTCTTTTAATTTTAATTTAAGCATTTTAGTATTTATGATGCGGAATTTACTACGGCGTAGTAGCATCGTTTTTCTCTAATGTAGCTCGTAATAATTCGAACAATTCTTATGGCCACATTCCAGCTCCATCATCAGACCCTGTTTACATATAGAATTGAAGTAGGTACTCGTGATTTGTAAAGTAGTTTACCGTAACTTTACATAATTAGTACCCTAATGTAAATAAATAAATACAAATCAAACGAGTTTCAACTCGATGGAGTCGTTTTATTCCGGAGTTCCTATGGGGTCACTGACTTTCCAGCTGTATCATCAGATCAGTTCCATGTCATCATAATATTGCATTGTCATCCGAATTGCATGTGTATCCGAAATTTTAACTCAATCGATTGTCGTCAGGAAATGGGTCTAACTAATTCATAGTTTACACACAACATACATTGTGAGCTAAATAAAATAAAATAAGAAATATTATCCCATACAAAATGTTCATGGATTTGTAATTTTTGTTAAATATAAATACCTTACTATACGGTGCGCTAGTTTAGAACATTTCGGGCCATCACTTGCGCCTGTGTTGAATGACATCGACATCAAGGTTCATCAATTCAAGTTTAAAATAATAGGCAGTAATGTATGAAGAAAGAGCTTCTATTCTGTACCTACCTATGCCCGTGTAATTTTGATCGGTGTCAAATCGGAGTTTTCGTGCGGGGTGCGCGGGTGTTGTGCGAAGCGTGAAGGTCAAACGCTCAAGGTCATTGAGGACTCTAATCGCCTTAAGTGGGATGCAGTCTAGGGAGAGAGAGAGAGGGAGAGACAGGGAGAGAGATGTAAAATCTACATCTCTTTCCCTCATTTTAGATTATCCTTGATCAACTTTGTGAGTAGTGTATTTTGGTTTTACAGTTAACATAAATACTTTTTCGACCCTTACCTGGCCAGTGCCACTAGAACTCTGCCAATAAGTATGAGGTTGGGAGTCCAGCAAACGTCTGGCCCCAGCGCCGGGGCGGCATGAAGACACGCGGACTGCCCTCACCGCCCCTCGCCATCCTACTGCCACTCCACCAGCACTTTCGCCCCATTCCGCTATGAAAACACGTGAGTAAAGTAAGGTACATATTTATGCATCAGTCCTTGCAATGCACAAGCTATGACAAATATCCGCTCAGTGTCAGATATTGTCATATCACCTTATGTGTCTATATTTTCTTTTCCAAAAAACTGAGAATCAATTCTCTACGGTTCGATGTAACTACGTTCAAAACTGAATGACACCATTCTTATCATAGAATACTAACTGGGAGCTTCAGACTTTACAGATTTCCAAATAGCTTAAAAATATTAAAATACTTATGATGGTTACACAACTGGTGACTTACATTGATCAGTGACGAGTTCCATCTCACTGACTTGACCAGTCCAACCGGGTTGTTGTGGAAAGTCCACAGTCAGATCACGGGCGTTGCTTGATATTGCTGAAACAAAAGAAATATTACTTTAGGTCACGTCTAGCTGAGGCTAGTGTGGTCTATGCAGCCCCACTTGTACCGAGGCTGGGTGACGGCCGCTCGGACTCTAACTCGGTCTCCTACGGCGAAGGGCGGCCCGCCTGAGACCACTTCTGGTTTTTCAAGTTACCCCAACCGCTAAATAGTACGATAAAGTACTCTGAGTGTAGGCTTTTGGGTCCAATTTTCTCTGCCAACTGACCGGTAACCGTGCCGACACTGGTGTGGTCTATGCAGCCCCACTTGTACCGCGGCTGGGTGACGGCCGCTCGGACTCTAACGCGGTCTCCCACAGAGAAAGGGCGGCCCGCCTGAGACCACTTCTGGTTTTTCATGTTACCCCAATCGTACGATTAAGTACTCTAAGTGTGAGCGTTTGGGTCCAATTTTCTCTGGCAACTTACCGGTAACCGTGCCGACGCTGGTGTGGTCTATGCAGCCCCACTTGTACGGCGGCTGGGTGACGGCCGCTCTGACTCTAACGCGGTCTCCTACGGCGAAGGGCGGCCCGCCTGAGACCACTTCTGGTTTTTCATGTTACCCCAATCGTACGATTAAGTACTCTAAGTGTGAGCGTATGGGTCCAATTTTCTCTGGCAACTTACCGGTAACCGTGCCGACGCTGGTGTGGTCTATGCAGTTACCCCAACCGCTAAATAGTACGATAAAGTACTCTGAGTGTAGGCTTTTGGGTCCAATTTTCTCTGCCAACTGACCGGTAACCGTGCCGACGCTGGTGTGGTCTATGCAGCCCCACTTGTACCGCGGCTGGGTGACGGCCGCTCGGACTCTAACGCGGTCTCCCACAGAGAAGGGCGGCCCGCCTGAGACCACTTCTGGTTTTTCATGTTACCCCAATCGTACGATTAAGTACTGTAAGTGTGAGCGTTTGGGTCCAATTTTCTCTGGCAACTTACCGGTAACCGTGCCGACGCTGGTGTGGTCTATGCAGTCCCACTTGTATTTTGGCTGGGTCACGGCCGCTCGGACTCTAAGGCTGGTTTTGGTGTCACGCGGACCGTCCGGTGCGGACTCGCTCCGCACGGCCAATCTGTATGAACTTCTAGGGAGCGTTTTAGAATAATGCGGTCTGGAGGAACCGCTCCGCTCCCTAGCAGTTCATAAAGTACTCTAAGTGTGAGTGTTTGGGTTTAATTTTCTCTGGCAACTTACCGGTAACCGTGCCGACGCTGGTGTGGTCTATGCATCCCCACTTGTACCGAGGCTGGGTGACGGCCGCTCGGACTCTAACGCGGTCTCCTACAGCGAAGGGCGGCCCGCCTGAGACCACTTCTGGTTTTTCAAGTTACCCCAATCGTACGATTAAGTACTATAAGTGTGAGCGTTTGGGTTCAATTTTCTCTGGCAACTTACCGGTAACCGTGCCGACACTGGTGTGGTCTATGCAGCCCCATTTGTACCGAGGCTGGGTGACGGCCGCTCGGACTCTAACTCGGTCTCCCACAGCGAAGGGAGGCCCGACTGAGACCACTTCTGGTTTTTCAAGTTACCCCAACCGCTAAATAGTACGATAAAGTACTCTAAGTGTGAGCGTTTGGGTACAATTTTCTCTGCCAACTTACCGGTAACCGTGCCGATGCTGGTGTGGTCTATGCAGCCCCACTTGTACCGAGGCTGGGTGACGGCCGCTCGGACTCTAACTCGGTCTCCCACAGCGAAGGTCGGCCGGCCTGAGACCACTTCTGGTTTTTAAAGTTACCTCAACCTCTAAATAGTTCGATTAAGTACTCTAAGTGTGAGGGTTTGGGTCCAATTTTCTCTGCCAACTTACCGGTAACCGTGCCGACGCTGGTGTGGTCTATGCAGCCCCACTTGTACCGAGGCTGGGTGACGGCCGCTCGGACTCTAACTCGGTCTCCCACAGCGAAGGGAGGCCCGACTGAGACCACTTCTGGTTTTTCAAGTTACCACAACCTCTAAATAGTTCGATAAAATACTCTAAGTGCATGTTTTTGGGTTCAATTTTCTCTGCCAACTTACCGGTAACCGTGCCGACACTGGTGTGGTCTATGCAGCCCCACTTGTACCGCGGCTGGGTGACGGCCGCTCGGACTCTAACGCGGTCTCCCACAGAGAAGGGCGGCCCGCCTGAGACCACTTCTGGTTTTTCATGTTACCCCAATCGTACGATTAAGTACTCTAAGTGTGAGTCTTTGGGTCCAATCTCGGACTCTAACTCGCGGTCTCCCACAGCGAAGGGCGGCCCGCCTGAGACCACTTCTAGTTTTTCAAGTTACCCCAACCTCTAAATAGTTCGATAAAATACTCTAAGTGCAGGCTTTTGGGTCCAATTTTCTCTGCCCACTTACCGGTAACCGTGCCGACGCTGGTGTGGTCTATGCAGCCCCATTTGTACCGAGGCTGGGTGACGGCCGCTCGGACTCTAACTCGGTCTCCCACAGCGAAGGGCGGCCCGCCTGAGACCACTTCAGCGTGTACCGCGCGGACTCCACACACGCGGCCTAGACCGCGCCATTCCACCTAGAGAAAGAGCATCAAAAGATCATGACGATTATTTTGTTTACTGGTAGAATAATTAATTTATATGTAAAACGCAAGAAATGTCGCGTATGGGCAAAATACAGCTGATATCTTGGTGTATGTAAATGCCTAGAAGAGACTAGAAAGCGCTCTAAAGGTCACGTTACATCAGAAGAAAACTTAAGTTTAAAATTAATAATAGCCTTACGTGTACAAAGACGTTTTGCTTTATATCTCTTTCCACTTTCTGCACTTGACCCACGTCACCCAAGGCAACCTGTAAAAAACATTAAGTATAAGTCAAGCGCACAGTAAAAATAGAGTAACTTGTCGATTAAATTCACAACAACTTACATTTTCATAAGCTTTGCAACACCGCACTGTCATCCCCGGAGTGATGACGTCAGACAAGTACTGGGCGTATTCTTCTTCAGAAGCGAAACAACTACGCCAGCGGTACGGCGTTTGTTTTTTCTCTATTTTAGACGAGTGAGGTTTTATTTCGAAAACCGTGTCGTCCATCCCTTGTTGTGGCAGTTCCAACAAATATGCGACTAAAGATTCCACGGACGGAAGAGTCGTTCCACCTAAAAATATTTTTTTTATAGTCAAGCAATGTAATATACAATCTTTTCAAATCAGATTTACCTAAATAAATACATACCCAATGCTTGAATGGCGCCATAAACAGCGTGCCTTGAAAAACCCATCTCAATAACTTGCTGAACTTGAGACGAATTTGCCCAGGTATTGAGATCTTTCCGCGCTACAATGAAATTTGAAATCAATAAATAATTCCAAACATAATTTATTAAATTTCAAGTTGTTCTACTTACATAGAGAAGCCGTGCTAGTAGACGGACCCATAGACAGCTGCATCACGTTGCTCTTGTCTATGATAGGTAGGTCTGGTGGCGAATCATGGTCTTTGTCTTCACCTATAAAAACAAAATTGTTTGTTTCAAAGGAAAATTCCAATTGGTTAAAAGATAAGTGCATTGATGCTAGAGTTTTAACCTAGGCGCAGACCACACCGACTTTTAGTTAACCGATAGTTGGGCCAGATTTTAATTTGTATGAAGAAACGGCCGGTAACAAATCGGCGTAGTGTGCGCACTTTTATACATGTCCAAGTCCATACTGATTAACAGTCCGACCCAACAATCGGTCAACTTAATTTAGTATCCTAAAAAACCACAGCAAAAGGTGTTTTCTTGTCAGACATTAAACTAAAAGTGGTTTGTTATAAGAGATTACAAAGTCTGCAATACTTGTTTAGGATGATCTTTCTACTCGTAATAAAACTCGTGTAAATGTGTATTTCTCACCATTAATGTGGGCGGCCAGCTGTTGGACAATAGCGATGGCTGCCGCGGCCAGTTCTCTAGGGGTGTGCGACGCCGCTAGCGGACTCGGTCTAGTTGCTAACGCCAGCATTCGTCGGAGCAAAGTGCCTTCTGTGCCTAGAACTGTTCCTCGGTCTACGTTGCCTGAGGAAAAATATAAAAAGAATGTTCTTTGTTAATCAAATAAAGTATAACAATTTTAAAAGCAAAACGATGTGATAGTAAGTTTAGCGTGTTATTGAGCACTAAGAGTGCCACCAATCAAATAAGATGAAGAATCTCATGCAACTTTTGTCATAAAGCTGGCGCTTACGCAACGTAAGTAGACAGCCGTCACTTCGTGATTGGCTATGCTACTGCATGTACAGACACTCACACGTGAACGGCTGTTGATCTGTATCTGAACAGTCGAAAGGTAACTTACCAGTATTGTCAGGTGGTTGCATCAAAACTTTTCGGAGACGCGTGCGCGTTGTTAATAGACCTCGTACTGCACATAGCGTTAGCAACTCCATCTGTTGTCTTCTTAGTCCAAATAGGTCCACTTCGGCTAAAATGACATCAAAGTGATTATATCTTAGATAAATGGAAAGAAATAGACTGCTATAAAGTAACATAGACATTCGGACATTTGACTGCTAAACTCCACCACAAGATTGTTACTAACTCTGACAGCCTCTTGTAAAAAAAATGTGGCGGCGCTAAAGTAGATTTAACAGACAAAACCTTAAGCTTTCCTGAGGTATATTATTTTTACTAATATAGCAAAATAAATATGAATTTGGACGAAAGGAAATAATCTAAAATGCAGCACTTTTGTTTCTTTACCAGGCAAATGATGAGGATGCATCGGCGACGAATGAGGCCCAGCGCCGAGCAACGCCGCGCAAACGCGCAGTGCGCTCTCACCGCCCCCTAGCGGTTGCGTCAGCCGCTCGCTTTCAGCATTCACGAGGCAGTTTAGTTCAGTCTGTGAAGAATAAAAAATCGTGATTGTTATAGAAAAGAATAGGTCCTTTAAAATTTTCACAATCTCCGTAATACACCTGTCATCCGCATTGAAACGGAGGGAAGTTGAACTTTAACTTCGAACTCTTCCTACGTTCTTATGATTAATTTCGTTGCAGGTCAATGACAGTTTAACTTTCCCCCGGGACAAACTTGACCTTCACTGGTTGGGTTTTTATTCGTTGTAATTGTAGATCCTGGCTACATAGGAGTTGCAGCGGTGGGAATAGTCCCGTAATCTCCGTAATAAATCGGCAGTCAAAATAAGCAAACGGAACTTTTTTGTTTAATTCACTCACAAATAAAGAAAGATGAGATAAGGAAAAAAATGTTTCCAATATAAATAAGTGTTTAATTTTGATTTGCAAAATAATGTGTACATGTACAACGCACTTACCTTGGTGGCTGTGTTATCATCATAAATTAAAGTGACTTTGGCTCTCGGTGACAGTTGAGTTACGATCGCGTTCCGAGGCGGGGATCCAGCTGTCACTTTCTGCCCAAGTCTAAAACGCCATTCAACTCCACCCGCAACTCCCAGAGCACCCGCTATAATTAAACAAAATGTTGAAGGGAGACATGAAACTTTTAGTGCCAAAAGAAACAAATGAAAAGAGATACACACCTATCAAACAAGTTTCGAGGCTAGGTGGCGAAGGTTTGATCGTTTGCGTCAGATCTTGACTAGTATGCGGCCACCAATGCCAGTCACTTGTGACCTGTAAAAATAATGCAATAATTCATCTATAGTCTGGTCTGCGAGCACGTAGAGTTTTGTCCAATGACCCCAAGCTGCCCATCCTTATCGCTCGCGCGTAATTATGTTGCTGTCGCGCTCGCACACTCACTGAGGGCGCCCGTCGCACAGTCGCGACAGCAATATAATTACGCGCGAGCGATAAGAATGAGTAGTTTGGGGTCATTGGACAAAATTCTACGTGCTCACAGACCGGGCTTTAACATAGCTATAGCTAAAGTAAGGTCTATTGCTTGCCAGCGGGGACGAGACGAGAGCATTCCCTCTGTGATGTGCAATTAATTGAATTTTGTTATTTCAGTAGAAACAGCAGACAGGCAGTTCTGCTCTTCTTTAGTAGACAGTTCGGTAAACCGTAAATTAAAGAGTTCAACTTACCATTTGCGCAGCCAACTGCAGCTTGTCCAACATCAGCGCAGTGATCGGCGCGTGCCACTGCGGCGCGGCGTGCAACTGTCGCACTAATTGCACTAGAGCCGCGCACATGGCGCCAGTGTAACTTGCCGTAGCTGGGGCACGCCATCTGTTGTCTAAAGAGACATTTTCTCTTATTAATTGAGTACATAAACGGTCATTGGATAGACAAAGTCGCGGTAAACGTAGTGTAAGACAGGGCCCCAAATCTCACTGCCATGAGCAAGGAAGATGAAGGAATAAGATTGGATTGGTAAAGAAGAACCAAGAAACGATCGATTACAGACAACCTAAGAAAAGGAATAAAAGGAGAGGGCGGTGAATTAGTGTGTATATTTTTACCTTCTTACACACGCGCGTTTAACACTAATTTAAAGTGACGAAATGTTATTTACAACTATTCAACCAGCTTTTTAAATTGTACGCTACCTCTGAGCTAATTAAAAAAAATGAAATATTTCACGCTACTTACCAACTTCTTCCTCATCGCCACTGAATCCAATCCCATACGGGGGAGGTCTCAATGCCGGATCATAGGTATGCGTTTCTAGCCACAGCCGACCAATCAGAGCTAACAGTTGGGCGCCGACTGTGCGCCGCCATTCGCTACTGCCACTGTGCTCAACCAATACTCGACGTAAGAGCCATAGTGATTGAATCTGAGAGAAACAAATGCAAACGAATTAATGTATTACTAATTTCAGTTGGTTTATGTCCCAAATTAAATAAACTTACTTGCAAGTAAATGAGATCTAGTGTAATAGGTTTGTCCGATGCCGACACCAGGCTGTAGCAGAGTTCGAACCACGAGTCAGTGCATAAGGATACTCTCATTTCGGGACTTTGGGCACTCGCTGAAACAAAATAACCAATTTAATAACACAAAAAGCCGTGTATAGCATTGCCTAGCTGTCAAAATAAAAACTAGCTGAGACTAGCTATCTAAATAGATTGCTAGACATACTGGCTGAGAATAGTTGTGATTTTTGCTAGTATTCAGTTGTCACATGCCATAAAGACTTGCTGTCAACATCAATCAAGAAACTATACGGGGCCTGGTGTTACGAACCTCTCAACAAAGCCAGTGCTGTATGATAATGCGCAGCGAACGCGGTAGGCGGTGGCGCCGCATGAGCATGCGCTAACGCCAACAATCTTCTCTGTAACGCAGCGACGTTTCTTCTAGCTATCATCAAACCGACCACGGCAGTGGTGCTTCTTACCTCTCAGCAAAGCCAGTGCCGTATGATTATGCGCAGCGAACGCGGTGGGCGGTGGCGTCGCATGAGCATGCGCTAACGCCAACAATCTTCTCTGTAACGCAGCGACGTTTCTTCTCGCGATGACTCCGACAGCAGCTTGCGTGCTACCGGCGCCGGCGCCCGCGCATAACGCACGCACCGCGCACGTGCAAGCGCTGCGGACTTCGCTCACTGGCCACCATTCTATGTTGTTGTCAACTGTTTATGGAAAAAGTACTTTTTTGTAGGTAACCTTAGAAGAGGATGAAATAAAATGCTTAAATTGTAAAATCAGGCAAACGCAGGCAACATTACTAGTAAGTGGAGTTATGTTACGTGGAGTTATACGCGAAAAAGATAACGACATTAAGTAAAGGCATCATAGGCGAGTACTTGAACTTTATGATAAACTTTTTAAATTACTTTAGCCAGAGATATCACCCAAGCAGTTTTTCGAAAACTTTGATACGCTACGAATTGGATTTGATCTCAGTAAAAAAAAAATATTTTAACTGTCCAATATTCATATTTTAGTGCTACCGAGCTCAGGTTTTATAAAATTACCAAGGATAAATGATCAAAACAAGAGAATAACTTACCAACGCCTTGCACAGTCTCATCAACAGACGGCGGCGGGGATGGCGACCGAGCGAGTTTGAGATCGTATTTGCCTTCCTTGCCCATTCTGTAGGAGTTAGTACCGCCGGCGTCCCACGCCACTCGCACCCAGCCGTCTTCACCTAGCTCGCCTATAACACGACCTTCTCCACCGGGTACTCCATCCTACAAAGTAACAACATTAGTCAAAAAGTCGCTAAGATTGACTCGATATTCGTGAAGTCGTTTACTCGATAACTACACTTAAGCTTGGTTCAGACAGTGATATTCGCGCGCTTGCTGGACAGTTCACGTACATTTGCATCAAAGCATAACCGCGTTACCGCTTCCTTGTCTCGCCAATGAGAACCACCCAGAAACTGCACGTCTAAACCAGGCCTAAACAGGCTGAGGTTGAAAGACAAATTGCCTGTTCAACTACAACAACTGAGATACATTACCAATTACCAATTTAGTATGTACTGCTTACAAATATATCGAAACCAGCCCGGCATTCTTTTACACTGGAAATTACCTGGTCGCCCCATTTCCAGTCTTTTCCTCTCACTACTCGAGTCCCAATTTTCATCAACGATGCCAATTCAGGTCCAGATAATGATGCGCCACGCGCGCGAGCCCCAAGTCTTTCATCCTCGTATATTATCAAGCATTCAGCTAAAAGGAGCAAAATAGACCTTAGTTCAAGACCTTAGTTCAATATTGTTTAGGTATATTCTACAATACACCAAATGACAGTGATGTTGACTTACATTTAGACTTGATACCGTGACAAATAAGCGAGGAATGTTGAGACGTATCACCGCCGATTTGTTTCAATAAGGTGAGACATGCACTCAAAGCTCCGCCGTTTATTAGTTGTTCTAGTTCCGGACCCTGACAACCCTCAATAAGCAGTGACAGTAAGGTTATCAGAAACCTGAAACCAAAAATGCTCATGAGAAAAAGAATATAGAGAACGAACTTAAGCTATAAAATTATGTGTAATTTATACAAACCTAGCCCTCGAAGGTTTATTCAACAACGCATGCGCACCGTAGTTAGCACTCATCTTCAAAGGCAGCGGTTGACTTTGCTCGCCTTCTAACACTCTCGCTTTTAACTCTAAGAGAATAAAGTCCATCATTTTCGACCTCTCCAGAAGCACCATGTACTTAGAATATGGTATCACAGATTCGATGCCTTTCAAAGGCGGAGATAAGGGTATAGTTGGTTTTATTGGGGCGTACGGAGCCGTGTCCGCTATAGACCCACCCAACATACCGACTAGAGCCGCGTATTTAATACTTTCCGACATAGTTTGGGTAGAGTGAAGAATGCTGTTTATCATGTTGTATCCATTCCTTCTTATTTCCGCCCTTTGAGTCTGTAATACAAAATGTCAATAAGTCACGTAATTACATGTCAAATTCTCTGAACATAGTTTTGTTACATACCTGACAATATAAAGCTCTTCTTAGTATATCTATATCACAGGGATCTTCAGTCATAACAAAGTCTATAATGGCAGTTGTTAAACTTTGTTGCTCAGGAGTTACTTCTTCTAACAACCAATAGAGATCTGGAAAATAAAACAGTATTTTATGTAGACCTGGATATGGATACAGTGACAGCTATTATTAGACTTGTAGTGGTTTTACCTTTCTTTTCACACGCTAACCTCGAAACCCATGCATTCACAAATTTGTTCCTCTCAGAATTATCGTCATCTTTTTCTTCATCAGCCATAATGAGATCAGTTTTGAGATCATCAGCAAGCAACATCACTTGCTTCTCGCTCTCCATAGATTCTTTTAGAATCGAGTTATCAGTCATATCGTTTATTGAACTAATCGATACTTCGTTCGTGGGTGTTTTATCGTCGTGATCTTTGTCTAAAATGTCTTCTCTCTCGGTCAATTTAAAATCGCTTCGCGCTTCGTTTCGCATGTCGTCATTATTGCAAGCGTTTTTCAGATCTTTTTCTAGAAGTTTATCTTTTGTTTTTAGTTTTATTTTGTGGTGATGACTTTTGTCGCCTGCACCGTCGATAGCGTGACCCCTATGATGTTCGACTATAATACTGGGCGCATCATCAGGAGTCTTGCTAGCGTTCGCTATGGATGATTTGATCAGTAAGGCATCGCCCTGCAATAGGCTGCCAGTTGCTTTCAGCATACTTTTGCTCAAACTGTTCTGTCGGTTCCTGAGATCTTTGGTCGTTTCGAAACTACAATAAATAAAGTAATAAGTACAGTAAGATGAATAAAGCCTTGATCACACGCACCGAGTAAACGGGCGAGACAGTAAAATGTTTACTCGGTCGAGACAGTTGGGTGAGTGAGTCACATACTCGAGCGCTCGGCCGAGTGCTTGGCGTAATGTTTATACACACCGAGTACTCGGCCGAGATCACTGTCTCGCCCGTTTGCTCGGTACGTGTGGCTTTATAGGCAGTGTTTAGATGAAAAAGCTAGAGATTAAGTTCAGTCTTTCGTGAAATGATGATGGTGAACTGGTGATGTCTATGACACTTACCATTTATTAAAACTAGGAGTTTTCGCCGCCTTCATGACCTTCTGAAAGATCTTTTTGGCAGTGCAAGGGCGTCGCGACGGCGGTCGGGAATGTAAAGCTGCAATAGCAGGTGACATTGCTGCCCGTACCTCGTGCAACAGGAATCGGGCCCTTTCTAAAGGCGCCGCACACACCTGAGGAAAAGTTACAATGTTTTTTTAAAATAAAATGCTACAAAATAAAAACAAGAGTCTGTGCGATGCAGATGTAATCTTACCTCTTTGTAGCCGCGAGATAACTGTTGCCTGGTCCTCATAAGAGTCCACTTGCTTTGCTGAACTGCTTTGACTATTTCGGACATAGCAGGAGACAACTTCACTTCACCTTTTTCCATTTCTAAGAATAAAACAAGTAAATTAATGATTACAATAAACTAACCAGTTTCTAGAAGAAATTTTCCAAGATTGTACGGCACATCTGTAGGCATAGGATGCGCGCCGCAAAAAGCGTTTATCACGCCATTTTATCGATTTTACACGATAAGCCCACACATTTGTCGTCTAAAATCATCGATAAGATTTTATCACGGCGCGCATCCTAGCCCGGCTGGATCATTAATAATGTGTTATCTTATGTGATGGTAATAGGTGCGATTTTGCAATTAAACTGTAATGTCAGATGTAATATTACTAACTTTCAAAGCCACTTACCAGCAGAAGCCGTGGCATAAGCGTGCTCCTTCAACCCTGCGTGATACAAGAGTACAGCCAATAGAGCTCGCCTTAACTCTTCCAAGGGATGTTCTGGTGGGAAGTGGGGGGCGCATCCTTCCCGCCTTTCGCATGCCCACCATAAGTGGAGGGCTAGGGGGTCCTGAAAGATTATTTTGAATATGTAATCTAAAAGTTTTCTTCATAAGGATAATATAATATAATAACATGAATGTAAATAATAGTTTTATACAAGATATTTTAAAAGTAAATTTAAAGTTTCTAATTCTCACGTTTCCATTTAGAAGGAATTGATTTTGAACCCTTATCTTCTAAAATAAAAGTTAAAAATCCATTGAGGAAAGTTAAGTGGAGTCGGTTGCTCTAATGGTGATCGTAAAAAGGAAACCTCGAGTACTGATTGAAATAAATAAATAAAATACGCGTAAAAAACGGAACACTAATACTAGTACGCCAACAGAAAATAACATAGTGTCACACACCCAAAACTCAGCTACAAGAGTGGCGTTGTCAGTAGCATTCATCAAATCTTCCTGCGTGCAGTTGTTTGGGCACTGGATAGTTTTTTTGTCGACACGACAAGAAAAAGAAGAAGTAGACAGAAAATAAAGAACGAAAGTTCAGAAAGAGACATACAAAAGACAATGCCGGAAATTGGCGTCTTTTTTATTTCGCGCGGCCATCGACCAAACCTTGTTTTTTGATTACAAAATAGTGTAATAAACCAAACTTAGTATAACATGTATACCTCTAAACTCAGTCTGAACTGAGTTACGAGCATCAGAAGTTTGATAATTTTCATACTAGATTTGCTGTTTGGGCGCAAGTTTTGTAAGAAATTGCAACAAAATAATGACATTGTATGTGTAAACAAACAATACCATCCATTAAAGGCTCCAGACATCAGTATGCAGCAGAATCAGCGCAATAAAAAAATAGCGCAATATTTTGTTGCAATTTCTTACAAAACTTGCGCGCAAAAAACAAATCTAGTATGAAAATAATTAAACTTCTAATGCTTGTAACTCAGTTCAGACTGAGTTTAGAGGTATACATGTCATAGTAAGTTTGGTTTAAAACACTATTTTGAAATCAAAAAACAAAGTTTGGTCGATGGCCGCACGAAAACAAAAAGACGCCACCTTCCATACAAAATCTGGCATTGCCATTTACTTACGTGTAGCTTCGGTTCAGCAAGCGCGAACAGTAGCGCGTCAGCCCTAGCTGTGGAGGACGCATTGACCTTGGGCGTGGGTCGCGAACTACGGGACGGAGGCGCGTCGCTCGCGGGACTGTTGCCTCCCGTGGACGATCCGCTGCGGGCCTCTGCCTTCTCTTCCTCAAATGGGTTTGATGGTTGCGCCACCTATACGAGATAATAATTTTCGATATAAATATTTCAGATTTCGATTTATTTCAGAAGAGGTAATAGCGCGATGGTATTGATGTCGGGTCAGATCTGAGGAATGCGGGTTCGAACATCGAATCCTGCCGCGCAGCCAGACTATTGTGGTGAACCCTTTCGTAATACAAGCATATTTACCTTACCACGAGGAGTTAGGAAGACAGCGACGACGACAGACGACCTCATAAATGTAGCGGGAAGGCGCTGAATGCAGGTCGCCACCAACTGGCCATTGTGGAAATCATTGGCGGAGGCCTATGTTCAGCAGTGGACGTCCTATGGCTGAAATGATGATGATGAAGCCCTAACACACACCTGCAGCCCTCCTCTGAAGAAGACAGCGGCCGCGAACGACGCCGCGTCTCTCTCCGCTTGCTGAACTGGCAGCGATTTGGCCAGTCGCACCCCGCACTGACTCAGCCCGATGTAAGTTGAACTACAATCCTCCTATCAAGGCTCTAACACACACCTGCAGCCCTCCTCTGAAGAAGACAGCAGCCGCAAACGGCGCCGCGTCTCTCTCTGCCTGCTGTACCGGCAACGATTTGGCCAGCCGCACCCCGCACTGACTCAGTCCGATGGCCAAGTTGAACTACAATCCTCCTGTTAAGGCTCTAACACACACCTGCAGCCCTCCCCTGAAGAAGACAGCAGCCGCAAACGGCGCCGCGTCTCTCTCTGCCTGCTGTACCGGCAGCGATTTGGCCAGCCGCACCCCGCACTGACTCAGCCCGATGGCCAAGTTGAACGCGCACGATGACAGAATATGGTGCGCTTTGAGACTTGAAGTGCTTTCCTGTGGAAATAATTATTTAAAATAAAAACAATTTTCCAAGAATTTGGTAATCTAAAATGATAAAATTAAATCTTTTGCATCACTTGACGTAAAACAACATTTGTTTTAAAATGGGTAATTAATGTTATTTACACTTGAATGGGGTTTTTGGATGGTCCTAGAGACTGGATAGGAAAGCCCTGTGAGATTATTTTTTGGTTTTGTATTCAAACATGTTGTCACCCAAGAGGTGATATAAATCACAAGTACTCACATTACACTTGTGACTGTTAATCTGTTCAGCATACATCCCGACACATTTCTCAGTCACCCTTGGCAAATAAGCCGCGTGTGGCTCAACGCTTAAAGCAGCGGTCGCGTCACAACCGCGCAGCTTGCGAACCAACTCGACGGTGCCGGCGTTGTCGCAGTCGAATTTGTCCACGTCGAACACGTGGCCAGCTATTATGATCCACGAGCCGCCTTCTTTTAGATGATTTTGGAGGTCACACCTAAAGAAATAAGATTGCTAACATGTTTTTCGGTATTGTAATCGGTAGTCCTATAGAAATAAGGTCTAGATAAAGCTCACAAGTTTATCGGTTAATTTTTATTGTCAATTTAAACGAGTTCAAAAATGTCTGAAGCATATCTGAAGTTTCGCTGACGTTTCGCGTAGCAAAAACACTCTCCCGCATCATGCTAAAGCTGTATATTTCTAAACCAAACCACTCACTTCCTTATAACGCTGCTATTCAGCTGCTGCTTCTTTGATATCAGGCCTGGCCAGCCCAGCAAATCCGCGTCTAGTTTCCCTGCTGAGGGCAATATGCGGCCCGCTTCGTCACACGCGCGCGCTATCTTCACAAGGGAGGCGCCACAGTCCGATATAGCGACCGCGTTGCGCACGCATAGGGGAATATATTTCAAACAAACCACTCACTTCCTTATAACGCTGCTATTCAGCTGCTGCTTCTTTGATATCAGGCCTGGCCAGCCCAGCAGATCTGCGTCTAGTTTCCCTGCTGAGGGCAATATGCGGCCCGCTTCGTCGCACGCGCGCGCTATCTTCACAAGGGAGGCGCCACAGTCCGATATAGCGACCGCGTTCCGCGCGCCGCATGCGTTCACCCATGCGCATAGCTCGCTTACCACGCGACCTATGAAACAAAAAAAGCTAATGAGTCCGGTAAATGTTTTAAATGTTTAACCAAAGGATAATAAATAGCTAATGGGTCTTCGTCGAACGAGCGCAATATCTTGACAAGGGAAGTATCACAGTCCAATATAGCGACCGCGTTGTTTACTCATGCGCATAACTCGCTTGCTATGTCAATATAATCTAGTGGCTAAAATCATTATTGTTAAGATGCTGACGAAAATAAAGTAAGTAATCAGCGGGTTAGTCGGCGTCTCGGCGACTTAACAACTCGTTCAATTTGAAGAACTTTGTCATCGGTACGACATCAGCAAATCTCTATCAATACGAGAGTCACTATTGACAACCGCGTGTAATAAGGTGGCGTGTGTTGTATTTCTCGAAATCCAGCGGAATAATGAACACGTAGGCAAGTCGAATACATGCCGCCTACATGTTGCCACAAATCGCCTGGCGATACGCGTGGGTAAAAGTCGTCGACGACGGACTTGGTCCTTTAAGTGATACTTTTAATACACTGAAAACAACTCACCAACAATATCCGAAATGATGACATCACACAGCGCGACCAACTGCGTGTTATCAGCTCTGTGCACCGCGCGTATGAAAGAACTGAGGGTGGATTGCACGTGGTCGGCTAGAAGTGACGCGTATTGAGTCATGAGAGCTCGCACTCCGCCGCGAGTGCTACGTCCGCCGCGGGACCACATTGCCTCGCAGAATAACAACCTGGTGAATACGGCATGTTAAAATATTTTGGTAACAAGCTCACACTCACGTGACGTAAATAAAAGTTGGCTTTATTTACGACTAATTATCTTAGAAAAAAAACAGATTTACAAAAAATCTACGTAAAACTGGGTGCCCTAACACTATTCATAGTCGGACAACTTCGTGCGTGACCGTCCTACCGTGAACAGACGGTGGCGGGGACGAGGTAGCACCAATAGTACGTAGCAGTTGCATGCGTTACCCTTCCCCGCTACATTTTGACATCTTCAAACCTCTTCCACGCCATCTTGTATTACCAGCAGGACGGTTGCGCACGAAATTGCCGGACTTTACTGTGTTTCTTTATCGAGAGTGGAAAATACTTAACTTCCTAAACATAAAACGTACCTTTGGAATCTAATGAGTAGATCGCAACTGGGACTGACAGTGTCATGGTTCTTGGGATCATCAGTCTTGCTGGTATCGCCGCTCATTATTCCATTTAAGTGCATCTGGGTTTGGCAGCTTGTATTACGGATGAGGTGTTTAACCTACAAAAACATCTGAATTAACATTTTGATCTTTATTTTAATAAGCACCAGATTGGATATAGACTACTTACCAAATGCATGAGGGGTACTGAAGCACACTTATCTGTTGCGGTGGCATTGTTAATCTGATACTCTTCGGCGCACCCTACAATGATACAAAATAGATTTAGTTCTAATAATTTAAAAAAGAGCTGTTTTTGCAAAGGTAAAAGTAGTAACCTGGAATAGCTTCAACGTCTTCTCCATTAGCAGTTGTTTGGGTTCCGCGCTGACCTGTCACTATATCGATTTGATCGTAATCTCTGTAAAAAATAGAGTTTCAATCATTGGACATGTATTAATAGTTTGAAGCCACAATAGCCGAATGGTGAAATGTTTCGGACTGGCAGATTCAAGATCCGAGGAACGCTGGTTCGAACCCCGCTGCCCCTCGTCTATTGTAGTAAATCGTACTTACACGTCAAGTTGCAGATGATTGTATGCATCAGCGGAATGGGCTTGCAACGCGTTACGTAGCGCGTCACGCAACCCGCCGCCTCCGAGCAGCGACCAAACTAGCAGCTCCGTCATGAAACGAGCGCCTGCGCTGGCCGGGACTGCTCCTGCGAGGAGTAAGAAAGTAGACCTTCTAATAATGATCTACGATGCAAAATGATTTCTTTACAACAGCTGGATTTAAAACGTCTTTCATACTAGAAACAAAAGACTCATAAAAAGGATGGGTAAAGTATAAGATATAAAGTATAAGATGACTCGACGCGGCCTTTTGCCATCGACACTACTAACAGAGCCGTGTGGACTCCGGCACACCAGGACTAGTTTAGTAACCGTACCTTGCGGCAACAACGCGATGAGATGCTGAGCTCTAATCTGCGGCGTAGGTAGCAATAACGGCCAGGCCGCCGCCAGGGCTCGCTTAGCAGCCGCCGCTGCGGCCGACCCGGCGCGGCCTTCAACTAGAGCCACTAGAGCCGTATGGACTTCGGTACACCAGGACTAGTTTAGTAACCGTACCTTGCGGCAACAGCGCGATGAGATGCTGAGCTCTAATCTGTGGTGTAGGCAGCAACAGAGGCCAGGCCGCCGCCAGGGCTCGTCTGGCCGCGGCGGCAGCGGCCGACCCCGCTCGGCCTTCAACTAGAGCCACTAGAGCCGTGTGGACTCCGGTACACCATGACCGGTTTTCTGTGTCTGATTCAACGTCGGTTCCACGAGAGCATTGCCACGCGTGCACCTAGAAAGTGTTGGATAGATATATTATTTGAAAGTACAAAAACACTGTTAGGATCCATCTCAGTAGAACACGTCAAAATTTTTTCTTCTCTGTTAGTCCCATTTTTAACTGGTTGAGAAAGTTATTATGAAAATCTCAGTATCAAAACTAAACAGGAGAAAAAGTAACTTACTTGTAGTCTCAAAAGGTTGAGACAAGAGATGGCTAAAGACTCATTCTCTTTGATTGACGTTGAAGTGCTTTGTTCGACTACGATTCTCAAAAGCCTTTCCAGTAACCTGAAATAGATTGCTAAAATAAGTCAAGTTCTATTGGAAATGTGTTATGATGCTCATGTATATAAGGTCTACCTACTTGAATGTATTATCAGATAAATCTATCACAAATGGCATGGACGACGGAAGATCTCTGGGACTTTCTTCACTCCATACGATGACTTGGTATGGTCCACTTGTGACCCCTATGTAAAAAAATAATACAATTTCAAATATTGGTTATGGTTGTGGTAACATTCCAAGGTCTATAATATGTCTTTCAGGTGTTCTAGACCTAACGCAAGACACGGAAAAACTTTTATGACGCCACGATGTAGGACTAATTATAGAAATAACTGTTTTGTCATTAGAGCCTGCAAAAAGTATGATGACGTGACATATTTCACGAGAAGCCTATGCGGTTCCGTGGCCTTATAAAGGCATAAAATGTGTATTTAATACACCTTATAAATAAGATTTGCGCATGGTTTGAAATGTTTTAAATGTTTAAGTTCTGTGAATCTGTCTTTTAAATTTTAAATTATCAGTGAAAACTCATAGGCTTGTGTAAAACTTATTATTTTTATGCTACTTGTATCATAATATAAGCTGTATGTTTTCCTAATAAAGAAAATAAAAAAAAAATTTTTTTTCATTACCATTGGCTTTGAAGGACGGATTCAACACTTGTAGCAACTGTGGAACTGGGCGAGATATTTGAGCTCTTTCAAGAGTACCCCATGCATATAACAATCCTTCAGACGTCAAAGCTATTCCGTGTGAGGCTCCCAATGATAGATCTTCGACTCTAATGCCTAGAAATAAACATTATTGTAAATTATTTTTTGATCTTTGTTGAAAGTTGATGTCTAGATAAAAATAACAACGCACCTTGAAAAGCTTCAACTAGTTTAGGAATCTTCATCGTCTCTAAGTTTCCATGCCCAAGACGATATCCGTCACCTTTTCCCCAAGTGTACACTTGGCCTCTGAAAAGATATGTATGAAAATAACAATCCATTTAAATACTAGTCATAGAAGACACTCAACAATAAAAAAAATGTCATCGATGTTTTTTTTGTATGAAATCAAATCAATTAGAGACGAATAGACGTAGTAAAGTCCGGTCGCGACTGTGCGACGGGCGGTCAAATTGAGTGTGCGAGCGCGACAGCAATATAATTACGCGCGAGCGATAAGGATGGGTAGCTTGGGGCCAAACGGGGACGAAATTATATGTGCTCGGCGACCGGACTTTAGTATAGTCTTGTGTACTTACAAGTCAGTAAGAGCTGCATGCCAATGTTCACCCGTGTACACTCGAGTGATTCTCAGCACAGAGAGTGACGTCAGAGTCCGCGGCGCTCCTGCCTCATTGTCGCCGAACACTTGCACTGCTCCCTCCCACGTGCAACAAAGAGTTTGACTCTCGCCCCAACCTAGCAAATACACAAAATGAATCGTAGTAAAAATGGATACGTGACAACAAAACTGTCAGTACATTGGATGCTCTCTACATTGGAGGAGCTAAAAAGGTACAGGAATTTATCAAGGAATTGCGACAACCGACCAACGATTTAGGCACCTTACTGCCGATTCAAGTGGATGTTAATCCGATCTCCGTCGACTGCTGGGGTATTCTCGTGAATTCACCGCTAATTTTAGGGAGATTGTAAGTTTCATCACAAATAATATTTAAAAAAGGACATACCTAGAGCTACATCGATGACTCTTTCTATGTTATGGGCGGAGAATGAGACGGGTTGTGGTGTTAGACAGTTCTCGATGGTCCCGTGTCCTAGGCGGCCTTGTGTACCGCGTCCCCAAGTGTACAGTGCGCCTCTTGACGTTATCACGGCACTGAAAAGATAATTTATGTACAGTCGACAGCTCTTTGAAGTCAGGCTTTACAATAGTGTTGCCTAATAGCATCTATTGGTGCTACATAAGATGTCACATCATTTAGTCTGATTTGCAATCGTCCGTTTGACAAATTGACAAGATTACAAATAAATATAGCACTTATTACAACTACATTGGATGTCAAGCGTTGAGCCTGAGGTATTGATGTCAGCGCGTACTTTAGTGCACAATACAGCACCGCAATGAACGACAATTTATAAGGTTTATTGCCTAACTGAAAAGGGGCGTGGCATTATCACTAGCCCCACCCCCAAAACTTAAATGTTGGCGAAATTACAACCTAAGACCAAGTTACCTGCAAGCAACTTCAGTGACTACTTTGATGACTTCGTGGTGTGCGAGTTGGTGTATAAATGCGGGGTCGTCTCTATGACACGGCCCCGTGGCCCAGGCGGCCATCTTCCTTAGAATCTCATGACCACGCCCCTTCATACGAGGAACAACATTCACTGTCACAAAACACCCAAATTTCTTACCTGCAAGCAACTCCAGCGGCTACTTTGATGACTTCGTGGTGTGCTAGGTTGTGTATAGACGCGGGCGCGTCTCTAGGCGCCGTATCTCCGTGACCCAAGCGGCCATCTTGCTCATACTCCCAAGACCACGCCCCTTCATACGAGAAACAACATTCACTGTCACAAAATACCCAAGTTTTTTACCTGCAAGCAACTCCAGCGGCTACTTTGATGACTTCATGGTGTGCGAGGTGGTGTATAGAAGCGGGTGCGTCTTTGGGCGCCGTATCTCCATGGCCCAGGCGGCCATCTTGCCCAGCCTCCCAAGACCACGCCCCCCAAGAGTAACAACATTACTGTAAGTTTCTTACCTGCAAGCAACTCCAGCGGCTACTTTGATGACTTCATGGTGTGCGAGGTGGTGTATAGAAGCGGGTGCGTCTCTAGGCGCCGTATCTCCATGGCCCAGGCAGCCAATTTCCTTAGAATCTCATGACCACGCCCCCTTCATACAAGGAACAAACATATACTGTCACAAAAGACGTAAGTTTCTTACCTGCAAGCAACTCCAGCGGCTACTTTGATGACTTCGTGGTGTGCGAGGTGGTGTATAGAAGCGGGTGCGTCTCTAGGCGCCGTGTCTCCGTGGCCCAGGCGGCCATCTTCCCCGGCGCCCCAAGACCACGCCCCTCCACAAGAGGAACAGCACAGAAAATGGCGGCCGGCTGAGTGACACGCCACTTGGGTTATGGTTTTGTTTTCTAGACCTAAAAAATAAGTTTATAATATTAAGTATGTACAGACGACGGCATGTCAACGAAAACACTGTGGCGTCTTATTTAGTCGTAATAGAAGCGATTTTGCAACAAAAATGTTATAGCCTGATGTGCTGTTGACTGTACACACACTCGCATACTATTGTTTTAAAATGACGACAATAAACACGCATTTCAAAAGTCTAGTAGGTAAATGCAGGTGGAAAAACTTGTGCAAACAACTGCAACTCATTTATCTAGACTAACGCAACTATAATGCACGTTCATATCAAGTAATTAAAAATACTCATAATATCTTTAAAAGTACAGTTTATTTTCACACTTACCAGGCACAAGTTGAGGCATCATTGTATCGTAAGGCAACGTGTACACCACGCCGTCTTGTGTCAACAAAAGCGCGAGTTTCTCGGCGCAGGCAATTTGCTGAATTCTTAAAGTTCCCAGATGTAACGGACCGATTCCCACTGAAACTACTTCTTGGGCCGATTCCGTGCACTAAAATAACAAATGTTGATAAATAAAGGATTTCATTAATAACCAAGTAACAAGAAAGTTTGCATTGTACCGTGACAAATCCTTTTAAAGGAGGCAGGAGTGGTGCTCCGAGTCTATCTAGATGGCATAACAGTGCGATACCAGCTTTTCTCACTTCCATCAATCCATCACCAGCAGGAATGTTCAGATCTCTGCAATAATAATTACAATATCAAAATAAATGATGAACCAATTCTAAATGAAAAATAATAACATGTAAGTAAGTCTTAAACCTTTTTATACTCACTTTAAGTATATTTCAGTGGGATTAGTCTCTGTACTCGGTTCATTATTGATAATTGGGTTCGGTGCTGTGACCTTGGCCATGCGTCTCAAGAACGGCCCTAGAGGCGCGGTACATTCTTCCAGGGTTATTCTAAAAACAAAACACTGTCGTAAATAAGTTAACTCAAACATTTACAAGGAAAAAAAAACAAATGAAAGCGGAAAATTCTTGAATATTCGAAAATAGCAGGGTTATATTGACCTGTTATCTGGCTGTCTCTTCTGCCGCGGCGGTAACGTCACTAAAACATCAGCTGCTTTCAAAAGCGCGGGTAGTTCTGCTCGGCGCGCACATAGCTCTACCCAGACGCAGAGCGACGTCCGCCAGTCGCCTAGCGGCACGTTGCAACCCACTTCCCTGTAACAAGATTTAAAATTAAGACACAAAGTTTCTCTCTCTTAACTCTTATGCCGAGAACTCGTCTCATTCACGAAGTAATGCTCCCTCTTACTTACACACTCATCAGTATCACAAAGATAGGGAGTAAGACAGCATAAATCGAAATATCTTTATAAAGTGTACATTATTATAATTATGTATGAACATAATAATAATATTTGTTTGAATCAAAAAATTGGTCCATATTTGAAGACACGCTGGGCTTTTGTTGGGCGCTAGGGCGAAACACAACGTAATAATGCTATAGAAACTTACCCAGCAACCACTTGATGTAAGAACTTTGCAGCACTATCAACCACTTCTGCCCATATCCTCTGCCACCGGGGTGCCTGTTGCGCGGCGCCGGCGCCTGCGAATAGCGCAGCGTCGGGCAATGCGCGAACCACGTCCCAAGCGTCACGCAGCAACGCCAAGCTCACATCGGCGTAGCTCTCGCACTCACACACTCATAGCATCGCAGCGAGACAAGTGAGAGGGATAGAAAATGTTATAGGAACTCACCCAGCAACGACTTGATGTAAGAACTTGGCGGCACTATCCACAACCTCTGCCCATATCCTCTGCGATCGGGGTGCCTGTTGCGCGGCGCCGGCGCCTGCGAATAGCGCAGCGTCGGGTAATGCGCGAGCTGCATCCAAAGCGTCACGCAGCAACGCCGAACTCACATCGGCGTAGCTCTCGCACTCACACACTCATAGCATCGCAGCGAGACACAAGTGAGAGGGATAGAAAATGTTATAGGAACTCACCCAGCAACAACTTGATGCAAGAACTTGGCAGCACTATCAACCACTTCAGCCCATATCCTCTGCGACCGGGGTGCCTGTTGCGCGGCGCCGGCGCCTGCGAATAGCGCAGCGTCGGGCAAAGCGCGAACTGCATCCAATGCGTCACGCAACAACGCTGAGCACACGTCGGCGTCTTCACCGCAGCGCCAGGCGCGCCGGACTAGAGATAGGGCCAGGCGGAGGGCCGCTCGGGCGCCCACTCGGGCCAAGCCTAGAGCACTGCAGACGAGAATTGCATTGATAACTTACTCGAAACAAAAAAGTGAAGTTCAATGACATTGGTAACTTATTCAAGACAGAGAGAACAGTGGTTCTTTTAACAAAAAAAAAAAACACTTCATAGACTAAAACAGTTTCTGTTGAAACACTGTTTTTCCTATTTTGTTTAGTGACAGGCTTGACAAAAGGCAAAAAAAGCTCACATAAATGAAACATGCTAGAATGTTACAGTAGTTATTCTGTCATAGTATACACAGAATATGTTTTTTTTACTTTGGGACATTGTGTAATTTTATTATGTGTAATTTTATAGAAACACATGTTGTCCAGTACCCATAGCACAAGCTTTGCTTAGTTTGGGACTAGAAGCTTAGTGTTAAATGTCCAAGGATATTTATTTATTATTTATTTTCATTTACTTCTCTGAGTCATCAGTGTGTTCTTCATTATCCTCCTGGGTCTCAGCAAGCTCTACTGTCTTGTTCAGAGTGTTGACTACATTGCTCAAGGCCCTGTTACTGACTGCATGTGGGGGCTTCTTATCTAGCTTAACCTTTTTTACTTCTTTATAATGACTTTGATCTCTGAAACACAAATTATTAACTGTTTAAGTACAAAACAAGCATTTAAATTTTTTTTCTTATTGTTCAATCTTACTGAGATATTATACATTTTTATTTGTGAATAGGACTTCTGCTCTGTAAAGAAATTACAATTTTAGTTTTTTTATTTTATTTATTATCATTTTACCAAGGAAGTTCTTAAACATATTACAATTAAATGCATTGGCATAAACCACTGAGGTTTGTTTGCAATGCTAGATGCGGTCAGTCTATTAAATTAGTAATCAAACAGTTGCGTTCTACAAAAAAAAAAAACATACTAAAAGTTACAATTTTCATAGATAGGCATCCCTGTCGAGTTAATAAAATCAACTAGATAATGTTGATAGATTGCTAGCAGTATTTTTAATAAAATGAGTATTGTTAAAAATTAAAGAATAAAAGAAAGAATAAATAAACATTTGTACCTAATAACGGCTATGAGATGTCTATTGCAGAGAACTATTAAGCGACGGATTTGAGCTATGTTGGGACAACTGAGAGCTGTGTTAATAGCTCGCACACGCTGCTCCCAAAGCAAGGACTCCATGAGATTTTGCAAGCATTCTGGACCTGAAAGTTTTTAATTTTCTTTCTACAATACCAATATTGTTGATGAACGAGTTATTGTTGTTTGAATTGAAATAAAACTATATTGAAAAGTAATGAATGAAATGCTTATTGATGATAGTACAACAATAAATGTCATGCAACAACTTTTAATCAACAACAATAATAAAATAATTATCCAATACAAATGTACCTATGTGAGTTTTAATTAAAAAAATATGTTGTAAAAATAAACCAATACTTTTAATGTCATGATTCAGCTAATACAAAAGGTAAGTAGGTATCTCATTTGTTAAATGTATTACCAGGATCTTGTTTCCATTTGAGATCATCTATAACTTGGAATGATGGTGGTGGTGGCACCAATTTGGACTGAATGGCAATCCGTAGTTCTTCCTCAGCAGAGAGGGCTGTGCAAGGAGGGCAAGCACAGCCAGAATGGGGCCCACACAATCCATCACAGCAGGTGCACGTTAAAATCTTAAACGTTTAATTATGTTAATTTATTTGTTACAATAAAATAGTTGATAGAATATTTAATGTTCTCTCATTTGTGTTAATTCAATAAGACAGTATTTACTTCAACAAGGTTTATTTCAGAGTATAAAAGCAATTTACATACCCTAAGGCCACAGTAATATTTGCCACTTTCGCCGAGTTTCGCAGTCACTCCTGCGGAATTGACTAGGCCCTTTCCGGCGTCGAAATACAACTCCCTATCCTGCATCAAACTGTTAAACAAAGTGCACAGAGAATCTGGATTGTGTAGGGCATCTTGTAAGTCAGGATTATGCCATTTAGCGTCCAAATGCTGCTGTGGACGAAATATGAAGTCGTCCAGCTCGTCTTGGACCGACATTCTTGCAACCGGCACTTTCGACACTCTCGTCAAATCATTTTCTTAACAAGCAATTAATACATTCAAGTGCTTAGACGTTTGGAAACCTAAATCTATCGGAATTCATTGTAAGACAAAGTTAATTGGAAATAATTGCTGCAACAAAAATACTCCGGATAAATCGAAATCGTAAACTGTCAAAAATTACTGCGTTTCGTTTCACACTGAATGAATACCAATCACGAGATTGTGAAACTTCAAGCAACTTGGCAAAATTGTCCCGTGGTTTGTCCTTCCTTTGCAGAGAGCAGAGCTCTCTGTTCCTTTGATACCGGTATTACTGCCGGTATTTGGTAAATGCATGTTTTGGTATAATATACCTTGTACCTATGGCATCACTAGTGACAGACTGATGACATTTCCATTCTGACAGCGACATACAGATACAGATAAAAAAAATGAAATGGCTTTTGTTGTCGTGTAAACTCGTGTTTTAATTTTGTGCGAGATAAAATTACAATGAATTGATAAATACTATTATAATAACTGTGCAATAATCTAAATTATTAATACTGATGGATGCCGATTTATTGATAGATAGCAAGGAATATCTCTACGGTAACTATTTAAATGTATTTAAAGCCTAGCCAAATCCGGCTAATTCATAAAAACAATGGTGTTCTTTGCTTTGGTACATGTTGATGACCTTTTGTTTGAACATATCCTTGAATACTTTCTGTTTACTAATATATGCGTAGACTAGAATTATCTGCGTATAAATATCTATCTAATCAAAGTTCACAAGCCTTCTATCTTTCTTGTTGGACTTGTGATTACAATAGTAACATAGTAATGCATATTCCGATTGATAAATCAACTTTAATTGTCTAATTAATTAGAGACGAAAACCTATCATACTTGACAGCAAATGCCTGCCTTGTTATGCATAAAAAAAATAACGCACCTACCATGCATGCAACTGATTCTAAATCCAAGCCCTAATTGTTATTATTATTGTTTAGCTTAATGTTTTCTACAAAGATATGATACTTTTCTGAAGGAATTCTAATTATACTGTCTAAACTTGGTATAACCATGTAATGTTTTAATTGTATTCCAGGTGATGATTTCCTAGATGAGCTAACAAAGGAGTACCAATGGTCATCCCTCCTCGATGCAGCTGATGCGTCGCCCAGTGAGATACTAGCCGATGCAGCACCAATCTTGGTGCCTCCAATATCTCCTATACTTAGCGTGAAGTCATGCCCTAACAGCAGTAGCTCGGAGTCTGGCAGTGAAGATGATTACAAAAAGTATTATTCTTATTCCTAAATTCCCATTTTTAGACTCATTTTATCATTTTTTTTTTGCAATTTGTTGTGAAGCAGTTCTGAGACTGCCCTTTGACTTCTCCGATTTTTGTCAACTGTTGTTTTTCAAATTATATTTATGACTTATTGAATTATTTCTTTAGCGGGTCCAGTTGTACCTCAGCCAGACAATCTTCACAATCCCCATGTGATTGGCTGTCCACTTTGGAAGATGAGCCCTCAAATAGTCTTAAATTAGAAGATGTTGAACTATTTTTGCAGAAATCTGGTAAGTATATTTATTAATGTCAAATGTTTTTTTTTTCACTAATTAATATTAACTGAGCTGTTATTTTAGTATCACCTGAACAACCTCCAGCCAACAATGTTGTGCCCAATATATCACCTCCTGAAAGACATGGCCCAGTAATGGCCATAGAAAATGGTGTTATAAAGGTATGTCTTTGCTTAATCATTTGAACCAGGAAAGTTCTAGTATCAAAAAATGTAAGCAATAATTTGTTTAACTTCACAGGGTGTTAAAACAGAAATTGATGATTGTGATATGAAACCAATCCAAGGTAATTTATTGAATAAACACTTAAATTTATGTATCCTCTATCTATCATCAATATAACTTAACCTGATTTATTTATTTTAGGAAATAATTACATACAAAATGGTTATTTCAAAGTAGTTAATGAAAATGTTACAATAAACAATCATGTGAAAGAAGACAAACATAATGTATTAAATGAACAAATTAAATTGGTTGTGGAGCAAAAGAAAATTCCTGCTATACTTAAAAGATCCAATATATTGGTTAAATCCAAGCCGTCAGCTGTTGTGATACCTGCTGAAAGTACAAAGGGTGGGAAAATTGCCATATCTCCGTTACCAATGGCCAATTTTAATGGTGTTAATAATAGCAATGGGTATAAGGTTCAGGTAAATAATATATTTCTCTAATCTAGTAAAATATTATAATGTATTTTCCTTATTGTAACTGATAACATTGATACTGACCTCTAGTAATAAATACTTGATATTTACCCAGTTGTTTATATTTCAGTTGTCACCTCCAAGAAATGGTGTGGTCTTGAGTCCGAAGCCAGTTGTGACAAACTATGTGGCCCAAACTACAGCCGTTTTACAAAACACGATGGTGCCTTCTCCTGAGGCTGAGGTGCCAAGTAGTCCACCTCCTATAGATATGTCACATTTAAGCGAAGCTGAAATAAGAGCTATCAAGAAACAGCAAAGAATGATAAAGAACAGGTAAAACCAGAGAGGTTAAAAAGTACAAACTTCTTACTTTAAAAGACTGTTTTTTTTTATGCATAACAAGGCAGGTATTTGACCACAATCGCACCTGATGTTAAGTGGGATGCAGTCTAGGATGGTACATATCTGCCCTGTAAGTGCCTATTCACTCGAGCCTTGAAAAGGCCCGGATTATAGTTTTCGGGAAAGACAGCAGCAGGCAACGAATTCCAGTCCCTAGCTGGCTGCATATTCTCTTTAGGACTTCTTTTTGAATGAATTATAGTCTCAATTTATTAGACGATGCATTTTTAATCATAGTTTTCTTAAAGTTCTTAGTTACTAGCCTTTATGGAAAAACGATTGCCTATCATGTGATATTCATTCACAGAGAATCTGCATGTCAATCGCGTCAAAAGAAAAAGGAATACGTTACAGCTTTAGAACAGCAACTGTTGGAAGCGCATCAAGAGATCGCCAGGTTGCGACTTGAAAACAAGCTATTGAGAGACCAATTGGATACCAATGGCAATGGGAGGAGTCGAAAGGTTTGACCACCCTCTAATTTAGGCATAAAACGAATATTCGTAGCATTCCTTCGCATTCGCGAATATTCACGATTTTTTTTTATATTTACACTCGTATTTCATCTTATTGGAAATCATTATTCGCAAGTGATACATGAGTCGATGTAATTTAATTAATTTTTTTTTTTCAGATGCCTAGAGTGGACGCGTCAATTTTGTTACCCAAAAAGAATATTGCTGTTATCTTCGCAATGGTGTTCATGGTGTCATTGAATTTCAATGTCATAGGGTAAGTAGGTGTATCGTCAATTTAATGTTTGCGTAATGTGTAACACAATATAAATGCTAATGTAATATTGTTTATTCAGGTGGAACACGAAGCCGTTTGTCGGCCGGCCTGGGTCGGAGCCGCATAATTCAAGGCATTTACTTTGGACGGATACCGCAGATGTCAATGTGAGCTTAGGTAAATACAATTTTATTGTTAGTTTTAACTGCTGCCTACATATTTACCAATGTCGTTAAAAGAAAATTAGGTATTGAATATTTGAATACTCGCATAAAACTCAAGAATCCCATTAACTAACCCTGATTATTATTTTACAACATGGTTATTGTTATTGTAAAGAAATAAAACTAGTATGCAAATTACAATGAATAGTTTTTTTGAATTTATGGTCAATTGTTAACCTATCTGTATAGTACCTAAATGGAATGTAAATCTTTATCTTCACAGATGGAGACCAGAATGCCACTTTCGGAATAGACTGTCAAAATTCAACCATAGCGGCTACCGACTTCTCGAATATCAACCATACAGAGAGCATACGGATAGCAGGCGAGCTTAACCGCTGGATCGGTGGCGGAAAGACCCTGAATTGGACCAATGATGCGGCACGGTCTAAACGCAGAGTTTATCTAAATAGGGAAAAAATCAATGGTAATTAAATAAAAACGGCTTTTTTGCGATACCTTTATCACCTACTTCAGTTGTCTCGAAGCGCTGGTAGGGCCCAAAAGATAAGGAGACATGTAAAGTGCCCCATAAGGGCTACCTTTTCTTTTTTTATTATTTTCTATAATAATATTTTGACGTTCATAAGTGCCACTTGTGGTCTAAACTGAATAAATACTTTTGATTTTTTATTTTTTTTTATTTTTTTATTTTCATGCTAAAATATCGCTATGTGCCGCGTCTCTACTCATGTGTACTAAATACTAACGAATATTGTCTTTTCTAGGTGGATTTCTGGAAACATACAAATTGTTCAATAAGTTGAATGAAGACAATCTTGTCGAGTTCCCCAGTACAAAAGGACAAGCTAAAAATATGCGTGAAAAATCCCGCCTTCGTAGGTTAAGACGAAACAAAGAGTTAGACTTTGATGAAAGTGCTGTGATAGATTACGAAACTCTTTACAAACCTAGAAGGAAGTCGGTAGATGACTTCAATATTGATGAATGGACTGATTTGCTTCAAGCCCTGCAACGGAGGGATGACACGTTTTATGTGGTGGGGGTGGGTAAAGGAGAGCATTTGTTACTGCCAGCCGTTTCGCATAATGTCACGAGGCCTCCAAGAATGGCCCTGATTCTTCCGGCAAGGACTGGCAATGGTGAGTTCCGGTCAATCGATACTGGAATCGAAAAATATTTCTGGAGCATAAAAAAGGTGTGGTAGATATTTATCGCGTTTTATTTTTCAGATTCACTGATGGCAGATCACGTGACCTTAATGCAAATAGATTGCTCAGTAGTCAATACAACACTAGTTAAGTTAAAATCAAATGCACTGCCAGGAAGTTTGCGCAAGAAAGCCGATGTCAAACCATCCCTAGATGCTCAAGAAAACACCCGTAATGAGGTTAAAAAAGGTATCAACGATTCTTTCGACGTAAATCTGATGGATTCTCTAAAGAACTCTAGCGACAACCTTTCAAAGTTCCCAGTTATCGTTAAAAAACAATATGCGCCTAAAGAAAATGCCTTACCAAAGGATGACACATTCAGTCAGTATTTATTTTCCAAATATGAAGAATCTAAAAAAGAGAATACCAATACCATAAAACACACTAAAAGAAAAGTATCAAATGAAACAATGCGAATTAAAAATGTAACTAAGGGCTCAAAATAGTTTTTGAAAATCTGGAATCACTTCTGGAAACAAATATTGTGATACCTTTTCATTCCTTGCACACTTTTAAATCCCATTTTGAAATAATTGATAAACAGATAAATGTGAAAAGTGAAAACTAACGTGGTACTGTTACTGATTGGTTTATATCTTGTTATAGTCTATCCCAGCTCTCATTGACCGCTACTACAAAGTTATGTCGTTACTTTTGATGGCAGCTGTCATTCTAATATTGGATAGACTATAATTGACTTATTATTATTCTGTCTAATGGCTTCAATGGTGCGAATTTGAAGCACACTGGTTTTGCCAATGTTGAGCATAGAGCAAAGTAATACATAATGTCGAGTGTTTAGAGAGACACGGTGGACAATGGAATTTAGAGAATAAAGTTCCAAAATACTGAACTGTCCTATGCATGACATTGACAGTGGGGCGCCACCGTCAATACCGGATCGCTGGTTCCGATTTTTGCCATGTTGGAAACCATATAGTTGAACGATGGTAGCGCCCCCCTGTCATTGAGTTTGGTGGGACAGTTCAGCGTGGGTCATCTAGACGTGTTGACACTACCAATCAATGAGGGCTATCGTTTTAGCGCTCACCAGTTGGCGCCACTGTAGAGTAAGGTCCTGTCACTTGCTAGTAGCGAAGACAGTGGCGCCAACTGGTGAGCGCGAAAGTGGTTGGAGGACTATCGCATTTGCACTCATCAAGATGGCGCCACTGTAGAGTAAGGTCCTGTCAATCGCCAGGGGTGCCAACTGTTGAGTATAAAAACGATAGCCCTCATTGACGTACTTTTTAAATCTCAAAACAGTGACGTCACTATTTTGTCATTTCAATTTTAATATTTTTTTTCTCGTGCAAAGTACTGAGCCGACCAGTAACATTAACTTTTATTCAGTTAGGTATTTCAATCGCATAATCATGTAACTTTTAAGTATAAAACTTTTTATGAGTTTGTCAATAATTAATCTAATCGTGATTCCAGATTTGACACAAGTTAAATGTGGATTGTATAATATTTTTAATATTTTGTTGTTCGTTTTAATTTTATTTTATTTAATCACTAAATTCCTTCTTAAAGATCAGCACTTGTCAGGTTTTTGTCTGTACTCTAGATGCTTGCAACAAAGGCATATTCCATATATTTGGCCTAGTGGATACTTAACAGATCTCATTATCGTTTATGTAAAAGTGTGAATTCATCCACGATGTAATAAATATACATCAGCAAGTAGGTATAGTTTCTTGCAATCTACTTCACAGATAGTTTGAGGAAATTAGAAAATAATGATTCACGCAAATATAATATTTTTATTGGAATTGTCTAGTATTCTTGTAGGAATACAAGTAAATAAGACAAGCAAAAATCCCGGTTTCCCTTGTTTTGAGGTACCTAAATATCGTAAAAAATAATTATGGAAAAAACCTTTTAAGCTAAATAAAAGTTAACTATTCTGCTCTCATTTATCACTTTTGTACATTTATAGGGTAACACATATTAATATAAGGCAATACAATATTATTTGTTACGAAATGTTTAATTACTTAGCATGGTTTAGTTTCATTTAGGTTGTCAAGCAATAAGTGTTTTTGAACACATACAGTTATATGTTATACATATAGTTATAATACGTCTAATTTTTTAGAAATCAGCAGAAATGTCATCAAATATGGCCAACTGACATAAAAATATTTTTAATCTGTGAACTAGTGATGCGACAAAACCTCTCGTTAATCGCGAAGTGAAATGTTGTAGTACTTGCGTATCATCGCCGGGTGATCGTCAAAATACTAAAAATATGCAACAAAGTCGAAACATTGAATGTGAACTGATCATGTAATTTTCGAGAACAGGAAACAAACTGTATGCACAGATGTAATCAAAAGGCACACTGGACAGTAGAACAATAAATGATATCCGTAAAGTTATTAAACTTCTGTTGCTTGCTGTTGCTTGCTGCGTGATTGGTGGATTTTGTGCTAGGTTTAAATAATTTCGAAAGCTTGTATCGCGCATGGAATTTATTCCTCTTTTATGTTTGCGCTTCAAGCTTTCGAAATTATTTGAACCTTGCATAAGTACAATTATTTTTTTCGTTTTAGTACAACTGCATTTCAGAATAAAAGCTTGTTTTTAAAAAAGTTTTTTAATTATTATGATTTTATTTTACACTTTTTAGTAGTATCTCAATCTCAGAGCCTTGGTTCAATTACAATACAATTTAACACCAAAGTGCTCGAAAAGACAAATTCAGCAAACCCAAACTTGATAAGTTTCCACCGTTTCGTTTAGGAATTCCTATGGCAATTTCCTGACTCCATCATCAGGACCCTGGACATCATCTAGTCCTAAAGTGCTCGAAAAGACAAATCCAACGAACCCAAATTCGATGCGATGCCGCCGTTTCATTTAGGAGTTCCTATGGCCACCTCAGGAAGTCAGGACTCCATCATCAGACCAGCTCAATGGTACCATAACATTGCATTGTCATCGTACTTGCATAAGTATACCAAATTTCAGCTCAATCGGTTGAGGAAAACTGGTCTTAAATTCAGTTGCAAGAGTTGTCCCACACATACTAACAAGAGTGTCGTTAGTGATCTGGTTACAAAAACTGTTGTTTTGGGTTCTGGAAGTTCTGGAAGCCCGAACGTACTTGTCAGAACGCGTTTTTCAGCGTGCCTGCTGTATCTTTTTGGTAAATAGTAGGTACTGGATTAACGATTAACGGACTTAGGATAATTTAACGGAAGTTAACGAGTCCGTTAACATTTTTTTTAAGTTAACTTAAAAGTTAATCCGTTAATAGAAATGTTAACTTCGTTAATTAACGGATTAACGAGTTAATGCCCAGCTATGGTCCTAAGCGTAATATAAAAAATTAAAACCAAGTAATTTTTATTTTGTATTGGTGTAACAAGTTGGAACTCGCAGGAGTCTACATATATTTCAACTGAGCGTTATTATAGAACTGTTAACACAGTTATTGAAGTATCTATGTGTGACAGTTCGTTTTTAACATGCTTTTTCTTTATTACCAGTCTATGTCCGATTATCCGAATTTTCGATTATCCGAATCGACCCCGGTCCCTATTAATTCGGATAATCGGCGTTCTACTGTATATGTATGTACCTGTGCCTAACGGCTGTGTTTATTGAAGTACTATAGGGATCTTGAAAGGGCGCGAATTAAAAGTCCAGAAAACCTGTGAATGAGTTTACTCCACTCTTACTTGACGATTATAAAATAAATTACGGTGCTGTTACAATACATGTGAATACATGTGCCGGGTGGCCAGAGAGAAGACAACTAGCTTACATTGCCATAAACAAAATAATTTTTTAAATTTAGTCTAACTACACGCCGATAGGTGGCGCTCTAGGCAGGTTTGCTATAGTACGTTCTATGATTTTGTCATAAATTCTATGAAAAATTAGTTTTATATTTTCCGCAAATTAAAAGTCCACTTTGCATTTCGAAATCTTAAATTAATACAAGGTTAGTTTGAGCTTATCACAGAGGAACAGTCAGCCACAGTTCCAGCTACCAATTCGTGGTCATGGCGTCTTGTTCTAGCGCTAAGAATTGCCATTTGATGAGGGTGAAAGAAAAATCGGAAATGGGTAGTTGGAACTGTGGTATGGTATAGTATGATAGTGGGCCACAGACTGTGGACCATTGTTATACCAACTAGCTTCGTCAAGAAACAGCAATTTTTTATAATTTATGTATTTGCTAAAGTAACCCTGTAAATTATTTTCATTTACATTAGGTTACTTACATGTATTATTGTCACTATCACAAATTACTTTATTTGTTGTTATTTTTAATTCTAATATATTTATTGTACTTTTTTGTAAACTTAAGCACTATGAGGTTGTCTGAAAATAAATAAACAATTACTAGTTCAAAGTTTTTGAATTTGCACTAATCCTAATCGAGATACAGACAATAATATTTTGGGAACCGGTTGTAAAACGGGACGAATAAATTAGATCGAATTATCATCTAACACAAGTAACAAACAAACCATCCATCTCACTAAAGTTTTTCTCGAGTGAAAAAGCAGTTTGTTTTTTTAACTTAAGCCTGATTCCCTGGCCATTATAGGCCTCCTCCATAATGGTGGGCTCTGTGTGGCACAAAAAAGAGGAGTATTTTGTAATCGGTATCAATTTACGGTATCCATAGTATCCGTAAATGCAAGGGCAACCCTATTTTATTCCAGCTGATTTACCTGTCAGTTGAGTCAAGCTGTCAAAATAACATAACCTAAAAAAACACAAACTGAATAGAACCTGAAAAACTGAAAGCAAACCTATAAACAGAAGAAAATAATACATTATTAATTTGTGATGTGTATTCAGTTTGAAAGTTCTGCAATATAAAAACATGAACATTTTGAGGTTATCAAGACCTATCAAACAGGCTAACTTACTGAAGATTTTCAGTGTAAATTATGCGACACAACATCCTACGAAATTTATGGAAACACAAGATCGGTGGAGAGAACAGGATAATGTGTCCAGACGATGGCAGTTAATATACAAAGCACCTATGGAGAAATGGCTGAACTATCTATCAGTGTATCTAACAGTTTCCACCACTACTGTGGCTGGCAGTGGCTTGTACTACGGCATATTTCAATTTAATAAAGAAACCATGAACGATCCAATTGTATTTGGAGAAGATGTAGTCATAGCTAATAGTGCCACAGAATGTCTTGTTTACATTGGAGCATTTGTTGCATTTCATATCGCTTTGAAGATATTATTATCTAAATATGTTGTACGCATGTACCAAGACGGTGATAATTATTTAGCAGTTTTCCGTGGCCACATGTACAACACGATCAATAAACACGAATTTAAGTTAAACGAGTTCAAGAAACTCAAGCCAACTTTAGTAGTGTCTTGGAGTGATGCCAGATTCTCACTTGGATCAAAACAAGCTATCTTATTAGAAAATTATTTCAAAACTCCTGAATATTTTAACTATTTACTAACCAAGAGAAGAGTTAAAGGTGCCGATGAAGATGATTAAATTATGTATGTAGTTATAAATAGGGAATAAGTAGTATGTTTAATACACCATAAATTAATAAATAAAAAACTTATAAACACTACATATTTTATTAAATATCTAAAGCAATTAAATTAAAATCCTCCATTGTATGCATTATTCCATTTATACCTAGAATCTCTCTTTATTGTATCTGAGTCCATTTTCTTTTCATCTGTGTGGAATTCCTCTAATGCTTCAATCTGTTTAGGTGCAGGTTCCAAAGTCTTCATAACTATACACTGGCCATTTTCTTTCAAGATTGTGTAATTGATGTCATCTTTAGTGGGTTCTCCATATGGGAAAGTAATAGGAGTCACTTTAATCAAATGTTTTACTTTCCACAATCTCATATTGTTTTCCGGTATGTTTTTGACTATTGTTACTTTGCCCTGTAAAGAAAGAAGAAGAAAACTCAAGTTAGTACAGTCAATAAAAAATAATTTATAGTTAACACACATTATAAGTGTTATATTGGTGTACTACCTCTTCATGAATTTTCATGTCAGCTAAAATTTTTTTCTGCCACCATGGAAAGTTTTTTGTTGATTTGATCCTTTCTACTCTGAACAACTTTGAAGGTGTATATTCAGGATCTTTGTGATCTGGTTGTCTGTAAATTACAATATTTAGTATTATCGTACAGAAGTATAAGCAACCATACTTGAAACTTAATGAAAATGACAATATTATGAGAATTCTGAGTAACACACCCCAGTGCATATTCTTGTAATAAACTTTTATATTTCTGAGTTTGTCGTAGTTAATGTATCCTCCCAATAACCGGCCCTATTCATGAATCAGCGATAGGGCCTAAGTTTTCTATTATTATACAAGCTAAAAATATTTTTTGTGATTACCATCTTAATTATTTTTGGGCGTATAGTTTACAGAGCCTTGTAGTAATTATAATAAGCAGGCAGTGAAAGAAAATAGGTAATGAGCTTCTAATTCCTACCTTGGATAGTATACTATGCCTCCTGGATAACGAATTCCACCTGGAGCTCTATAGCCCTTTGAACGGGTGAAATTTGATAACGGATTTATAACTTTTAAGAGTTGTCTATTCATTATGAATTGTAAATCTAATTTTATTTAATTATTTTCTCAAAAATGGTATAACCTCTCACGACACAACAAATTTGACGTATTTGACACTGTTGACAGCTGCTTGTCTTGGCTATGTTCCGAAATACACTACGAGGAGCACTACTCACTACTCTGAGCCCCGATTACGGTAATTTTTAACGTCTACAATCCAGACACGCTTCTCGATTCTGCGATACGATTGGTCGTTCAACAGCGTACGTCAGCTGTTTTGACCATTCGTATCGCAGAATCGAGAAGCGTGTCTGGATTGTAGACGTTAAAAGTTACCGTAATCGGGGCTCAGTGCTCTCCAAGGTTGCGGACTTGCGACTCGTCTTTCACGAGCTGCGTAGTCCGAGAGTAGAAAGGCAAAACGGTTACGATACGATTCCTTTCCGAGTTGATTTGTGCTTCGTTGCCTTCGTCCTTATTTCGGAATATACTTTCTTTTTTTAAGATTTGGCTGTATGGACTAGACCCGAGCCGTGAAACATGAAATAAAAAAAACTTAAAATGTCATATATGTCAGTGTCAATGTCACATGCGCTTTTGTTGTGATGCGTGCGACTTTTGAAACGTGGTGAACGTTGTATTCAAATGTACATTTTAATTTTGTTTGTAATTTTATGTACCTAACGAGTTTCAGACTGTCTGACTCAGCATTCGATGTAAGTGATGTAACCCTTTCTGCTACATACACTTGTAGCTTGACGGTACAATTTACCTTGTTTGCCACTTGTATCAATCCATGAAGAAAGTGCGGTTTGAGTCTCCGGTTCGATGCTGTAGTCAAGCGATGGAAGATTCAGAATGTCAGTCACCCAGACCTTTCATGGAAAGGCAAGAGGCAGTGCGTCCAGACCTGTGTTACAATTACCCGAGAATATTGCCATACAGTCCAGATCCACTGCAGAGGTATGAGTGTAGCAATACTTCACCGTATCCCGTAGTACCGAAGACTAATGTGGAAAGTATCAACGAGCATGGACCTCGATGGCCTTCTAATGACCTGGAGTTAAGTATGTTGGATAGTTCAGATCATGAACCCAGACATCCACCTAGTTATACAAATCATCAATTTACAAAACATAATGTTTTAAATAAACCTGGCAATTCACACAACACACTTGGTTCTAGTGAATCCCCAAAGGTACCATTTCAAGTGTTGTCTTCCATTGAAAATACCAAAGTGAATAAACCCATAGAAAATCTGGCTCAAGATAATAATTTCTTTATAAAAAGAGATAATATACAAAAAATATTTTCTGAGAATATAAATCCTTTACAGACTCAGATGAATAGACTGAGTTTATCAAGTGAAAACAATATTCTTAGCAAGAAAGCTGAACTTATGAGACTAGCTAGTACACAAGTTTCCCCAATGCTTGATAATCAGCAGAAGAATATTCATGAACCAATGAAACCAGAATCTACAATTCCCTATGAATGTAGATGTCATCACTGTGTAAAAATTATACAAAATGCACAACACAATTTACCTGATCACCTGATTAACAGGAACCAAATTCAAGCTCATAACCACTGTCCTTGTTTAGCATCCACACATAATACTTACCATTGCAACTATCATATGCCAGTGAAACCACCAACCAATACTTGTCAATGTAAAGATATGGAGTTATTCCATAAACATCAACCTCAAAATGCAGTTGATAAAAAAACTTGGTCCATAGAAAAGTATGAACAAAATAAAAACCATGACTGCATGGAGGTGGAAAAGCAAAATAACGTCAAAGAAAAGAGAGAGCCCACTGTATCAGATCTCTTTAAGATTATCAAACTTCAGAATGAACAGTTACAGCTTCTTCAAGAGAAGGTTGACAAGTTCATATCAGCTAATAATAGTAAACCAGACAGTGTGCGACAAAACTGCATGACAGAGCAGATAGCTCTTGAAACAGTTGAAAACCAACATAAGATATCAATAGGGGTAATGACCAGTTTCGAAATGGTTAGAACTTCTAGAGTGATCAACAAAGAAATTGTCACACAGACAACAGATAATGCTCAGATACAGTGTAATAGATCTCAGATCAGCATTAAAGAGGTGGTATCTACCACTCAACCGGTTCATTTAAACTTTCTGGATGGTATTATACCTTCTGAAAGAGCAGCTTTTAGCAATAGAGAAGATAATAATTCTCAGAGTATCAACTGTGGAGCACAGTACACAGAGAACTTGAATGATGACAAAACATTGAATGAACTCAGCTTATACAATGTCCAAGTGGACAATGCTACAACTCCACTCATTTCTCCTGAGCAGAGCTTGTATCTGGATGTGAGGGACTATAGCGAGTAAGTTTAAATACTAATAATTTTGTAATGTTGTTTGACTAAAATTGAGAAAACTTTTAATTTTATATCATTTTTGTTACAGCTCAGATTCCAGCAGTGATGACCATTCCAATGTTGGATGGACTTATTATAATAAAGTAATGGTAAGTTGAAATTAAACTGAAATAATAGATTAATTTATAAAACTTTTCTTTTGTTTAAAGTTGTTATATTTTACAGACACGTGTGAATGGAGTGCTCCAAGACTCTGAGATGCCATCTTCAGCCAGTGCACTTCAGAGGAATACACAGCAACGTGTGCAGATGCAAATTGACAAAACCAATCTTAGTGTTACTAAAAGGTAATTGACAAGCCTACTGACTGAATCCTTTATTTTACAGATTTCAGCATATCAACTCAAAATGAAACATATCCTCAAGTGATTTGAACCTTAACTTCTAACTAACTGCGTGATTAAGACTGGAAAAATATCTTGCCCACACATGAGAACTTTATTGGTTACATATTTTCCCCTCTCCTCCCCATCAACTCTTGTTAGTCATATCACCAGTATACTGAGAAGATAATCTCAGATTATTTAAATGTTTACAGGGTGAAGTTTGGAGATGACCCTCTCGGCATTCATCAGCCACACGTGAGAGCAGCTAGCACCGACACCAGTCTGAAGATGAACCAGTTGGCTGCTAAGTACCTGAGCGGTGGGACCTTCACACCAGTGTTGCAGCCACCGCCGTCATTGAAGCCCTCTGCTATGCCCATTGACATGTCCTTTGCTACACGAAATTATATGGAGAGGCATCGACTTTTGCATGGTAATTAATTATGTATTTATATTTTAAAAAATATTTTCTACTTTTTTTAGGCTTTAAAAGTCGCCTAAAAAAGTTTGTTTTCTTTTTTTTTTGCACAAATTGCTCGTTAACCTCTCGTGGGTGAGTTCACCAGCGGCGACGGTGTTCGAACCCGCATCCTCGGATCTCGAGTCGGCCAGTCCGACACTTTTCACAGTTCTGCTATTGTCGCTTAAATTTTTGAATATTCGATTTAATTATCCAGCAATTTTAAGTGCTTGTTTATTTACAATGTTTCATATTATTTCAGGTACTCCACACTCTTCACGATCGCCCCCAGCAGGTGAGATGCCAAGATTTCTAGACATTACTGCCTTGAAGCAGCAACCTAAGTTATTATAGTGACAGTATACTTACAATTAATTTATATTTTACACATTGTTAGACTATTGTTTTTGTAAATAAAAGAACATAATATTGAACAGACATTTATTTAAACCTCAGAGAAAATAACAGAGTAAAACCCTAATTTGTATAGGTATATATCTGTTTGGAACAGCTGACATCAATGAATAAATTACAATCGTAAATATCAACTCCAGTATGACTCATCTACTAATATTATTTTGTATATATTTTATATATTCTTTATTATAATCTGAGTTTTTATATTTTATACATATAATTTGGTTTTTTATTTATCACAATTTATGGAAACAAGAATTGCAAATTTAGTTATGATGGTAGGCCCATTCAAATTGCCATCATTCATGTGTCATATATTTTTATTTTTTATATTTATTTATTATAGTATATACTAAAATATTTACGTGCATATTCTATGAGATTCTGGTATCGTGGTATTCCTATTTGTGTAGAAATATAATAGTTAATATATTATTCGTATATTTACCAATAATTAAAATAAATATTTTCGTTTCTCTGTAATGTTGAACTAATTGTAAATACCAATAGTCCCTCGTTTTTGTAATCTTTGCATTATAACAATATTATAAAATAATTTTTGTTTTTAAAACACAAGTACTATTTGATTTTTGTTCACTACATAAAAAGACACCAGAAATAAGGTAATTTTTCCATCATAATATTATACTTTTAATTTTTTCTACACATTAAAATGTTGACCTAGGACTTATAAATATTCATCAGCAAATACACAATAAATATCCTATGTAGACTTAGTCCTATCAGTTTGGTTCTTTTCCTCTTTGGTTAACTTACATTCCAGTTGTACACTCAACATCGAAACACGTCCTACTATAATCTAACGATGAATAGTTGCATAATATTCCGAATAATAATAAATAGGGCAATGATTAATAACATCATCATTGAAGTAATACTAAATGCTTCTTATGTACATTGAAGATAAGACTGTATTTATCCTTAAATAAGATTTCAATTCTCTTGCATCGCAAAATATTACAGTTTTATTTATTATATTTATTTATACAAATCTAGAAAGATAACCAAATATTTGGATGGCACTTCTTTTCTGTTGTCGAGTAGACGTATTAATAAGATTATATTGTTCCTACTATATAAAACTATTATACATCACTTTCTGTCTTACATGTCGCATTTGCCTTGACTAGACTAGGTATAAAGGTATCTTATTATTATTTTATTTCCGATGTCATTGAGAAGAATAATTTTCTACAACATTGTATATCTTTGTAGATTTTAAAAATATATTTAGATCGTTCTCACAAATACAATTTATAATCCAAATTTTATATTCAACATCAGAACAATCTATGTGAATGACTAAAATTTTAACTTGATCATTATGTTATGTTCAAAGTATGAGTAATTCATGATTTGAGCATAATAATTTATTTGTGCATATAATTGTAATTCATTCGATAGATTTCTTTAGTAGAATATTTTTACTTAAATTTAGAGTTTATAACGTTTTTAAATTGTTTCATTCAAGTTGAATAACAATAAAGGATCTTATAATTACGAAGATCAAATAAGTATGTATACTTATGATGATTTCCAAACGAAACATGAAGCTAAATTATTGATTTATAAATATTTTAAAGTATTTTATCATAATGCTATTTAATACAATATCATCAACCTATCAATGTTAAAATACAACATTATTTTCAATAATGAATTTTATGCATGTATGTAATATATTTACTTGATTCGTTCTACTAAAATTCATTTGCGCACGATCACTCATATGTATATCACAAGGTTTTCAATCATTCTACTTATTTTAATTCATCTAGTATCTACACCAACGTCTACGTAAACATGACTACTCGAACTAAAACGTCAATATTGGTATACAGCAACAAATTATGTAACAACATTAATTAGTATTTTGTATATAATATTATTTAAAATTGTGCACCTGGTTCCGTATTCGATAACTAAGTATGGGTCCAGTTGGGAACGGTTTAGAGGGTCTCGTCGTCGCCTCCGCCCCGTGATTTGCTGTCCAGTCTTAATTCCGCTAGTCTTTGCCTGATGCTGTTTGGTCTGGAATTAATTTAAGGTGGCATAAAGTAGGTAACACAAAAAATAAAGTAGTGGCTGTGCTGTAACAACCAAATCTAACATGAAAATAAAATACTCTTGCTCATCGAACTAACAACTGCCCACAATGGCAATATGGTATTCGCAATAGCCGCGTTGCAGTTCGGAACCACCACGCTTATTGATCGTATCTATCTATATAAGATTTACTACTTCCTCAGATCATAGAAGGGATCTTCTACTTCTGAACTCTTTTACAACCAGGTACGACTGTTTAGATTATTGAACTTCTTTTATCAACATGTTATATTAGAACCTTGAAATTCAAGCAGCAGTGTATAGGTTGTTAATTATATTACCTGTCGGAGAAGTATGAGGTCACGACTTGGTCCGCCGAGACGGACTGCCGCTGGTATGCGCCAGCGCTCAAGTTGCTCTGCGGGATCTTGTATATGCGGACGCAACGCCCGCTGTTTTCTGGCAACACTGCGGAAGAACACAGTGCTATTAACAAAACATACAGTACCATTCGTAACCAGTCCAGGGTCAATGTTGGGCAAATTCGAAATCATAAACAAATTGGTAAAAATTTAGAAAGAAGGGGTAGATTTTGGTATAAAGGTTTAGGTTGTGGTCTCCTATAAACGCTGTATAAGTCAAGCGTCACAATGCTTACTATAGAAATGTACTGACGTTGTGGTCTCTTACAGACGTTGACGTCGGCGTATGGACGTCGACAGAAACGTTTGTCGCTGATGTTCGCCACTTACAGCGTTTAAGAGACCGTAGCTTTGAAAAAGTTTCGAAAAATGAAACTTCCTAGAGGAATGTATACTTTGAAAGAAGGACAATTCTATTGATGTTGTAAAAAATATTGAGAATGTGACCACCTTATCTTATACCAGTCAATGGTGTCATTCGACATCTAGTGCAGTAATAAGGGCTATCGTTTTTATACTTAACAGTTGGCACCCCTGGCGATTGACAGGACCTTACTCTACAGTGGCGCCATCTTGATGAGTGCAAATACGATAGTCCTCCTACCACTTTCGCGCTCACCAGTTGGTGCCACTGTCTTCGCTACTAGCAAGTGACAGGACCTTACTCTACAGTGGGGCTAACTGGTAAGCGCTAAAACGATAGCCCTCATTATTACAGTACTAACCTTGAGGTGAACTGGGCGGCGATATGGGCGCCATGCGCTGCAGCGGCGGTCGCATGTTCTCCTGCTCCGAAGAGATGGAACTGCTGCGGCTCGACTCGGAGTTGTTTTCTGGGGTTCTGTTGTTCTGGTTGCAGCCTTCGCCTCTGTTGATATTCGGATAGGGTTTAAATCATAACTTCATTACACTTCCTTTTTGACTCTTGGTGAAAAATAAAAGGAAACCTTTGTGTCTAACTTATAGCGGAATAGTAGCGGTTTTGCTGAAGAGTTGGATTTACGTCTAAATCTTCAACAATGGACCTACAGGATTCTGAAGAATAGAACTGAAGGAAAAGTAGAACTGGAGTTAATTTATTGAACGAAAGGTGAAGTGGTCTAGTATCTTTGTCTCTCATATCAAATCTACCTACCTATGGTTAGATAGAACGCTGCTGAACTTTCCTGATGAAATGCTCGTTTGTAACGTAGAAATCGTGTCCCATATTTTCTAGACTGATTTTTATGGTTCTTGCATCAGTAGTGCAGGCAACTGAAGGTAGACTAGTTATTATTCGAAAATAGCTTAATTTATACCGGTTGTCGTTGTTTTCGTCCTCGTCCAGCGAGTAGGGCCCGCACTTGCTCATCTGGCGCGCCAGCTCGTACTCGTGCATGGCGAGGCACGGGTCGATCTCGCGGCTTAGAGGAACGTACTCTGGCGCGCAAGCCACGTAGAAGATGTCCTGAAATGGAGAAGGAAAATAATTTCCCATTTATGAATATGACTTATTTTTTCCCGCAGCTTTGCCTGCGTGTATTTTGGTCTCTCACAGAAACCAGGACAAAAACGATCCTATGGTATGCCCTGGGTCTCAAACTAAGTATATCCAATCTTTCAACAAAATCGGTTCGGTTGTCGCATTTATAACATAAGGCTGCGTTTCCACCAGAGATGTGCGAGAAAGAAGCTATAGAATCGCTTCATTTACCTCGCCTCGGTAAATGAAACAAATCGCAGCCTCAGTAAGGATAGTTTTAATTTGATTCAATAAACTGACGACGAACAAATAATACAGCAAACATTATAGGAGCTGTCCGGGATCAGCTAAAGTTGAAATGTTGTCAATTCATAAGTAGGTAACGCCAAGAAAATAAAAGCATAGAAGCGTCTTACTCACTCTTCGTCCACACAACAGTTTTAGTCCCGGAATGCAAGCAGCGTGTACCAGCGAGCCGTTGGCCACCAGTCGTATCTCTAAGAGGTCTTCCGCAAACGCCATTATGTATGGAAATGCGCACACTGAAAAATGTTTTCATCATAACTACAGAAGAAGTGACTATCGTAGGTGAAAAAAGAGCGAGGATACCTTCTTCGCTAGAGGGAAAATGCGAGAGAGAGAAAATAATCGAAGAATCGTTGATATACAAAGGTACTTAGGTATGTGTTTCTGTCAAATAACTAACCTACTGCTGCTGGCACAGTCGTCCAATGGAAATCATATTCGCCGTCGCTCTCCAACCCTTTGCTGGTTAGTCTTTCGAAGTGGCATGTATCTGAAAAAGAAATATACCATTTTATTTTTGCTTGGAAGTTGATTCTAATATGATCAATTGGGTAAATAGTTGTGCTTACGATTGTAACATAAAACTATTTGGCCGTCTCTTTCGTCCCCGATGCGTAAAGCGTTGACGAGGGTTCCACGACGGGGTCCACTGTCTTCCGAGGAGTCCGCTCGTTTTACGGTCTGGAATATCAAATAACGGCAAGTAAAAATAGCTTCTATTATTTTGAGGGACTGGGTTGTGTTTAATGATAGATACCTGTCCATTACTGGATTCTAAAACTTCCCAATGGTGCTTGTAGCCGACTACCATCACCCCTACTTCTCCGTCCATCAGTTTTATTAATATAGGCGATTCACTTAATTGGATATCCTGCAATCAAAGAAGAAAATCTTATTGTAATGGACCCATATTTCTTCAAGAATATTGTTTTAAAGTATTACAAACCTTGATATGTGTGTATTCGAATCCCATTTCACTATCAGTCTTGGATTCTTCAATCATAAGCATAACTCTTCTACCGATCGCTACAGCAAGCGTTGTTTTACCGCTCTCTCCTGTAATATTTTTTTGGATACAAAAAAGATATCAAAATATTGGAGGAAAAACATGAAAACTGTGTTAAAGATTTCCTTTCTATCTATAGAAAGGTACATTAGGTATTGGTGTCTGCTTATTATACCTTATGTGAAGTGCCTAAATGGTCCGTTATATTCATTACAGTTAGAGTAGGCGCACACCGTTGATTTTTAGTTGGCCGATAGTTGTGCCCGATTTTAAATTGTATGAAGAATCGGCCAAATCGAATCGGCGTAGCGTGCGCACTCCCATACATGCCCATCATGAGGACATCAACTGTCCGACTAAACTATCGGCCGACGAAAAATCAACGGTGTGCGCCTACTCTTAGTTCATGCCCTAGGAATTTTGATCTTACCCGATTCAAGCAAATCAAAGCAGTGTGCAGTCTTCGTGCGCGGCAGCCTGGCGTGCTTACAGTCCTGCAGCGGCCTCATAGCCCATGCCCCTGCGCATAGCTCCTGTATGGGCAGCGCATACAAGCCCGCGCCCCCCGCGCCGCCTGTCGTGGACCCCCCTCCGGCTACCACGCGGGCCCCTACTCTGAACAGACCAGCTCGCTCGCTCACCCGAGCCATTCGGACGCAACCTTCCCATCTGAGGACCACTCTAGTTGTTCCGCTCTCTGGAACAATATTGGATTTTGAATTCAGAGTCGTGAAGTTCTGAAAATGGGGCAGGTTTACACAGGTCTGCTCGGGCATGATATTTTGCAGTAGAAAATGGGTGCTCTAATGAGTTAAAATTGATAGATGGATTTTAAGATCGGGCAGGATTGGTTGTTCAAAATAACAAAAACGTCATTTGACTGGCCTGAACATGCGTACCTTCTAAAATATATGTATTGGACGTTGTAGACAATAGCAGGCGGCCTTCTGTCATTTGTTCTGCACAGACCGGCGTCGCTGGCAGCGGTGCCGAGCGCCACACGCGTCCTTCCCAAGGTGCTCGGCGAGAACCTCCAGAACCTGTATGAAAATGACAGAGCTTGTAAAAGAAGATAAGCTGGGAGCAACCTTGCCGCAGCTTGGGCAGCTGAGTAGAGGAAGAGGCGGGGTATCTGGAGCATTACAAATAAAATTATCCTAGGTCAGGAGCTCTCCCCCCTATAATATCACCCTGCGACACAGTTACGGGTATTACTGGCGTGACACTGTAAAACATAGTTCATTGGGGAGTAAGCAATACCTATTTTGACGTTCATAAGCGCCACTAGTGGTCTAAATTGAATAAAATATTTTTGATTTTGATGTAGTTCTCTTTTGGAAACTCATACCATAAACGCAGATCTATAAATCTGTATAAGTTGTCTTACCCATAGAAACAAGACTCGTAGGAGCATCGCCCCGCAACACCGCATCCAGTTTCAACGCCTGCCCCACATGTAAGAATCGCTCCGTACGCGCAGCCCCCGCGCCGCCTGCGCCGGCGCCGCCGGACCACACGTCTGAGAGCGCGCGGCGGGATAGCATTGGCTGAAAATGATGATACCCTGACGACTTTGTTTTATAGGTAGGTCGAATTTATAGGAAATGGCATGCTGCAAATATTATTGTGGTGTTATGGTGTGGTATATCCGGTGTCAGTATCAGCTCTGAAAAGATCCTATGCCAGGTTTGAGTCGGACGATGCGATCTCTTTTGCTCTAGATTGAGATTCTATCTTTATCAATCGGATTAGGTCCCATGAGAAGAAGACTATTTAATTAATTTGTGGAGGTCATTAGTGAAGATCAGTAGGTACGTCATTTCACCTTAGTACCTATTATACACTCGCGAGCAAAACTATGGAATCACTTACATGAAGTTGTTTCCACGCGAACTTGTGTACTANTGCAATAGTGCAACGATTTGTGCTGCTTCTGAAGGTGTAGAATCCCAGGTAAAGTGTCAAAAGAAGCGGAGATGTGTATGAATCAACGTGTGAAAGCAAAAATCCGAAAACGCGTGCTTTTATAGGGGGTAAATAGGCCGCAACTCGCGACGTATCAAACAGTTCATACATGTCTTTTTCGTTACTTCTTCACATCAGCCGCGATATCTTTTTAAATACTGGTGTGATTTAAATGAATTTGGTATCAATTTAAAGATAAAAGTTTAATCTTTAAAATGGTGCCACTTTTTTTGTTCCTAACAAATTCATTAGTACACAAGTTCGCGTGGAAACAACTTCATGTAAGTGATTCCATACTTTTGCTCGCGAGTGTACTATACAAGCCTACAATGGTTTTGTTTTTCTCTAGGGATTCCCGTTTATATTAATTAGATTTTATTGGTAACTATTGTAAGTAGGTATGTGGTGTGTAAAGTATGAGACTCACCACCTTATGATCAGAGCAGTGTTCGGCGTAGATGTCCCGGATAAGAGTGTCGAGTGTGCGCTGCCTCTTTAGCGCGAATGTCGGCGTCTGGAACGCTGCTTTCTCTCCGTTCATCAGTTTCACCTGTTTTTTGAAGATTTTTGTCAGAAACTGCATAAAACATACGCGCCAGGATCGTGAATTTATACGAGAGCTAGGAAAGCTTTATATGCCAAGTGAATGCCATCCGTTTATGTTTTCAAGCTTCAAGAACTTTCCGCTACGGTAGCTAAGAACGTAGTGATTGCAAAAGTTTATTTCATATTGCTGCAATATCAGTATCACAGCAGTATTTATTAGTAGCTATTCCTACATGCTACGAAAGTTTTCTCATTTCAATGTTTTCAAATCGTTTAATCACTTTGAATCGTAACTAAACGTCGTTTAACTTACCAATAAGAATTCCCTAAACAGCTGTGGGTCGTTGAAGATGGGCGGGCACGGCAGAGAAGGCCCGAATGGAGGAACGGTGTCATCGCTGTACACGCTCAGCCTGTATCCCTCGCCTTCCACTTCGGACACGACGGCGAATATGTCTGTATTGCTGGGTTTAAGGAGCTTATTGTATAAAATGTTGTGTTTGAATGAAAGAAGACGTGGTTTCAATCATAGTAGTTATGCGAGTACCTAACCGCTGTTTTCTACTGAGGGTAATAAGTCTAGTATGAAGCGTGTATTTAAACTTCAGCTATAATAAGTGTATAAACTTCATGAATCCTATTTTAAGCCTATTTCACTCCAGCAATATTCTCTCCTCTCAAGTTATTATTAGGCACTTATTTTACAGCTGAAATGATCAAGCGAAATGAGCATTACTGATTCGCAGCTGTACGCGACCCAATTACTTCCTAAATTCCCATTTGTATAATTGGGTGGTAAATTGCGGTGCGCGTCCGAGTATAATCGCTCATTTCACGAGTTCATATAACGAGGAGTGAAACTAAATGAAAGTGTGGAGGAAATTGGCTTTGCTGTATGTGTTGCGACGTATAAATCACGTTGCGTGCCCCATTATTATTCTGTGTCGGAGACAGTCTGTGTTTGTTGCCTTTCTTTGCCCCGAGGGACCTAATGTAGCGCCAAGGCTAAAGGTTTGATTAGTTGACTCTTTGTGAGCAAATGATGCCGTTAGTTTGTTATTGTCTTGTTTTGACGCATGGAAAGCAGAGCACAAGTTTTTTGGATAATTATTGATCGTCTTTCACTCTCTTTTTATTATATCCGTGTACGTACTATCCGTGTACCTACGTACTACATTGCATGCTTTTATGTAGATAAAGTTTAAACACAGCAGTTTTAAATTACAATGTAAAGTTTAAAGTTCGTGCAAAACTTTACTACGAAAATATTTGGACGGACTATTCAAAGTATTCGGTAGGTACATGATCGTTCAATTTAATCTAGATTAACAAAGTTAAGTCGAAATGGCAACAATGTTAACACAGCGTTTGGAAGCGGCTGAGTTAAATTGCAATTTATTATTCCGCCGACACATTGCATCATGCATGTACAATGCATCATGTATTTTTTTGCGATTTATTCGCCTACAGTTTGCAATTATTTGAATTCATTGTTGCAGAAAGGTATTTCGCCTAGTATTTTATCGCTGTAAACGTATTTATGGATGACATAAAATACCCCTATTTTATGTTACTGTCGTTTGTTTACTACTTTTCTGTAAAAGTTCAAAAGCGAATATAAAATTGACTCGCAACTCGCAATTCTAACTCTGAAATGAGATAATTTCAGCAACGAAAGCATAATCAAATTTTGTCTGGAATGTAGAGAAAAATAAAGAATGATAACCATCATTCTAAAAATCTCACTTCGATTATTATTTATTTATTGGACTTAAGTAGGTACTATCCTATACCTATACTTACTGACAGACACATTGAGCTTAGCCATGTGGTGCCAACTGTGTTCTAATATAGTCTGATGTTCTGTCGACTGTACACTAGTAAGATAATTTAACGCTTCCAACTGAATTACCCATTGTGTTCCTGATGAACTATTCAGTTATTCACTGCCTGTAAACGTATAACAAAGGATACGAGTGAAGTGGCTCTTGACGCACTGCGGGTTGAAGGTGTTGTGTACGGAGTCCTCCGTGAACACGATGTTTACGATGTCGTTGCCGATGTGTCGCTTCCTTTCCAACTGCCGACATAATGTGGACGAACGATGTTTAATGTGGAAGCTTTACATGAAATACGAGTCTCTTGTCGGGCGGTAACCATGAATCGTCTTTTGTTTGCATGATTTATTTAGATGTCATAGCGGCTGTCGTGTGGTGCAACTGGAAGTTATAATGGAAGGAAGGAAAGATGGAGGAAAATGTTAAATTAAAAGACTGTATGGCCCATTAAGTTTCAGCCGTCGCGTTGTAAGATCGATAAAATAACGGAGAGGACAATTTCAGGCAGTAGATATGCATGGAGGAAATGTGTCACATGTCATATAGGTACTATACATTCGACATGGTCGGGAACACTAACAAACGTAATCCGCACGTTTGTTAGTGCACTGACGAAGCAAAGGGCGAAGCTTCCAATTTGCCCAGTTCGACATTTGCTCGTGACTACCAAAATAATTGAGTTTGAATAACTAACAACGAGTTATTATGACCTATTTCACTAAATTACGCTTGATTAGCCATATGTAACTTCTTTAGAGCGACGTTTTCAGTGAGTAAGTATTTACAGAAAAAAATGGATTGGTAAAAACAAATGTTACGCTAAGTAAATCTTTCAAGCACCTAGACTTTGTTTTTGTTAGTAAGTCAACACTAGAACAAAAGCTGAAATGTTACATCACCGGCATTTAAGAGACAAATACTCGTAGGTCGAACTTAAGCCAGGGTCTCAAAGATTCCTTAGGAAGGTACAAGTTGGGCTTTATAAATCCGACCCCTGAAGGATTACAATAGGATGGGGCGGGATCAAGACAACTCGAGTGCGTTTCGGTTTGATCAACTTCGTAAAAGTTGGTTTAAGTTATCACGCATTGAAGTTCAATCGAAAAGAAAAGTTACTTTCAAACATCTTTTACAATATCCTCCCATTTCCTTTCAAGCTCATAATGAAACTAGCAATTATTTTAGGTATGTTTGCAGAATCGTTATATCATTTTAGCCACGGTGTTAAATAAACTTTATTGGGCACAGCAAAATAATTGGCAACTGATGTAGGTACTAACCAAATTCTGCTAATTTAGTTTTATGATTGGAAAATACAAATCGGATTAAGCGTAATTAAATTTCATGTTTCCCGTTGCCAAACAAATAACGAGCTGGTTAACATTGATGAACATCACTAACTAACTAGGACAATGTCAATGCACACGAACCTGTTGCTTATTGTCTTTGGAGAAGGGCAACATCGTGGAGACGTGGAACATTATCTCGTGGCCTTGATGCATCGTGTAAATGGAATGGCTGCCAGTCATGTCACCTGCAAAGGAAACGAGGTTAGTTATGCAAAACAACAAACCATTTCAAACTTTATTTCTATGGCCAGAACGGTTCGCGACGTGGAGCTATAAATTCATACGTCTAAGTTATGACTAGCACGAGGAAAGCGAGGGTTTAACTGTAACTTTGACAAAGGTAAACTCTAGAAACCTCTAAACCGCTCGGGATTACGTTATCGCTAGTACCTGCTTTTCAGGCACCCAAACAAAAGCACTGCAAAGTTTTATGTGCAACTCATTTATCATACGGATATGCCTTGTAAGTTGTATGCAATCAATGGTTTCTCGGCACATAAGACAGGTTTCTTAAAACTTTTGTACGAACTGCCTGCGAAACTATTTTTATTTCAATTGAACTGGTGTTGAAATAGGCAAGGCATTTTCAGTATTGTAGGTAGTCTTCTGCGTCTAATAAAAATCTTACCTTTGACATCTAGTCCTCCTCGGAACCGGTTCCAGCCTCGTAATCGAATTTTGTCGCCCAAAAGTGATATAAATCGGTCCCATTTCTCGTCGCCCTTTTCTGAAAGATTCCGCCACTCATAAATGACCTCGTAAACATATTTTTATGACACTTTGAGGGCGCAATGCAGGAATATTGTGATAGTTTGCAAGCTAGCAAATATACAACATCGTATTGAAAGAGGCGTTAAACTGATAGATAAGATGCTTGTCTGAATCTAAAATTTTGAATTTATCGTTTCATTTTGAATTTAACGAGACTGAATAATTATTAAATAATTAACTCATAAATCCGACTAAAGTTACCATTGGAAAGCATTTCGTCGTCAGTCTTCTGTACTGGTTTCATCAACATGACGCCGATCTTGAAGTTCACTGAGCCTTCCTGCTCTTCTAGCAAAAGAATGTCTTTTTGCAACTCTGCACATGTGATCTGGGTATAGTAGGTAAATAATAAAACAAATATTAAAAATGAATGATCATAAAAATATCTACAACATATGTATTGAATTCCAACTTTATTGAACTCAGTCAAAAGAAAATAGGAAAGGAATTTGTGATTTCTTCCGAGAAATATGTGAGAAGCCTTTGAATCGTTTTTGAAACATCAAAGAGGCGAATACTCGTAACTCACTTCTCTTGGCACTTTGTCCACCCTTTCCATCGAAGCAAACTGTGCCAGTATCTGTTTGACTGTTGGCCTGGTAGGCGCCTGACTGCCCCCACTGGTCCAGGCGCTAGGGGGTAGGTAGATCTTGTGGGCGCCCTAAAAATATCATGAGTTTGTAACAGATAGAAGTGGGATAGTGGTGGTGAAAGTTGAAATTTTAACCCTTTTTGATTTACAAATTACTTGAATTTGTTTAAAAAAGGTGTCGTCCTCTAGATAAGTCGAAATCTTCGTAAAAAGAAGGAAATATTAGTAGATGAAACAATAATAATTTTTCGTATTAAGAAAGGAAAGTAAGTAAAATATTAAGTTAATCCTAACCTGCCTCGCCCATAACATGTTTAACATGAAATTAAGTCTTACTCATGTGACTTTGGGATAAGTAGTTGCTTTAGCCTAAGTAGACGGATTAAGAGCACTGAAGTTACTAATAGTAAGTCCTTAGTTGAGAAGGTATTGTAGTACGAAGGTAGTTATGTAAATTTAGTCGACCTACAAGTTACGTACAAGCCCTTAAATCCTTTATAATGTTCATAACCCTTGCATTGGGATTAGCAAAAAGTTTACATAAGACCTATCGATTAGCAAACTGGGGCACTATAGGAATCTAAAAGTTAAATAATCGTTGCAATAAGAATGAGCGAAAACTACTGTATTTTCCGCCAAGCGAATCTCTGTAATGTGTTATTTGTATTCCACAGAATTTCACATTGCGCAATCATGCAGAACTTAAATCGGGTTAAATCGAAATGCCAATTTAATGGAATGGATTTATAACAACGAAACGAGTAAATATTTGTAATGCAATCTATCTCCTTTGTGTAAAGAGGAGTGCGCAATAATGCTCGCTTATTAGGTATAAGTTCATTGTGTTCATAAAGTCTTATTAGACGTCGAGGAAATTGAGCGGATGTTTTGTAGAGATGTGATAAGCTGTCACTCACCATTTTGTTGAAGAGTATTGCACGTAGAAGGCCCGCACCACCCTCCTGCACCACGCTCAGTAAATAAGGCTCCCTCGCACCATCCACTCCTATGTAATTCTGGTGCACTATAAAAAGAAAATTGCCATTTAACTACGACTAGAACTACCTTGGACTCACATTTCTTCGCATTCAGTAAAGATAGCACGACACTTATCCGATTAGAAACGTAAAAATTTATGGTAAAACAGTTTTCGGTGCGACTCTACTCATAAATAAGGCCTAAAGGATCCCTGGGTCTTCGTATCCTAATTGTCATCAGTAAAATGTAAGGGCTATTGGTAGTAAGTAGATAAAGATAGCTAGCTACCTACACTAAGAATTCTTAGTCTAGATAGGTATGTGTGTAGGTCTATCCAAAATCTTTAGAGAGAGTTGAAAGACTCCAACTCTAAACACTTGACCTTAATATCCGGTGCATTATTAAACATATATTCATAATATTAAACTTCCTCACTTGAGAAAAGTTTAAGTGGATTCGGCGAGTCTATCTTCGGCTAAGCCCACGTTTGTTACATAACCCAATTTTCAATTGGCAATGAAGAACAGCTTAAGCTACTGCAGCGCAAGGCTGACTGTATAACGTCTGCTAAAATGAAAATAACCTTGCAGTGTTCTGTAAGATATCTCATATTGGTCTATGACAGCAAACAGATTGGGGAAAATGCTTGACTGACCCATATTTTTGCTTGTATCTGTTACCAATTCATGTTGTCGAGTGTCGATAAATCATAGCGATTGGTTTGCATAACTCGCACGGGCACACTTTGCGAGAACTTATCGAAATTGCTGTCAACGTTGGGGGAATGTCGAAATCGTATTATGTAACCATAAGCTGTTATCGAACTTTGGGGCGTGAATGCGTGATAAGCACTGCCAATATTGGCCGCGTTTGATTTAAATTTGTTGCTGAGAAAGGATGAAATGTTGAATTATTCAACACAGTTTGAAGGCTACTAACAAGACTTTTAATTGCATTTTAATTTAAACTAAACACGATTTCTCTATCGTCTGCGAAAAGTTAATTTTAAATATAATAAAAAAGAAGTTTTAAAAGTAATGTCAGACCAGTCCATGTTTCAAGAATTGAAACTAACTACTAACTCATAAATAACCCGTCTTATCCAATAAAAGTATCGGCAAGTACGAAAAGTTCCAGGTATGGTCTGGATACGAAATTTTTGGCGGGTGATTACTGAAATGTGACCAAAGTTTTCTGACATGCGTCTAACTTTGTATGAAATCGTTGTACGAGTAATAACATTATGTCCTTTGATGTCTCAATTGTATTATCTCGAAAAAAGTGTCAGTTCTAACGACTCCATAATTATAATAATAATAATTTATATATTTGTAAGCTGTTTGTTTTCTGAATAAAACAAAATAAAAATAAAATAAAATAATGTCACTGGTAGAACCTACCTTTGTCACTTTTGTATTTTTATTGTTTTTAAAAAATATTTACTATGTGGGTATGGGTACTTCAAATATCAGTGATACCGTGTCTTATTTCTTATAATGGTGATTTAAGTTATGACCACACAATCCACTAGCTAGAATGCTAACTATGCTAGTTTATCGACCGCTTTTTCATACTGGATGGTAGAGTAATCGTACGTATCAAAAATCGTGCCTGAAAAGTGTTTGCGAGAGAAAAAAAAATTCTTTATAGTGTATCTAGAGACTAGAGATTGTTGATAAGTCCTCTAGAAGGACTATTCGAATAAGATGATCATAGTTAGAAGTACTTGCCAGTCGTACCTTTGTTTTGAAGTTTTAATGTACTTCGTGACCTCTCTAGGTATGTCGCCTGAAGTCCTAGAGTTCGAGTTCGTAACAACCAGCTTTAAATGTAGGTCTGGTATGTTGAGCGAAGCTACTTCGGAACTTCAAATTAATTAAGTTTTGCACTTGCTAATGACAGGATTCACCAGTACTGGGTCGCCTGTGCCAAACTAATATATTGTTTCGTGATTGTTAACATGAAAACTTTGTTATTGTTTATGTGCTATATTGTACAACTAATTAGATGGACTTGATTCGTATGCAGTAAAGATAAATAGCCGTTGTAATGATATCTTTATGAGAGAGACAATTATTATAAACATGAGAAGAATAAATAAAAAACAACTAGCTAAAGAATTAGGTAGTACAGAGTTTTAGTGAATAAGGATGTAACAAGTCTAAATTAGGGGCGAAATTTTCGCAAGCGATATCAAAGTTCAGGCAAATAATGTGTATTATTGCCGTATGATGTAGAGTTTCGACATAAATAAAATTAAGGGCCATTTGTACAGCTGAATGGAGGTAAATTGGAGTGAGTACAGAGAACGTTATGTGGTTGTTAAGAGTACTTTTAGGCTCGGTATGTTACTACGGCATAATAGTACCTAATTATGAACAACAACAAAAAACAGGGGAATAAAAAATAATTGAAGCATATCTAACCGTGAAGTCAGTCAAAGAATAAAAGTGTTGTTTTGGTAGTGAGGATACATTAATATAATTTACTGCCCAAATAGTGGGAAACCGCCAACGAGGACTTCGAGTTTGTGATGTGTAAAAATAGCTCACTAGGGATTTTCTTGTATGAATTTTATGGCGAATGTTAGCGCGATAACTAAAATACATAATACATAATAGTTACATATAATAAACAATACACCAGAAAATGCTTTTGTTCGCAATGTGAGAGTTCGTTTTTATAGAGACAAAAAATATGCCCATACAAATTTTCAAGAGACTAATATTAGTGATAATTTCATTCAGTTAATAGCGTATAAAATATTACGAAAACATAAAGTTGTTGATTTCTTACAGATTTATTGTATTAAGGTAACTTTCAGTTACTTTCCCGCCTAGGTACTCGTACTACCATAACCAAACCATATTTTTCAATTTCCAACCGAAACTTCCCTGGCTTTCATTTAGGTACTTTGCCGAAGTATTAATAATCCCTGAAATTCAAACTTTTGAGAGCTTTGCCTTGTCTCGGTAACTGGAGTAAGAAAACGGGACATTTAGCGATACTTCGTGTGCTGTGCCCTATATTTAAGTTTTGGAGAAGATTTTTTCATAGAAAGACCTAATACATTTTGCAAGGCCATGATGGGTCTAATGGTAATGATGGGTTTCTAATTACCGCACCAAATCAATAAGTATTAGACATTGCTAAATGGAATTAAGCTAAAAAGTACACCTATATTTAAATATGTTAGTTGCAAATGTTTTATGTAGGTAATTTAATTTTTTATAAAATCTACGGTAGTCATATAAAGTAGGTAAAAATACCTAGCCCTTTAAAAATTAACTGTATTTCGTTCCTACATAAAACATTTTACGGTTCAGATTATGGCTTTGCCGTTAATTTTAACTCAAGAGTATCAGGTGTCTGATATATTTCCCCGTAACCCGACCGGGCACGGTTACGTTAACCGACCGCTGCGGTTAATTACCGGACCACAGCTCGGACCGGTCGCAGTTTGTAGTCCGACGAATTGTACAATTGTATATTTTCATCCCAGTGGATACGTAAATTTCATTCGTGGAGTTTCAGCTGTAATAGTTCACACTTGCATGATTCGGGGAAATTATTTGCGGGAGTTGAAATGTATTTGTAAGTTGTCGCCTCACTCTACTTTTACTGTAAGATAAGCATTTGTTTTTATATTTTATTATAATTTCTTACTTTTAAAGTGGATGTTTCTACAGACATTAGGTTAGTGTGAGTGTAATTACCTACCGTCAACCATCCGCTTTGTAAACATCTGTTATGTAAACGTCATCCAACCGTATCGAGGGACTGAGCGTCCTAATTTATTTAGGACCTCTACATACTCGTAGTCACCTAGCTAGAGTGGGAATGACAAACTATCTAATGAAATCCGTAGAATAGGGTCATGGTAGAGTATCCACAGACCACAGAAATTAAAGGACGATGGGACAAGGGGGCGGGGCCGGTGTCGCAGCAATATGTCCAAAAACAGAACACATTGCTCGTGACAGCAATGATGACAGCAGCGACGTCATAATGTGAACAGTTTACATTGCTTGTGTAGTACCTACTAAAGATTATTCGAACGTTGAGTACTGAAACTGATACCGCAGTGGGTAATGAGCACATTGATTACTTTGTGTGAGTGAATTTCTAATGCGACACTGAGTTTCGAACTCAGCGCATTAGTTGGCATCTCTCTATATCTCTATAAGTATTCCAGAACTGGTTTATGGCTAAAATATGTTAGTAATCCTCTAATCCAGACCTCTACAGTAGGACGATACTGAGTCTAATTTCATAGCCTAAAAAATTTGCCATCCGAGTACCGCAGTATTCTAGACTGCCTAACCGCGGCATTTCACGTACTCGTTTGAATATGGAGATTACATAGTTATGAAAACTACAGAACCATTAGCAGAGTTTGCACGTTTCAACTTCTTTCCATTCCATTTGAAGTTAAATTGGACAAATACATAGAAAATAAACCCTAAAAACTTGTTTGGCGTGGTTCGATTGGTTTCCGGGCAAATCACTTTGTTTACAACTTTTACGATAAACTCTTTTCAGCAGCAATTATAATATTACTCGATCGTAAAAAATATTAATGTTATTAAGAGCGCTTTCATATTTAGGCGACTTTAGCAGTGCGACAATCGCACGATAGACGCGCTGCTGATAATTTCATACTATATGACAGCGGATGCCTGCCTTCAAAATAAAAACACCGCTGCCAGGCTGTTGTCGCGCTTCTAACGCCCTAATGTGAAAGAAGTCTTAGTCATTACTAATGTTATAGGATAGCAATGGTAAGTACCTATTTAATTACACACTTTTTGTTTTAATTAAAGGGTTGTGAGTTGTGACCTCAGTTATCTTATTCTCCTCTTGTCATCTTATCAGAACTCATAAAATAAACAAAACTAAACATAGCATACTAATTTGTTTCAAAAACCCAAAGCGGCAAATGTTACACTGAAACCCTTTATATTTTGATTGATTAACCCATTGTTTGAAATAACTCACAAAGAAAAATTAACAACTCTTATCTCACAATTTCCGTACCGTTTAAATGGGATATGAGCTGTGGTATTCACACAACACGACGAACTCACACCACTGCACACTGACAGTCGAGAAAGAGGTACCTTTGACTTTAATATCATTTGAATAAGGTCCATAATACCGTGGTGCGAATAGATTCGTAGTGTGTAGAGTCGCCCCATATCCTGTTTTACGTCAAAGTCAAAGGGCTAATTTGTTTGCATGTCACTAAATCCCAACTATAGATGCATAACCAACAAAGCAAAGGCAAATAAAATGAAACCTTGATTGTGTGCACATATTTGTTTCGATTTAACAAATCTGCAACTAAAATTAATTACACGTCGAAATTCGTGAAGCGTTCAGTGCCACAAACAGGCCCGAACTCAAATAAAAATAGAGGATTTTGTGGCGACGAGAGAGTTTAAACATTCTTGAAAAGAAAAGTTGAGTGTGTAAATTATCTTCTCGAGTGAAATCGATTTAGAATACAATCAATTAGAAGTTTAACTCACCGTAGAAGCACAATTTTTCATTTTAAATAACAGAAAAATAGTTTATTATTTTATTAAAGAGAGCTTATTTGTCTAACAAGGTTCTTATTTTACGGCACAAAAACCTTATGAAAATACGGAGGGCACCCAACCCATACGTCATTTCCTTTCTATTGTCGCTTTCATCAAAGAGAAGAATAGGTGTTGATTTAAGAATGAACAGGACAGTCATCAAATAGAATTGATCAAAAACAAGTGCCATGACTGTACTTTCCTATCTAATTCGGCGAATTTATCCATCAATAATTCATGTTATAGAGCTGCTGTTTATGCTAGCAGAATGAACTGAATAAAACATGCTTTCACCTGAATTTTTCCAATACACTCACGATTTACTTGACAGATCTAATGTAATTGCTTGTTTTTGCCGGATTATTGAGATAGTAGTATGGTCCATATAAATTGCAATTTTCATCTACTTACTATTAGTTACTAGCTGACCCGGCGAACTTTGTTCCGCCTTAATGGCAATAAATAAGCAGACTTTTTTTTAATTTCGAACGGGATAAAAAGTATCCTATGTCCTTCTCCTGGCTCTAAACTACCTCCCTGACAATTTTCAGCTAAATCGGTTCAGCCGTTCTTGAGTTATAAGTGGAGTAACTAACACGACTTTCTTTTATATATATAGATTCCATAAATATTCTTATTAGATACCTAGGTGCCGTCATACATTTCATAATGTCGCGACAATGTACTTAAATTCTGCCCATTTATTTCCGAGTCTGTAGGTTTTGAGTCCGGTACACATATTGTATTTAATAACTCTTCAGAGATTTTTACTCCATCGGAAAAAAGGTGTAAAACCAGCAGTTTCATTTGGGTTGGTTTTTTCCAACTGTGATTTAAGTTCAAAACTACAAAAGTTAAGTCTCATTAGAATGTTATCAAACACCGGTTATAGGTGCTTTTCCCTTAATGGCATGGATATGTACTATTTGTTTGTATAACTTTTCTCGTTTGGAAACACTTCAAAGAGTTTACCTATGTTCCTATTGTTGCTTCAGAAAGCAATTTTATGACAATGAAATGTTATTGTGCGATGAAAACGTTAAAGAAAATAAACACTTACTTTTACCGAGAAAGTATTTGAAGTACCATCTTGTTTGGAATTCAGGATTCTCCAGAACCGGTGCGCTCGGTGGTCCAAACAACTGCGAAAGCAAGAAAAAACTAAATTATTCACAATATTCCTCTAAATTGTTGATGCTCATTTGTTATAAATACTTTTTTTTTGTGTCAAAGACTTTTCATATCGTCTATCCGGCCAGTATGTTTTAATGGATGGTTTTTGTTTTTCTTTTTCTAAATTCAAGCGTGATCATCAGGTGAGCAATTACGAGTAGGTATATTTTCCCAAATTCATTGCCTCTAGGCACCTCAATTTTCCTCTCTTTTGGAAGTCTCGCTTATTATGTTCGACATAAAAGAAGTCCGGCGTAATGTCGGACAGTCGTCATCCACAGATAAAGTGGATCCTTTTCCGAGCGTGCTCAGGGTTTCGTGAAATTACCCAAATTTACTGAAAAAAGCAGCAAACTGTAAAAAGGACTCGTATGTACCGCACAGTGGATACAAAATAGTACAAAGGTACATTTTTGCATATCTATATATATAAAAATGAAACCCGTTTCGCGTTGTCACGGCATCACGTGTGAACGGCTGAACCGATTTCGATAATTCTTTTTTTTAAATGTTTGTGGAAGTCCAAGGATGGTTCTTACGGAAAAAAATATTAAGAAAATCTCTACGCTAAGGCGGTACGAAGTTCGCCGGGTCAGCTAGTGAATAAATAAAAAGATACTTGATGAATTTTTCGCATTTAAACCTAGGCATAAACTATTTGTGCCTGTATTTTGGCGACTTGATAATACTTATATTCACCAATCTAGGTGTCCAAAAATGAATAATAGTTTCAGTAAGGGTTTCGTTTCAAGTGTTAAAGAAAACTGCGTAGGTGTAACTTACTATTTTTGTCTGTGCGTAGGTGTAACTTACTGTATATTTTTTTAGGTAATTACCTACTTTGTGACGTCCGTATTTTATTTATTATTAAGGGAACTCAATTACAGTATCTAGTTTAAATAATATGTATCTAAATCTCTATCTAAATATTAAAAGTTAGTAGGTAAATAATGAACTACAAAATATTATAAAACAAAATACGATTAAGTGGAAAAAGAAAAAGAATACATAAAAGTGGCCAGTCACATCATCACATGGATATGGATGGAGTTTGTTAATGCAGTAATGAATTTTATATAATTTTTTTAAATGCAAACCTAGTACATATCATACTTTTTGTCATTTTTATATTACGGTGCGGTGGTATGATGGTTTCGTAAGGCGTTAAGGTCTTTGATGTGTACTTTTATACGTGGAATTTTGTCATTTTTAAATATATTCCCACGTACTCGGAAGCTGCTACTAGGTAGGGCATTAATATTTGATATTTCAAGCGGTTTTTCCGTTAAAATTATATTTGTCGATGCGTTTCGCCAAACCAATTTCCATCTGTGAGTTTCCCACGCATAATGTGCCGCTGTGTGTTCTCTTAGGGGTTGTAAAATACATAATTATTATTCTTAGAAGTCAAATATAGTGTTTAAAATAGAATAGGAATACTTAGTGTAGGTAATATGCTACTAATATTATAAATGTGACAGTTATTGAGGATGTATGGATGATGCTTTTTACTCTTTCACACAAAATACTACTGAAAGGATTTTGATGAAACTTTACAGTATTGTTGTTTATACTTGTACGTTAGACTAACTTAAAGGCTATAATTTATAACGATCTGTGTGAAACTGAATTTCACACGGTATCTATTGAATTATTCACTACCTACATATTTCCATTTCATTGATTATGACTATAGCACACTTTAATGTGATTCGCCAACAAAAAACATATTTTCATTTATTAGGTTCTATAAGAGACGAATAATAAAAATGTTATTTGATATTTTGACCTTTGAGGGTAAAAGATGATTGGGTGTTTTGCTTAGAATCTATTGACACGTGAAAAACTCACGCTAGGGTATTCTATTGTCAATCATGAAAGGATGGTTCACAATAGGCGTCCCTATCCCTTGGGTGGAGTTAGAATAAGTAATACATTCATGTCACATAAAAAGGTTTCTGAGCTAGGTGCTAAAAATACTGATTTTTTAGTTTTTCGAGGTATAAATGTTGAACAACCACAACTGGTTTGCAGTGGCGGCGTAGCATGGGTTGNCCCCCCCCCCCCCCCCCGTCATAAGTCCTATAAGGCACCCTCTACCCCCCAGCACCCCCCGTATCATGAGATAGACCGCAGACTTGTCATGCAGATGCGCTAATCAGTACTAATTTGCGGGACTTGTGTCACCCCCTGAGGCTTGGCACCCGGGGCGGACCGCTAGTGCTGGTTTGTATTCCATTGTCAATCCATTGTAATTCTTTGGACGTATTCCACTTTGAGCACTCGTTCAAATAGCACCTGTCAGAATTTACGTTATAAGTAGGTACGTCCTGTCTATCAAATACATTCGCAGCCAGTACTAGGCTGTTGGAATACGTCATAAAAATTAATTTAATTTCACTTAGTGCTCAAAATATCGATGGGTGGAATAGGTCAGGTGCAATGTGGGCGGGTGCTCAGAGTGGAATACGTCATTCTTTGAGCCAAGACAAAATTAGTTAATATTTAACTACTAACCTCGTCCTTTTCTCCCAATGAGTTCCCATTCTCGAGTCGGTACCGCCGCGCCACCGCGTCCAAGGCGCCAGCCGCATCGCTGCTCCCCGACAACTGTGGACAACGGAAACTATCTTTAATTTATGAGTACATAGAGTACTTTATGATAAAACAGTACCCAATGAAACTCCTTGTAGCAAAAATACAGTATAGGTACGAGTAATTCAAGGATGTAGTATCTACTTAACGAATTACAAACATTTAAGTATTGCTTTATTTATTATTCTAGAATGGTTGATGAAGCAACTAATAGGCAAGTTCATCTGAATAAAATTCAAGTAGAGCAGCTAACATCCTGTACTTACTGGTCTAGTGTGTGTAAATACTAGTGTCCGACCGAATGTTCGGTTTCGGTTTCGTTTTCGGTTGAGTTTCGGTAAAAACACGAGTTTCGGTTTAGTTTCGTTTTCGGCGGCAAACTTGCCGAAACTACGACCGAAACCGAATGTGCATTCGGGAGTTTCCGCGCTGTTATCGGTCATGTTCGGCGCATTGAATGAGTGAATGAATCCGATCAGAGCCAATGTCGTGATTCGCTCGCTTGTTTGTTTGCTGTTAGTTTTGTTTTGTTGTGGTGGCGAGTTTTCGAGTGATTTATTTTGAATTTGGTAAGTTTTATGTCGTTATAACATAAGAGCGGGTGTAAACATAAAAAAAATGCTATACGTAAACAAACATTAGTTAAGTAGTTAGTAATGACTATAGTGACAAAATAGTCAAAATTAACTGCCGGAAGACCCAAGAGATGCGATCTGGAGTGAGGAATTGCACACCATTACGGATTGGTGCAGAGGATGTGGAACGTGTCGACAATTTTACCTACCTCGGGAGCGTCGTGTCAGAGACTGGAGGTACCGAAGAGGACATCACTTCGCGCATTGCCAAGGCTAGAGCCACCTTCGCACAACTTCGCCCCGTATGGCAGTCACGGAAACTGACCCGAAGGGTCAAGATCAAAATTTTCGGGTCCAACGTTAAATCCGTGCTGCTCTATGGGTGTGAAACGTGGAAGGTCACCAAGGTCATCTCGCACCAACTGCAGGTCTTCGTCAACCGCTGCCTTCGCCAAATTCTCGGCATATACTGGCCTGAGAAAATCTCCAACGTCGAGCTATTGGAACGCTGCCACGAAATTCCGATCGACCAGCAGATCAAGCGCCGCAAGTGGAACTGGATTGGCCACACTCTCCGAAGGGATCCCGATCACATCCCCAAGCAGGCTCTGGATTGAAACCCCCAAGGAAAACGCAAACGTGGTCGCCCCAAGCAAACTTGGCGGCGCACTGTGGCAGACGAGGCGAAGAAGATCGGCAAGACTTGGAGCGAGATCAAACACATAGCTCAAGACCGAACGCGATGGAGGACTGTTGTGGACGCCCTCTGCCCCATCTAGGGGACATAGGACCATAAGTCAAGTAAGTCAATGACTATAGTGCATCATGGTGATAATATTATGGAATCAGAGTTTCAAAGTTCATTTTAGTATTTATCACCAAGGTATCCAAGTGGCAAGTACAGTAGATACTAACTTACGTAGTACCAATTTTGTTTTGAGAAATTATTAAGGTAAAAGACCCGACCATGGGACGGGTTATGTAGATGTCCTGAATATTGCGAGTAATTAAAAAAAATCTAGATTATAAATCCTTCTTTTTCTTTTTTAATAGGTACATAATTTGATACCTTTTAGAGTAAAAAGGCACTTTATAAGTTCAATTTTAATGCAATTTAAAGAGAAAACAATAAAGACTGACTGATTTATAATAACGTTTTCTTTATTTTTTCCTCAAAATATGAGCCTTGTAAGGAAGTTTCGGTTTCGGTTTCGGTTTCGGCCGAAATAGACACCGTTGCCGAAATTCGTTTTCGGTTTCGGTTTCGGTCGTAAAACCAGTTTCGGTCGGACACTAGTAAATACATTTCAAAAGTACCATTTTATTTTTTAATATCATATTTATATGGAAAATAATTTACCTATTACCATAGGTAATTACTATTTTACGTTTAACATCCTCAATTATTAACAATAATTATGGGCTTATAATCGTTGGAGGGCGTTAAAAGGAAAAATTCCTTTTTCATTATCTTGGATATTAATTAGAGAGGGAAAGACGGATGATTAAATTTTAATTATCATTTTACCGCAAATGGAATGCCTTCCTTAATTGCGAATATAACTAATAGTTGGAGCAGGTAAATATAGTTTTAATGAAAACTGTTCGCCTAGAGGTAAAGGACGTTTAATTAATATGTATGTATATCGTCATGTAAGCTTTACTACCTTAGTCTTTTGAACTTTAGATAATCTAGTCTAGAGTTAAGAATAAATCGGTTCCGGTTAAAGTATAAAATTAGTACCTTATTTACCTAACATATTAAAAAAATCACACAACTTTTTGAGCTATTCATACAAACCTATATAACAGTAAACATTCTTTTTTTAATGAAATACTTTGAATGTTCTCTACACTGATGAAAGAGGTCTGACTTGCTTGGGTAGGTGCATATTTTGCGTGATATGATGGATTATTCAAATAAATTACAAAATTCATTTGTTTTATGTCGGCCAGTCCCGTGGAGGGTTACGTTCGGGTGGTTCGGGTCAAAATCCTAAAATCGTGGAACCGAGTATTGAAGTTTTAACAGTAGAAATCTAGGTTAAGCTCGGTTTGTCTGATATCGCAAACGGATCACGGCTGTTTGGTTTGTACGCGCCAGATGTTGCTTGTGAATCTTACATTAACTTCAGGAGAACTGCGCTGGAAATACATGGTATAAATTAATTTTATCTTATAGTGTTTTCTCAGAAAACATTTTTGAAATGATACCAATGAGTAAGAAATAAATTTATCTACGAGTCTTTCTGTTGAGGCAGAGATTGAATATTTATAATGAAATGTTTCATTCAATAATTTAGATTTTTATTAGTAAAACTTAAATACCAACAAATTTATACAATTACCATTACAAATAACGCTGTTTTACTCTGTGAGATTAATTTGTATAATAGTACATGGCTTGTACCTAAATCATTTAACTTGGGTCAAAGCTCGTCAATTAGAAATTCACAAAATGTTAAATTAAAACCTAATTGGAGAGATATCGCGTGTCACTTCACTTGGACACTCAACAACTATCAGACGCAATCAGTGCCTAATTCGAAGTATTAAAGGTTTAGGAGGGCCATTGTGTACAGGCTGGGAAAGGCAATTTGTCCCATTGGATGTACAATTTAATATCCCAAATTGAATTTTATTAGGGACCTTTAGGATCTGAAAGCGGCCGCAATAATTAGGCTGTGAAGGATCAAAGTCTCGATTACGAATTCATTAATTTAACTAGATTTTATTGCGACGGGTTCGATGTATTAGCATAATTTTTTAATCTTTTAATTCTAATATTATCCTAATAGCTTATTAGAATTTTAGATTGTGGAATATTGGCATGATCAATTTGACAATGGAGGAAAAGGCAATAGGTAAATTCTTAAGTCTACTTTACTGATATTTAATAGGTAGGTAGGTACTTAGACCAGAAAAATAACATGAAGGCTAGCGTTCGTAAGAAAACAAAAAACATGAAAGAGACAGATAATGATGATGAAGTGAAGTAATTCAGGTAAACATTCCTTTCTTGTTATCCGAGCTCGATCTGTTCCACCCAATCTGATCAGCTGGGGGAGTCTCAAAACATAATTATTATTATCCGAACGTGTTCGACGCCTCGGTGCAAGCAGTTAACTCAAATAATACGACAGATTGACAGCTTTGATAAACTGGTGATCACTGGGGATTCGTGAGCGAATCTCTTCTTCGGATATAGACAAATAATAGAAATGGTGACTTAAATTGAGAGAATGATTGAAAAGTAATTACTTTAAGGCTAAAGATGTAGCTTAAAGCCGAAAGAGAATTAAACAACGCTCTTAAAATTCATAACAGCGTAATCAAAAGTCAGTCAAAATTGCGGCACACATTTCAATATCTATCCAAAGCCTAAATAAAGCTGGAAAATTAATTTAGCCGTAGGTAAAAATCCGTGAATTGAATCCATAAAGCTTTGAGTGCGAAAATACTTTCAGAGCTTTGAATTTATTGCGTATAACTGCGCGATTTTATTTTACAAAATCGTGTTGTATGGAATATTGTTGAGGCTGAGTCAAGGGCGTCTGAATATTATGACGTCAGTCACGTGTCCGACGTGAATGGCCGGCAGCCTGCGACAGCCTACCTGACGTAGTAATAACACAGAGTGTCACGATGGATCAAGCTAGAACAATAAACGAAGAATGGCCCATGCTGACTCGTTATCTTTTCAATGAAGGCACTTAAAGGGTGAAAGACACGTGATAAAGCTACAAAATTACCTATAAATTATTATATTCTTCTGAATATTGCCTAAAAAGGTGTTACTACCTCCTATTAGATGGCAAGATTGGATAATTTTCACACACTTTTATACAGGGTTACTTTATAGGTATAATCCGTGCTTATACCGACCGGCTAAGCTACTATTACAATATAATAATATAATACAGAAATAAAAAAGATATTTTGTACAATATATTGTACGATTATTACCTTTATGTCATGCAGATGTTTAAAAAATTGTACAAGGCAGACTCACGTCAAAACCCGCTTTACGAACCAACAAGCGGTGCGATAAGAGCTACATCAGGATAAGTATGGAAAAAACATGAATGCTATACTAATTTTTGAAGGGGACTAAATATAAACTTGGGATTTTTTCGTAAAATGTTACAAACGTTTGTTAGCGCTGAAGCACGGGCGAGGGTTATGAAATGGAATTTCGACACGAAACAAGTTTTTGGTTTATGTTTCTGAATGCTTTTGCTCGAGAGTAGTTTTATTTTTAAGATTTAAAACAATGAGATCCCAAAATAACTATGATGAAGTAACGAACGATATATTACTATATTTCAGACTACTATTCGATTGTTACCAGTTAACCCTCGTACCTCTCATTAATTTAATTAGATTTTTCACTACAAGTATAATTATTTCACTACAAGGAAATCATTTATTTTAATGACGGAGTGGAGTGGTTAACGGGA